GAGAGCATTTAGGAGGAGAAAATTCAGATGGTGGAACAAAGGGGCTTTTATTAAAGGCTTATACACTCACCGGGACATGTCGTCTACATTTTCCGCAGCAAAGTAGAAGGTCTTTATTTTGGGATGGCAAGCCTTGAACGCACTGAAAGGGAAGCAGTTTAATTATATGTAGAAGCCCAAACAACAACCAAGTTTTTACTCACTATTTCCTTCTGCATTCAGTTGCACGATCGATCTTGAATTCTGGGAGGCTGACAAAGCCCTCGGCCTTCTCATCCTGGACATGCAAAAGTAAAGGTCGATTTAAAATCAGAGCAAACTTTTATTTGTTTAATCACCTCTTCTGTGGAAATGATAATGTTCACCTCTTCGTTCATGTACCAGTACAGACACGTGTCTTTCAGGATGAACCAGTACTTCTTCCACTTTTGTGAAAAATAGGTTTTAGCATCCTTCTTTTTCCACAGCCAGCCTTGACAGTCCCCCTGACCCAGGTCCCGGCAGGATATCCTCCGTTTGCTGATGGAGGACATAGGACTTCCAGCTGCAGGTGGCAGCGAAGAAGCAGAACAGGGTCAGAAAGGAATCTTCATGAAAAGAGAAACTTGTTTTTCAGTGCAGTCAAGTAAATGAGACCAGTGCCTCTACCTTTATTCTTCTTCTTAGACCTGGACAGCATCGAGGAGCGCTCAAACACCTGAAAAGGGAAAAAAGACGACATGCAGCAGACGGTAACGCTCCTGCAGCATGTTGCTCCTCACAGGTTTAAAGGACTGACATGATACAAGGATGCGGAGTCAGAGCTGGATGTGGACAGAGCAACTTCCATCTGGAGAGCAGGGACATGCGTGTACTGGGTGGGGCTGCTTCCTCGCTCCGTCTTCCTCCTGTTCTGACTCAGGCTGCGGCTCAGCAGGAAGTTCTCCCCGGAGGGTTTATCTTCACTCGCAAAACGTAACAGGGAATTCTCTGAAGGGAAACAGGAGAAAAACTCAGAGCTGATCAGATTGGAGTAGAGGGGATTGGAAGAAAAGGTAGATAATTACCTTCACATCTGAATTAGTCTAGCCGAAAATGTGGAAAACACACCTCAAAACATAATAATTATGTTTATGTTTATGTATTTAGCAGACACTTTTGTCCAAAGCGACTTACAAGTTACAAATTACATTAAGGATGCCTGCTTGGACATCTACCATACTATCAAATGAAACAAAATCCACAAAACAAAAAAACGCCCATCGGTGGCCATCTGATACCAACAAGACAGATCAGACCGCAGCATCTGACACCAGGTGACTCAATCTGCCCTAAAGGAGAAGTTTCTAATTATGACTGAGATCAAAGTCACCGTTTCATCTGCTGAGCACTCTGTTGATCTGACGTTTGAAAAGAATCGTTTTAAAACATCTACAGAGTGAGCTGTTGCCAAGCAGGAAGCTCTCAAACATCTATGATCTGTCGCTTGCAGATAAATATAGCCGCATCACTTCTTTCTTATTTTTGCCTGGAAGGCCTAAAGGAGCAACCACCATCCACCGAGAACACCAACACATCACTCAAATCGGATGCAAAGCTCTGCATTTACCACCTAGCTTAAACAGCCACCCATAAAATGTGAGCATATCAAGAAAATCTATTTATTCAGTTGCCAAAGCAACAGGGTACTTTTTATATCCAGAACGGCAGAGCAGAGAGAGACGCCGAGAGAGGGATGAAGGAGGAAACAGCAGCGGTAGAATATGAACATATGGAGGAGAAAGAGGCAGGAGCTGATATCCAGCATGTTATCAGTTCTGACAGGCCAGCTCATGCTTCTCCTTCTTGGCTCGGAGATCTGAGAGGGTGAGGGTATTATGAGCTATCCACCCCCTCACCCTAGCTTTCTCTGTCCTTCTCTGCCTCCCACTTACCTCTCCTGCTCTCCCTCGTCAGCTTGGCCAGGTCCTCGTTGTCTCCCACCCAGTTGTAGTCCACTGGCATTGAAATGGGCCTGAGTCTGCCTGCAGGAAAGCAGACATGAGGGACTTTAATATCACACAGCTGCCCACACACACCCAGCAGCCTAGGACGTCTTAAGAACACACACGCCGCTCACTTAAGATGCGGTTTCTCATGAACACAGAAACGTATCTTCAAATAAGGCAGAGGTCTTACCATATGTGGGTGTGCTCCCCCTGCGGACTGATGACACCTCCTGGTTCTGGTCATACTCGTAGCAGTAGAGTATAGAATCCTCCTCCACAAGGGGAAACCGCCGCCGACATTCCTGGTCCAGGTAGGAGTTTGGTGACTCAGACCCTTCTGCAGCCTGGATGTCTGATTGATGATCTTCATCTGGCAGATCTTTCTTGTCATCTCTTTTAGAGAAAAACTTTATTAAGATGAAGAACAACCGATAAAGACAGAAGGAAAACAGTAAAAGAAATGTGTGTTCTGGTTTTCAATTAAACCAACATCTTAAAACAAAGAAGAGAGTTTTTATTCAGGGTAAAGAAGGCGCTATTCCCAAAGCCTATTTATAGTATTCTCTCCCTGCTGAGGAGAATAACCTAACTCTGTCTATTTGTTTGAAGGTTCAGATTATAATTTTGAACAATTTGCATAGGATTAAAATAATATTTCTACATGCACTTCAAAATGTTTTGTGTGTTCACCTGGGGGTGTAGGGCTCTGCTGGAGGTGGGGGGATGTAGAGATCCTGCAGGGCGCAGCTACTCCTCCTGGAAGGAGTGCTCAGTGTACTGGTTGGCGTAGCGACACTGCTGCTGGGACTCTGAGGGGAGAGCGGCTGTGTGTGAATATGCACATATGATGGTGCAAAATACAGGGATGCACAAGCGGACAGGGAGGGAGAAAGAGAAAAACAGTTACAGGATGTGACACGATGAAAATTTTGGACTTCGTGATGGTGGAATCACATGGTGACAATTGGCTAAGCGTCTCAACTGTGAAATGAAATTTGTAAACTGGTTCAAATTAGAGCTAGTTGACATTTTATGACTTTCTTACATTATATTAGTTTTAACTCCCCGTTTGTGACATCACAAACAGGTTTTTTTTAAATGGCTTCTTTTAGGCACATAATTCCTAAAACCGGACGGACGGACGGACGGACGGACAGACAGACAGACAGACAGACAGACAGACAGACAGACAGACAGACAGACAGACAGACAGATAGACAGATAGACAGATAGACAGATAGACAGATAGATAGATAGATAGATAGATAGATAGATAGATAGATAGACAGACAGACAGACAGATAGATAGATGATAGATGATAGATGATAGATAGATTTTGCTAAAGAGGCTGAGGATGTGTGAGGTCGTGAAAAGAAAAGGAGACTGCGCACAATTGTGCTTCAGAGCCTTGGGGAGGGGAGAGAGGAAACATTTTCTCTGGACAGAGACTCAAAGCCTGTGACACTTTAAAGCTAGTCTCTCTCTTTCCTGTTCACTCTGGTGCTGGCACACTGTCCTAATAATGGAGCGAGTTTGGCTGAAGTAGGACAACAGATGCCACTTAGAGATGACTTGTTAACATTTGAATCAGTGATGCTGGAACCTCCAACCACTTAGTCATGAAGATAAATCTAGCATTTGTGTATTATTAAGATTCTGTGATTGGTAAAAATAGATTGTGGTACCAACAGTAAATGTATAATAGTTCAATATGGTAATTAATTAACTGTTTTACCCATTCTTATCATAGAATTGGTGTAGTTCATATTTAGATGATCTAAAATTATATTCTCAGGTTTGGTGTTATTTTTATTTCCAGCACAAAGACAGAAACACAGAAATGACAGAAATAATCCCAGCAAACTGGACAGACTGAGAGCTGACATCTTACCTGCAGAGCTAATGGTTTCCACCTCATGTTTTTGAGCAGAGCAGGGGTGGATGTGAGTGTGCTCTGTGGGCGTTTCTTCAACGTTAAGGTGACACCTGCAGGGTCGCCACGCAACAGGTTCACCAGGTTCTTCAGCTGCCAGCCCACCTAACCAACAAGGACAGCAGCATGACGGTTTCTTCAGCACGTACAGAAAACATCAATGTTCAATCTGATTGCCGCAAGAGTGCAGCAATTTAAATCAACTCAGCCTCCAAACTGGTTCCCGTTTTTGTGGTTAGGTTTGCTGCTATAAGTGACCTCTTCTCTTCTATAAGTTTAAGTGTAATCAAAACAGTTGCAGTGGTCTCTAGTGGAAAATGAATGCCTTGTAAGTCGTACTCTGCAAACACAAAGCTCTGGTGCACCAGTTTCAGGGAGCAGAAGTGAGCCACGTCAGAGTTGAGGTTCAGACGACAGGATTTAGAGTCTTATTTGAGTCTTATTTCCTGATATTTGGACACCTCTCATCTGATTGGCTAACAGCAATGTGACTCTACCACTGTCTCTGTTTGCTTTGCAACGTTGATGTTTTATTTCCACAAATAACACAAGTCTGGAGGAGTTCTGTTGTATGGTGGAGTTGCTAATGCTAATAGTTAGCTTCTAGTAACCGAGACGCTCTCTGCTGTCTTCTGGACGTCTATTATCTATCAGAAGCTAATGCAGGAGATGGGTGTAGGAGACTATTTTCATGGTCGGCCTGCTTAAAAAATTCAGATTGACTGATTATGATCAGAAATAAGATTTAAAAAAGGTTCTTCAGTGTTCCACACCTTTAGCCAATGCTGAATATTTGGCATAAAATACCCACCCTGCCCAGACAAACCATGTCTGCTGCTGAACCAAATATGCTAGCCTGTTTGGGGAGAGAAATCTTCCCCTGCGTGGATGACTGCACTGAGGCTGGTTTATGCATCTTGTGTACATATTCCCAGTAGTCCGAGAAACCGGGCATTTTTCAGGCTCTGACCTGGCGATCGCTGTGTTCCTCTGAAAGCAATTTTTCATCTCGACAGCCGCTTCACAGAAACTTCTTAGAGGAAGTGCACAAAAGAGACAAACTGACTGAAGATTTTATTTTATGGTTTAAAAATACATGTTCCGCCCTGACATGAAGCAAAACATGTTAAAAAAAATTACAACCACAAGAGTGTGAAAAAAGCATTTCAATGGTTTGTTGTTGCGGATATATTTGCGGTAGCTATGTTCCTGTCTCTTATTTATTTATTCATGTGCTGTTTTATGTTTTATTTCAGTCGATTTTGTTTGAATGCTTTCTCCAGACTCTAGTTTTCTGATTTTCACACCTGCTTTGTCTCAGTAGGTTCACTTCCTGTTCCATCTTATTTATAAATCCTTCAACTATTTAAAGCACATGTTTTTTGTATGTTGTCTTATCATTCTGTGGACAAGGAAAACCAGAGGCACGTTCAAGAACGATCAGCATCACATCAGTTTTTCTCCTGACTGCATGACACAGTAAATTAAAAGTATCAACAGCATTTATGCTCCATAACTCTGAGTGACAACGCAGTTTTGCATCATCAGACGTGCATGTACAGTCTCACCGGGTTAAACCGTCAAACTCGCTCAGTTTGCTGCTGAATCACAGCCACATCGGGATGTTTTATTCTCTAACATCTGTCTGAGAAAAACATCTCCCAGAGCCAGAAATACAACATCACTGTTTTGAGAAAACAAACCGACGACTTGAGGCGGTAGCAGCACATCAGAGTCAAATATCACTTCAGTGTTTCAGATTATTGCAGACTGTTGGTAAATCTTTGTTGATCAAAACGCTGATGAGGCGGGCTCCACTTTCAAAAAGACCTTATTGGACACTTTCTGTTGAGGAGTTAGAAAGCGACGCCTCTTTCTTCTCACTGCTGGAGACCTTTAAGCTCTGTAGGCTTCAATAACACAAAAAAATGTCCTGACATGCAAATCAAAGCTGCAGTTCAACTCCATGAGAAGGGCTCCATTCACTGGATGAGCTGACTGACTGAAATGAGCAGCTGTGTAATTATCAGACATCTTGCTGCTGCAAACACAGCCAGCAATTATTTTTAACAATAGGGACTATATTTAAATTCTGCACAGCGGGAGGTGTTCTTACTTTTTTGTACATAAATTATGAAGTGTACACTTTGCCCCTGCAGAGGCGCTTTCTGCAGGCATGTTTCAGTGACAAGAATCAATAAAGGCACAATAAAGTGTTTCAAACCTGACTTACTGATGTGACGCAGCCGAAAAAGCACAACCGAGGCAAAATTTTGTTAGGAATTGCCCGGTTTCCAGAGACATTCAAGTGTGCGATAAAAGAGTCCTTCAACCAGATCAGCTAAATGATTTTCTTTTATGTTATGAATCACATTTGTGCTTTTGCTGTTACATCAAACTGTTTTCTGCTGAGAAATAAAGTCTGTTGAGTCGATTTATGTTCAGGTTAAAGCTGAAGAGAACAAAATGTCACCAAACACTCAAGTTACAATAAGAGGGTTGAATAAGAAACCTTCCAATGCTTTTCCCTGTAAATTGCAAAAAACTGAGGTTTGCAATGTGTGAGTCGCCTCAGTCTTATGTAAAACCATCAGTGTGGGTGTTTGATGGGTGTCAGGAAAGAAATACTGCTAATAACACTGGTTTTAACAAGGTGCCTCAACTAGTCCATGTTACCAAGCAGAAAACGGGCCATTCAGTGCAACACATCCGTGTTCTCAGAACATAGCTACAGGTGTCTTATGTAATGACAGGGGTGGGACACACACGCACGCACGCACGCACGCACGCACACACACACACACACACACACACACACACACACACACACACACACACACACACACACACACACACACACACACACACACACACACACACACACACACACACACACACACACACACACACACACACACACACACACACACACACACACACACACACACACACACACACACACACACACACAAAGAGAGAGAGAGAGAGAGAGAGAGAGAGAGAGAGAGACCGAGGCCTATTCCACACGTAGCCGGGGTTTTTTAAAAACGAATATCCGCGCCTCCAAAAACTTGCATCCACACCACCGCGTTTAAAAAAAAAAACTCTGTCCACACGTACCCGGATAAATACGTTGTTAAGGACATGCCAGACCTGTAGACGGCAGTACTTCCCCCGTTCTTAACCTCGTCCTTCGTCTGTGGTCTTCCGCAAGGAGCAGTAATTCCGCTTGCAAAAACAAACGAGCAAAAAGCGCTTGGACAATTGATAAAGCGAGCGCAGCTCTGAGGGCATCCGTGCTGTCGGCTAGTGTAAACACAGGTCGAACACGTGATGTCAGCATTTTTTTGTCGCGGAAAGTGACGTTGCGGACCTTAAAACGCCGGTTTTGTCTGTCCACACGCAGACACCCAAAACGGAGAAAATGCAGATCTTCACTTTAGCCGGAGTTTTTAAAAAGATCAGTTTTCGTGTGGATGACAGGCCAAAACGTAGAAAAATATCTACGTTTTGGCAGATCCCCAGCTACGTGTGGACAGGGCCTGAGTTTAAAGCAGTTGTGTAGGACTTTAACATGCATTTGCATAAATAATCTGAAAATGCAAATCAAAAATGTACAAAGGAACCAAATGCAAATCTAAAGAGCAACAACAAAAATACAGATAGAGGTCTGGCTCACTTCTAAAAGTGTCCTATGCTGAAGAACGTTGTTGCAAGTGATCACAAGAAGTTTTAGTTGATATTAGAGGAATTCAGCTGAGTAAAGACATTGTTTGTGTTGGTTAAAGCTCTTATTCACTTGTTGTTTCAATACATTTGCTGTGGTCTCTAGTATCAATTATTGCCTTGTGAGTCCTTCTCAGTAAAAAGAAGCACTGGCACTCCTGTTTCAGGAAGTAGAAGTTAGCTGGGAGCTCCCTTCATCTTCTTCACATCTTTAGGGGGCAGATCTGCGGCCCCTCACACTCTCTATTGGGCGCTCCTATAGGGAAACCTTACACATACAAGTGCGTGTACACACACAGGTGCTCACATGGTGCTCTCATAAGTATGGACTTGGGCATTTACAACACGTCTTAAGGCTGTGGCTGGCACTAAATGCCCTTTTGTCTCTTTCTGTAATGGTCTGCGTCTGCGTCTCCCTCATGTGTCTCCTTGTGTGCTCCATCCCCCTCTAAATATCCCCTTATGTGTCTCTTTGTGTTCCTCATGTGTCTCCTGTTTGCAGCCCTCCAGATTATCCCTCCCAGGTCCTGTGTTCCTTTGGTCTCACCCAGTCACCCCTCCGCAGTTTTTTATAGGTTCAGCTTCTCATTTTATTAGTCTCTTCGGTGTGTTTTCCCACCGTTTTTTGTAGTTTTCCTTCCCCTTAGAATATTAGTTATTTTTGTTGCTCTTCTTGTCTTTAGGTTTTACTCTTAGGTCACGTTAGTTTCCTCTCTGATAAGTTAATTACTTTCACTTGGTTTCTCTCCCCACACACCTGCAGCCTATCTGCCTCCCATCATGCCCCAGTGTATGTAACCCTGTCTGCGTCTCTGTCTGTTGTTGGGTCATTGTCTGTTGTCACCTTTGTCTCGTTCCCCTCTCTAGATTTGGATCTTCCTTTTTGGATTCTAGGTTTTGTTATTTGGGACTTTGACTTTTGTTTTTTGGCCCCCTGCCTTTTTGGACTTATTCTAAATAAAAGGATTTTACGTTATTTCTCCTCTAAGTGTCATCTGGTTCTCTGCATCTTTGGGTCCTAATCTCCTCTTGGCTTCCCATCGTGACACTTTCTTTCTCTTTCACCTCTGTCTCCATGTCGGGTCAGATAAAAAAAGCATAAAAAAAACAATAACAATAAAGTTTTATGTTTCGGGCAAGACATTGAAGCAGCAGCTTTGATGCTCCACCTGTGAGTAAATATGCAAGGCTCGTCACCAGCATTCAGACATTAATTCTGTTTGCTTCACAGTCAGACAGGACACAGGGGGGGAAGGAAGTAGAAGTTAGCAATATTTGGAGCCTTGATTGGCTAACATCATCGTGACTCTTCTACAGTTAACGTTTACTTTGAAATGTTGATGTTTTATCTCTACAAATAGCACAAACCTGAAGGAGTATTGCTATGTTGTGAAGTTGCTAATGCTAACAGTTAGCTTCTACTAGCCGAGATGTGCTCCGTTGTTTCCTGTTCTCCCTTTTTTTTTTTGTTGGTGGCTCATGCAAGAGGGGGTAGAAGACAATTTTGCTAACACTAGAAAAATGAACACAAAGGCAAAAACATTATTGTCTGCTTTTGACCTTTTAGCAGTGAGCAATAATAAAGCAGCAGAGCATGTTCCTACCACTGTCTGATGATTGACCTGGATGACTTCATCTCCAGCGTGGATTTTCTTACAGCGGTCAGCCACGGACTGATGGAGAGACAAAGATAGATGTACTGCAGCTTCCATATGCACCAGACTTGTTTTAAACCCCGACCCGAAAAACCTTAAAGTAGACAGTAACGTGCAGTATTTTTACTATTACAAAACAACCCTGGGTTGTTTAGAAAGGATGTCAAACACAACAAAACATACAAATATCAGCTTTATAGTAACAAACTGATGACACAAGCCTGCTTTCAAAAGTCTCACCATAACTGCTGCAATAAACATGAAGTGCAAATAAATTCCCCCTGCAGCTACGATGTGTATTTAAAAACAAGCAGGCAGAGAAAGGGGTGCTTTGGAGAACAAAGCGTTAAGTGAAACACTTCATTTTGCTAATTAAACCACGTGTGAATGAACAGCATTGTGAACAAAAGGGAAAGCAAAAGGCTTTTACTCACTCCCTCCGTGGTCCCAGTGATTACATGCAGGCCATCATATGTTGATTTGATGTACATGCCCTGTGGGAATAATGCAATAACATGAGCTTTAAATACTCTTCATCAGCACAAGTGATCATTGATTGAGGTCAGTTTATGTAAGTAAATCTGCATTAATCTGCTCAAAGTGCAGCACGTGAAAAATCTGGATTTATCTGTTTGATTTTAGCAGCAACGGAAGCTTGGATTTGCCTCACAAATTCTTAAACGACTGCACAAATGTTGTAAAACATCACATCTGTAGCCACAGCCAACGTTTACATCACGTAGCTAGTCTCACTCTAGTCTGCCTCCAAGCAGATTAAATCAAACATGGAGGATTATCAATTTGCAAAAAAACTGCTGCAAAAAGATAAAACTCAAAGCTTTCTCCACACGAGTTGAGATTTTTTAGGCCACTTGGCTCAGTGTTGTGTTCAGGGTTGACTGAATGGATGAGAGTGTGTCCAACTCAGGCGTTGGTGTGGGGGCAGGGCTTTTGTTGTGGCCCCAAGCGGGGCGCTTGTTAGTGTAGGTCAATGCAAAGACAGTCCGGAAAAGTGCTCATATATAGATTCACAGAGGAACTCCTCAGTGATGTTAAAGCAGCAATCCAGAGTTTACCCATTTCATGATTTATATGTGATTTTATTGAAATCTGTAAAAGCAATAATCTGACCCTGTACTGCAGGGCCATTCAATTCCAGGCCTCGAAGGCCGGTATCCAGCACGTTTTAATTTTAACTCAGCTTCAACACACCTGCTTTCAATCAGCAGATGAACAACAGGCTTCTGCAGAGCCTGATGGGCTGCTGCACAGGTGATTCAGCCACTGTGTTGGACCAATAAAACCACTAAAACGTGCTGGATACCGGCCCTAGAGGCCCGAACTTCAATAGCCCTGCTGTACTGTGATAATGTAGAAAATTAGTCATTTTCTTGCTAAGCCCCATGCAATTTGAACTGAGCGTCGCTCAGTATTAGTCACTAGCATTAGACACCTTTTGTGTATTCCTTCTGCCCTCAGATAAATGGAGAAGGAAGTGGCGCAGCCATTAGCGGTTAGCTCTGAAGAAGACCGCAGGAGGTTGAAACTGTCAGAAAGGAAAAACAACCTTTCCTGTGTTGAAATCAAACCTAATAATGCATGTATTAGACATCTGCTTATATAAAGATGCACCCTTGAAGTGTGGTGTGCCCCAGGGCTCTATTCTTGGTCAAATTCAGTTTGCTTTGTACGTATTGCCTCTGGGGTCCATCTTTCAAAAGTACGGTCTTTCCTTCCATTGTTTGCTGATGACATTCAAGTCTATCTTCCTCTACAATAAGGAGGGGGTTCTGTTAGTAATCCAATCATGGAAGTAGGCAAAGTGGCTTAAGGTGCAAAACATTTCTTCTGCCTGTAGATGGCGCTCTCTGAAAAAAAAAGTTTTCTGCTTTAAACAGTTATTTATAATAAGTGCACACATGTCTGTCTGTTAGTTTATAAAATAAAAGTCATCCTCAAAAAGACAAATAGAGGTTTGAACGTACTTACGAAATCTGACAAAGTTCACAGTGTTACTGATCACATAAATTAATTCTATCCTCATGTCTGTGAGAGCTTTTGGAAGATAGTAATTTTTTTTCTGCTTCTAGGATCCAGCATCAAGAGGACTTTTTATACTTTGCATTATTTGCAATTGTTTGGTCTTCCTCCTCGAGTTAACAGCTTCCTATCTTAAAGAGACAATGTGTAGTTTTTACCATCAATTTCTGGAAATATCCATCAAAATGTTGTTGAAAATGAATGAAAGATGCCCAGTTGTTGAAAAACATTGGCGGCTATGTAACATATAACCATAAAAATCAGGTCTGAAATACGTGGGAGCGGGTCTAAGTCTCTCCGCGACGCCATATTAGATGCCATGTTTCCTTCTACAGGAGACCATGAGGACAAAATGCATTTACTGATTTGTAACAAACAGTTACAAAACTTTTATCATTCTTAAATGATGTTGTTTTAAACATTTACCTCTTCACATGTTGCCAGTGATGAAAGGGAGTCTGATGTGCTTGTTATTTTGCTAAAGTTTGTGCTCCCCAGGGCTTTCTGACCCTGATGGGCATCCATTGGTAAGGTCTTACTCCAACACAAAAATATTGCTTGCTTGCAGCGATTTAGGTATCTACTGCCCCCTATCGCCAGAAATCTACAATCTAGGTTTAAAAACGTTTTAGTGCTGCCCCCTGTGGGTTAAACTGTGACTACTGCATTTTAAATTTGTGATTGACCGAGGCTGATACAATTTCACATCATTGGTACAGTCTCCTCCCACTCCCCCTCCCTCCCGTGATGGAAATTCCCCACACTTGGCTATGCCCCTCCATGCCTCCTGGCAACACCCACTTTCATAGCATTTTTCAAATCGGGGTGGAGTTACGTTATCTGATGGTGCGCAGTCCCTCTTTAGATTAAATTATATTAAAATTAATGAGAAATACAGAAAAGGTGTCACGAAATCCTCCAGCTGACTCCGTTTCCCGGCATTCTCGCCACCACTTCCCAACATTCCTGCCACCAACGTGGCCGCCGACGTCATCACGCTGACACTATAAACGGAAGTGCCGGCGTTTCATTCATTACTCTGTCATCGTTCCTACCAGACTTTGTTTCGAGTTCTCAGGCTTACCAGCCATCAAACCTAACCTTAAGGATCTAAACCACGCTGTTTATCTCCACCACTCTGCGTCTGGGCAACAGACCTTCTCAGCCACGCTTCAGCTCTGCCACCAAACCTGATAAAAGGGGGTGTTTTGGGATAAAGTGGTGATCTGAGTTCAGAATTCGTTGAGCAATTCAGTAACTGGATTATCAACTAAAAGGTTATTTAATTAGAATTATTGCAATGTTTCTGGATATTACATTAAAAAAGTGTTTAACTGTTTTACTGTCACCTTCAGTTAGGCCACGCCTCAGCTTTAACCCACTCTAATTGGGGAGGAAAGTCAATTTTCACTGACCAATCATTAAAAACCATCATTTCCACTTGACATCAGCTTGACAGTTACATCAATTCCAACCAATGCAGTAATGTGCTAATTCTTAGTCCTCTCATGGTGCTCAGCGCTTGGCCAACAGACTTCAAAATCTGCACCTGTCAAGCTAAATAACCTCTAAAGTGGATTTTTCCCCCTTGTCTGATGAATATATGCTTCTGTGTTTTGTGAAGGTAATAATTAATCAGTGTGCTTATTGATTTTACATGAGTGTTCCTTACCAAACCTTCAGTGGATTTTATGTTGGCCAGGGTCACGACCTCCAAGTGAGCAGACTGGGATACCGTAGGATCCGACGACAGAGAGATAATCTGATCGCACACTTCAGACAGAGTTTTACACTGAGGATGACACGTTAGGGATGATTACAATCCTGAGTGGTTCACACATTAGATTACCTGTTGATGGAGGGTCAAAGGTTAGAAACTCACCACATTCAGGATCTTGTTTTCGGTTTCGTACACCGAACAGTCCTGGGGAAGATTCAGAGAAGACCATTACCTCTAGAGAATTAGCCTAAATGAAGTTATTATTGGCATCGGTGCTGTAGGTGGATATAAGCAGCTATCGAGCAGCTTGGCACCTACAGTATAACCCCCCCAACACTCCCACACAGGCATGCACAAACACAAAACAAATGAGTCACCAATGCGGAGGCATGCCTCTCCCTCTCTCTCTCTCTCTCTCTCTGGTCTTGTCCTCCTCTCTCATCATTCAGATATATTCGATTTATCTTCCTTCACTCCCCACTTAAAATTTTTGCTTATTTTCTATATTCTCTAAGTTCAAATAAGCAATATTCTCCACAGCTGCCAAGCTAAAAGCTGTTTAATGTCACTTACGTTATTAGAAACGGCCAGTCTTTCATTCTTTTAACAAAAACGGGTACAAAAGTATGAGACGATGAGCTGCTAACAAACTATATGACATTGATTATTTTTACAATGAGTAAATCAGGTGTTTCCTTTAATGACGACACTTAGCTTTCTGAGACTTGAGTGTTTTTAGAGGCATTATTGGATTTTGTAAACACAAAAAAACATCCTTCTGCACTGAGCAAAGACTATATATTATGATCTGTGTTCATTAGTCAAGCATGACAAAATAGGAGCATGTCTGCTAAGCAAAATAGGAAAAAAATACTTTTTTAATGGTCCGTTTATCATTTATTGTGTTAATTTGGAGCCAAACCATTAAAAGAACAATTTTGATTTAATGTCTTCTGAAAAACGCCAAAAAAAGTCTACAAGATGAATTTAATGGCTGTGTAAAGGTTTATAAGACAGCATTTGGAAAAGCCACTGAAGCATTTCTGATTTTAACTGGCCCATCTAAAACAAACCATTAGCACCTCAATCCAGTCAGAAGTCATCTCCATTTCTCCAACCTAAGGTTGTTCACAGAACTATTTACATTAAGTCTGATTTTATGTTTTCATAACTTTGACTAAAAATCCTAAAGTTTAAGCACGTAAGGATATTTAAAATTATTTGACATGAAAATCAACTTAACTGTACTTATCTTCATTTTACAGACTATTTTAATGCACTCATTTCTGCATTAGAGAAAAAATTTGAAAGCATTGGATTGTTCATAACTAGAGCTTTAAATCCTATAAAACCTGCATCTGACCTTCAGCCTTTACTGACGCATCAGACGTTTTAGACGATATATTCTACTTACGATAATAATCATGAGTAAGCCACGTTACATTTGTCTCCTGTGTGACAGATGCCCTGAGTTTGAGTTGCACATGACAATCTGATTTAGTACAGTTTACTTATTTACCTGCTGCACAATGGTCGTGAGCTCAAGACACAGCTGGATCACGTTGTTTCTGGTCACGGAGTAATCAGCCACTGCAGCGAAAGGAGACCTGAAAAAGAAGGAACACCTGGAATGAACCATTAGACCGTTCTTCCTTTGAGTCTAAATCAATGCTAAACGTATATTTGTGCACACGTGTGACCCTTTTAACACATTTTACCATCACATTGTTCATTATTCTTTTTACTGCTATGGCTAATAGGAGCAGACTCTGCAAGAAACATGATTTGGCATTTAATTCAACATGTTTTTTCTGTGTTTAATTTTGTTAACAGTTGTGTTTTTTAAACATACGAAGGAAGAGCAGATTATGAATTTGAATTAGACTGAAAGATTGAAATGATGAATGCCTTACAGGGAAACGCTTTGGTAAATCACTTTGTTATTTCTGTTTAATGTTGTCAGCTTTGAACTTTCAAATTCATCTAACACACACACACACACACACACACACACACACACACACACACACACACACACACACACACACACACACACACACACACACACACACACACACACACAGAGGCACAAACAAGGGCTAAAGAGACATAAATAGACTTGCTCAGTGTCTTTTTGGCGGCCCTGTCAGAATCGACTTATATAAGGGCTTCTCTCAGTCGTCTCTTGCTGCTGTCTCAAAGGTCGTGGACATTATATGAGGACATAGCTAGTCTGTCTCTTCTCTTAAACATTAACACATAAGCAAAAGCTGATCAGCATCATTGATTCATGAACCCAGATTCTTGTTTCATTTGATGCATGAAGGTTTTCTTTTTTTCTGCAAAAAACAAAACAAACATCTTCTTGTTTTTCACTTTCTTAAAAATTCAACCCAAAACACTTTTAGTATATTACTTTGTTCATTTTTTTATGTATATGTGCAGATCTTTACTGTGTATGTTTGATATTCTCCTTCACCTTTTTGCAAATCTCACCTGTCCAGCCAAGCAAGGAGGCTCTTGGCAGCAGCGATGAGATCCACCACAGAGGTGAGGAAGTCGTTGGGCAGCTTTCGAGTGGCGCGGCCGTCGTAGTGGCCGCTGCGGCGGCGGCCTGTGATGAAGTTCTGCAGGTTCTTGGCGGACGCGTTGAGCTTATGCGACAGCGTCTTCAGATTCTCCGTCTCCAGACCATAATTCTACACAGGCAAAGGAAAAGCAAAGTTGCCGTTTGAGCTGTCTGTCAGTGTTTGTTTGCAGCTGTGACACATTCCAAAAATTTCTCCACAACAGAGACTGAAACCTATTATTGTTCCGACACTTCTCTATGAAGACCACTGACAGAACGCATCTACTTTGCAGCGCATGTGAAAAAAATGTGAGAAAGCAGCTGTCACTCTGAACGCTGCGGACAGCTGAACACTGATTCTCCTGCAAACGGCACATGCAGGATCGTGGTTTCTTTAACATCAGAGTTTCTCGGGAGGAGAGCGCACAGCAGGAGGGCCACTGATCATATTTAATACAGGAGGGCCTGACAGACTTAAAACTAAATCCCACTTATGTAAGAAGCTTTGGGCTGAAGCAGGAGCCCCCCCATGGAGGGATGAGAGGAGTTTAGATTCAGATTGCATTTGCGACCACAGTTTAGTAAATCTCCATCTAGTTTCTCCACAGGCAGCAGAGATTAATAAACACCCATCTCAATCTCTCCTCCACAACAGCCAATAGTCTTCTATCATTTCAGACATTAATTTGTCTTTGGTCGAACTAATTTTGGAAGCATAAAATGAAAACCATATTTCCTAGGAATCACAGTGAACATCATTAGTGTTTACTTCATAAAAGCTGGTGTGCAACTATAAATGCGCTGCCTCATTTTAATGTGGCCGTCTTAAGAGAATAACATATAGTCTAAAACAATCAAGCTTTGGTTCTCAAAATAAAACGATTATAATGATATAAAAAGAGACTCTTGAGCCTCAACGTGTTTCTGATATTTATTTGTTTAAGATACTGTCATCATGGACTGTAGGCTGGTGTGAGCGTAACCACTTTCTCTTGAACACCAGTAAGACAGAGGAAATGGTGATTGACAATTCAATTCAATTCAATTCAAAAATACTTTATTAAACCCAGAGGGAAATTGATTGCTGTAGTAGCTCAGAATAATAATAATAATCAAGTCATCAAAGAGTTGTTGTATATTACAATGGCTGTTGGCAGGAAGGATCTCCAGTAGCGGTCAGTGTTGCAGCAAAACTGAATAAGCCTCTGACTGAAGACACTCTTCCGTTGTCGGACAGTCTTGTGAAGAGAATGCTCAGGGTTGTCCATCATTTTCTTGATTCTCTGGAGAATCCTTCTTTGCATTATCTCCTCCAGCGGTTCCGAAACTGCCAAAACTCTGGCTGAGTCCTTGAAAGGGCTTGAAGTTCCTCCATCTTGTTGGCCAGTGATCTCACATTGCCCATAATGATCGATGGAAGAGATGGTTTGAATTTCCACTTTCTCTGTCTCCGTTTTGCTCCTGCTCTGCACACACGCTTCTTGCGTTTTAGCTCATTTGGGATTTGTGGCTTCAGTTGAGGTATTATTTCAGCCTTCCCAATGTTAATCAGCTGCTCCTGATTGTAAACCAGTTTGTTGCCATGGTTACGCATCATAACACATGCTCAAAAAGTGAAAAAAGTGAAAAAATAGCAGTAAAAATCCTCCAAGCTTCACAGCACCAGAAACAGAAAAGTAAGACTTCCAGAGAAACACTCCTCCTCACTCAGTAAACATCCAGGGAGCAGACATTGAGGTGATGGATACCTTTAAGTGCCTGGATGTTCACCTCAACAGCGAGCTGAACTGGTCCAACAACACAGATGCTCTGAATAAGAAGGGCCAAAGCCGCCTCCACCTCCTGAGGAGGTTGAGGTCCTTCAGAGTTAATTCCCAGCTACTAAAATCCTTCTATCACTCTGTGGTCGGCTTTGTTATCCACTCTGCTGTGGTCTGTTGGAGTGCAGGCAGCTCTGACCGAGACAGGAAGAGACTGAACAAGCTAGCTAACAAAGCTAGCACGATTCTGAACTGCTCACTGGATTCAGTTGAGGAGACGTGTGAAAGGAGGATGCTGGTGAAGATGATCTCCATCTTAAATAAAACCCTCTCACCCGCTGCATTCCATTGTGGAGACCATGGACAGCTCCTTCAGAGGCAGAACAGAACGCTACCGTAGGTCATTCATCCCATCTGCAGTAAGAGTGTATAACTCCTCAATTTCACTGGTACCGGCATTATCCTGGTACACAATAACACCAATGCAATACTCAGTATGTCTTCAATACCGGATTTACATAGAAGGTCTGTGTCTCTGCACTATGCTGCACAGTTTTGTTCATGGTTTCAGTGGTCGAAGGTTACAATACTAGACTACTGCTATACGCACCTTTGTTATTATTTTTCTTCAAATTATTCTCTTACGTGTTGGTGCTGCTATACCAATTAAATTCCCCCACTGAGGGATACATAAAATATATTCTATTCTATTCTAATCTATTCTAATTTATTTGTTGATAGATGATGCATTTTCTGTGATAATTTAAACCCGAATCAGTCACTAACATGATGCTTATGATCAGTCTTTAGTTTAGCTCTTATTTAGAATTTATTCTTGTAATCACAACAATATAAGCTTTTTGAAGGCAGTATTAATTTATTATCACACTATGACACCTATAATTGATATACATTTTAAATATGCCCTCTCTTCTGAAAAAGGGAGTGAATTTAACCTTTTAGGTACCAAACAGTAAGATTATGTCTGGATAAAATGTATTAACAAAGGTTACTACAACACAAAATGGCAAAATAGTGCATTTAATAAATAAGTCAAGAGTTGAAGATCAAGGCTATCATGGTGTTACAGGATAAATTATATAATATTAATAAAGCAAGCTAACAACAACTAAATAAATCTCTGAATATGGATTTTCAGGCTTATGGCAATCAAAAAGTCATCTAATTTTTCCAACAGCTGACTTTAAAATATAAGTACACTTTATACTGTCGTGTGGCTGTACTGGGATCAGTCTGGGCTTTTTCTATCACGTTGGAAATCCTGCTGCCAGATTCATTACTGGCACTAAAAATTAAAGAGCAAGTCAACCCCTACCAGAGTCTAACTCCACTCCCACTTCATGTTTGAAAAATGCAACACATGCTGTTGCCTGGCAGACCGAGAGGGCGGAGCTGCTAACAAATACACACACACACAGGCTCAGGACAGCATTGTGACATCATAATGTACCAGATGACATCATAGCATACCTCTTAGCCAATAGCGGTGGCAGATTTAAATTAGAATACAGTGCAGAGTTTTTACCTGACAACGGCACAACTGCCAGTTTTAGGCAGAATATTTAAATTTTAACTAAGATGCACTGAAGTGCCAAATTATTGACGACACGTGTCTGCAGCACGATTAGAAACTTGTTTATTTAGTTTATCAGCAAAAAAAAAGTTTATTTGGGGGTGACTTGCTCTTTAAACAAACATTTGCCCCATCTTGTTGCCAGCTCTTTATTATGTTCTTTTAATATCTTGCTACTTGCTTTTAAAGGGGACATATTCTGATTCTTTCTTAAAACAGTCCTATGGTTGATAAAAGCAAGTTTACAAAGTTCTTTGCTCAAAATCCCCCTCACATAAAGCAATGTCAGCTGTTTTATTCTTGGCAGTTTCAGTATCATTCAAAATGAGCCATTTCAGAGCTCTGTCACTTTACTAAAAATAAAAGCTGGCCACGCCCACCCATGCCCCACTCAGGCTGCTACAAGATGAGAAGCTCTGACATCCTGGAGGGGCTCAAAGCAGTGCTGCTACTCCCGCAGCAGCCGATCTCCTCCAGGTGAGAGGTGGTCCTATGGTAAGTCCCCCGTTTGTGACATCACAAACAGGGACTTTTAAAAACAGCTTGAATTAGGTTTTGATTCCTAAAACCAAACACTGGAAGAAAAAGGATGGATGGATGGGTTTAAGTTGTCAGTGTTTATAGAAGCAGTAGAAACCCACATGGAGGCACAAATGGATGCAAAAGGTGCATTTTTGCATAACATGTCCCCTTTAAAGTCTTGAACTCACAATAGGAGATGAGGGAAATTCCATTTCAAGAACCTACATCTTTAAAAAATGTTCTTTAATGTAAAAACATTTGGTGAAGTCTGCCACTTTTCAGACAGAACCTGCCTCGTCCTTTCTGAGACAGGTTCATTATTTTATCCAAACCCAAATCCTGACACATCAAGACAACAGAGGGTTGCACCTGTCCTGCAGACAGGTTAACCTGATCAGTCTCTTGTTACTGAAACGTTTAAAACAGCAAAAGGAGCGTCTATGAAGGAAAAAGCAGCTGTAAACAATCTTACACCCCCAAGTGCACCTGCTTCATGGAAAGTTTGTGAGTGCACTCTGGTGTAATGATTTCAACACTACAGACAGGCAAAAACATTATAGTCTGTAATAAAATTCCAGCAACAGCTTCAGTATTTTGCTCAGAATGAAGACTTTCCTGCTCAATAGCCAGATGCTAATAAATGTTAGCACGTAACTTTTTCCTGAAGCACTGAAACTGCTTTATGCAGTCATGTGTTAATTAGTTTGTTAAACAGCAGAAGCACAAAATGTTCTGTTTAAACTTCACTCTGACTCTGAATGACTGTACTTGTGGGTAGATGGAACTTGGACTCACCAGTGCACAGAGTAGGTCCACAGCCTCCAGTATGAGCTCCTGGTGGCCAATCCTGGACACCCCCAGATCCTCCAGTTCCTGGTGGGTGATGCGTAGCAGCTGGTCTCCCCCTACTTTCTCCGTCTCAAACGTTTTGATGTACTGCTGCAGGCAGTCGTCCAGGCCTGAAGTAGCAGAGCAGGAACATTTTCAGCTCAGACTGACAAGTTGAAAATTCACCTTCCAAAATGTGTGTGATATTTCTGACTCATGTAAAATCTCTGTTTCCATTTTCCCTCCCGAAAGGCCTTGACATTGTGTGAACAATTCAATTCAAAAATACTTTATTAATCCCAGAGGGAAACTGATTGCTGTAGTAGCTCAGAATAATAATAATAAAGTCATCAAAGAGTTATTGTATATTACAATGGCTGTTGGCAGGAAGGATCTCCAGTAGCAGTCAGTGTTGCAGCGAAACTGAAGAAGCCTCTGACTGAAGACACTCTTCCGTTGTCGGACAGTCTTGTGAAGAGAATGCTCAGGGTTGTCCATAACTTTCTTGATTCTCTGGAGAATCCTTCTTTGCATTATCTCCTCCAGTGGTTCCATAGTTGTCCCCAGAACAGAACCAGCCTTTTTTGTTAGGCTGTTGAGCCTTTTCAGGTCCCTGCTTCTGATGCTACTACCCCAACAGACGATGGCTGAAGAGATTACACTCTCAACAACAGACTTGTAGAAGATGTGCAGCATCTTGCTACAGACATTGAAGGACCTAAGCGTCCTCAAGAAGTGCAGTCTGCTGTGTCCCTCCTTGTAAACTGCTTCACTGTTCTTTCTCCAGTCCAGTCTGTTGTCCAGGTGAATTCCAAGGTATTTGTATTCCTCAACCACCTCCACTTCTTCTCCCATGATGGAAACAGTGTTTGACTCCACCCTGTTTCTTCTGAAGTCTAAAATCATCTCCTTTGTCTTGTTCAGGTTCAAGGTCAGATGATTGTTTCCACACCATGCCACAAAGCGCTCCACCAGCTCTCTGTACTCAGCTTCCTGTCCATCTCTGATACACCCGACAACTGCAGAGTCATCTGAGTATTTCAGTAGATGACAGGTCTCTGATTTGTACTGGAAGTCTGAGGTGTAAAGGGTGAAAAGGAATGGTGAGAGTACAGTCCCCTGTGGTGCTCCAATGTTACTGATCGCCTGATTTGATGTGCAGTTCTTCAGTCTCACAAACTGTGGTCTGTTTGTCAGGTAGTCTTTAATCCAGGTGATAGTTGAGGCCTCCACCAGTATCTTCTGGAGTTTCTGGCAAAGTATATCAGGCTGGATTGTGTTAAATGCACTGTAGAAATCAAAGAACATGACCCTCACAGTGCTGCCTGCTTTGTCCAGATGACAGTGGGTTGGTTGAAGCAGCTGGATGATGGCATCTTCAACTCCAACTCCATGGCGATAAGCAAACTGCAGCGGGTCCTGATATATTCTAGTTTGCTTATTCAGGTGGATAAGAGGAGGATGGGATGTCTGATTGGCTGGGGACAGGCGAGGAGGATGCTGGGTTTGTTCCTGAACTGAACCTACAGAATAACATGTTCAGTTCATTGGCTGTGTCCAGGCTGCCATCTGTGCAATCCTTCCTCTGCTTGAAGCCTGTGATCTTCTTCATCCCTGACCAGACACCTCTGATGTTGTTCCTCTGTAGTTTGCTCTCCAGCTTCTTCCTATATGCCTCCTTGCTGTCTCTGATCTTGATCTTCAGTTGCTTCTGTATGCACCTCAATAATTCCCTGTCTCCCTCCTTGAAGGCTCTTTTTTCTCATTTAGCAGATTCTTCAGTTCACTGGTGATCCAGGGTTTGTTATTAGCGAAGCATCTCACTGTTCTGGTGGGTATGATGTTGTCCACACAGAAGTTTACATAGTCAGTGACACATCCAGTCATGGCATTGATGTCCTCTTCATATCCTTGGCAGAGAGTCATCCAATCTGTGGTCTCAAAACAACCCTGCAGGGCTTCTTCAGCGTCCTGTGACCATTTTCTCACAGTTCTTCTAGTCACAGGTTGCCTCTGAACACGTGGTTTGTATTCTGAGCAGAGAAAACAAGACTGTGATCTGACTGTCCCAGAGGAGGTCTTGTTTTGGACATGTATGCATTCTTTACATTTGCATAACACAAATCCAATGTCTTGTTTTCTCTGGTGGAGCAGCTGACAAACTGTTGAATGTTGGAAGTGTAGCAGAGAGCGAGGCATGATTAAAATCACCAGATATAGCCACAAATGCATTGGGCTGCTGGGTTTGTAGCTTAGCGACAACGGAACTGATGGCATCACATGCACTTTCAGCAATGGCTGAAGGTGGAATATAAACGGTTGCCAAGACAACAATGTTGAACTCTCTTGGCAAATAATATGGGCGACAACTTTCTGCCAAGAGTTCAACATCTGGGCTGCAGAGACGACATTTCACTGAAACACGACCTAGATGGCACCATCTGTTGTTGACAAGCACTGCCACTCCACCGCCTTTTCTTTTCATGCTCCTCTTCAGATCTCTGTCTGCTCGTACAGTCAGGAATCCGGGCAAAAGATGCTGGAATCGGGGATATGCTCCTGCAGCCACGTCTCAGTGAAAGACATAACACTGCACTGCTGATACTCTGGCTGAGTCCTTGAAAGGGCTTGGAGTTCATCCATCTTGTTGGCCAGTGATCTCACATTGTCCATTATGATCGATGGAAGAGATGGTTTGAATTTCCTCTTTCTCTGCTCCCGCTCTGCACCCACGTTTGCATTTTAGCTCATTTGGGATTTGTGGCTTCAGTTGAGGTATTATTTCGCCTTTCCAATGTTAATCAGCTGCTCCCGATTGTAAACCAGCTTTTAGCCACGGTCACACATCATAGCAAATGCTCAAAAAGTGAAAAAAGTGGAAAAAATAGCAGTAAAAATCTTCTAAGCTTCACAGCACCAGAAACAGAAAAGTAAAACATCCAAAACAATGCTGTTTTTCTTGAGAAACTAGAAGAAAAAATGTACAAAAAAAAAGCAAAACTTACATGTAGTCAACAGAACTACTCCAACATGCAGCCACCCAGAGCAGCGCAGTTCCGGAACACAGGTTGTATTTTGCTCTCTTCAAGTGTGATAACAGTCAGAGCAGAAATCTGACATGTTCCACCTCCTCAACATTTCTGAGCTGCATTTTCAGCTTTAAACTTGGAGGAAAAAAGCTCTTAATTAAACAGGACTAGGAGTCTGTGCTCAGCTTGTTTCCCATATTTTAGCACTGCAGCAGGTGTGAAGTATTTGGGAAAACTAGTTGAAGTGCGGCAGGCTAAAACGAACTGAATCTGCACTCTGCATCAGCGGTTTTATGTCTTACATCTTTAACATGAATGCATCGATACCGATCATGCATCAAATAATTGGAGAAAATGATTTCAGGGCTACAGCATCACACAGAAAAGCCAGAAATCAGCGCTTTTGACGCCACAGAAGACTGACTCACCGCATGTTTAACATTCTGAAAATATTTCAGCAATAAATGTAAAGAAATACATGCAGCCACTTTTCCTTTTCTTCGTGACCATTTCTTTCTCCCTTTCACACATAAACACACACACAACTCCTTCCTCATTTTGCCTCTATCGCTGTGGGTGAATCACACACCCGGGCCTCTGAGCCTTAAACCTGATCAGGTATTCACTTCAGGTTCAACCGGCAGCTAAACGGCTGAGATGGAAACGTAGAGATACAAGCTTCTGCACAACAATTGCAGTATTAACTAATCAGCCTTTTTACTGACTTAACTGTCTTGTTTAGTCAATAAATAAATCCACGTTTCCATAGAAACCACAAAGGAAGTGTTTATAGATGGCATGCTCTCTGAGTTATAAATAATGAAATGAGTTAAGGAATGGAAGTCGGTTTACTTAATTTAGCTTTGTGCTAATGTTTTGGGTATCAATTTTATTTTTAAATCTAATTAAACAGCAAACTACAAACAAACATGGGTGTTTAACCCTCTGGAGGCAGGCGTTGCAACCTAACTACCTGGTTACTCCACATACGTAGAGCATTTTTTAACTCAGAAGTACCCCTGAAGGACTGTTGTTCATTCTTTTATCAAAACTTATTTTGAGCCTGAGAGGGTTAAAGACATCTTTGGTGATTTTGAAGTTCATTTCTGTGTAAAGGTGTAAACATTATTACAGTAACCTGCTCTAAATAGCTACCTGAGTGGCCTATGTTTAGGGAAATAGTGTTTAGGCCATTTACACCTCTACAAAGTTTTGTATTGCTACGTTCTTTGAACAAAAATATGAAATAATTCCTGCCAATTTTTTTAATGAAGAGCAGACTCTTTAATTAGCTGCAACTGATCACTAAGATGTAAGATACACACTCAAAGATAACCATAAAATTCAGTGTGAATTGAGGCTGGTGTCTATGAAATTGGATTGATTGAGTTGCTGTATATGCTGTATTCTCCCTTAGAGATAGGGTGAGAAGATAGCTCATCCGGGAGAGGCTTGGAGTAGAGCCGCTGCTCCTCCACATCAAGAGGAGCCAGTTGAGGTGGCTCAGACGTCTAGTTAGGATGCCTTCTGGATGCTTCCGTGGTGACGTTTCCTGGGTTCGTCCAACTGGGAGAAGGCCTAAAAGAAGACCCAGGACACGTTGGAGGGACTATGTCTCCCACCTGGCCAGGGAATGTCTTGGGATTCCCCCGGAAGAGCTGGCCCAAGTGGGGAGAGGAAAGTCTGGGCCTCTTGACTTAGGCTGCTGGCCCGCGACCCAACTCTGGATAAGCGGAAGAAAATTAATGGATGGATGGATTCTGTATTCTTGCAGGAATTACAAGATAACAACAATCTCCTTTGGTCTATTGTCATTTATGCAGAAACTAACAACAAAATCTCGGAAATTTCCCTTTAAGTGAGGCGTTCTTCTCTCTAGGACTGACATTTCTGATGCCTTCATTCACCGATAGCTCTGAGTGATTTCTGCTACATGAATTTTCCTGTTCCTGTCATGTTCAACTCAGACTATCAAGCTCACAGAAGAGAAATTATGAGCACAGCGTTGGCATGTTCTGATCTCCATTATAGATAATCCATCTCTGATGGAGAGAGAGTCAATGCTGTTAGAATTGAAAGTTGTGTGATAATCTGAGCTGTCACTGATCTCGCTCTGTGATATGTGTGCGTGTGCGTGTGAATGTGTGTGTGTGTGTGTGTGTGTGTGTGATTTAAGAAAAAAACATTACTATTCATCATTTGCTGTTTTTTCTTTTTTCTGATTTGCAGCTCCAGACATTCAGTTGTTTCTTTAAAACGAAAAAGAGAAACAAAAACAAGTGTTTGCTCAGCTTCTGTTCTCTTGGTATGTCAAGAACAAATTCCCATTGGGAGCAGGAATTCTTTTCTCTTTGGGGATAGGACTCCCGTTCAAACAGCTTTGTTCCAGCTGGGAACAAAGAATCCCAGGGACATGGGACTGGGACTGTGAGAAGGTCACGGGACTCCCCCATTTGCCCTCCGCTGACACTGTGGGGCAGTGATAATAGAACCAGCAATAAAGTCAAAATGTTGCCAGTCCTTGAGGCTTTGGGGTGGATTTGACAGAGGAGTGAATTCCCAACAACCCCCACCTTCCTCCACCATTTCCTCTGCGTCTCTCAGTGCCACTTTTGTCCCTCGCTTTAAATCACTATTGCTAAGCCCTGGGCTCCACTTGTCAGATGTGGGACACTCTAGTCCACTCTCATATCCAAACTCCACTTCAGTACAGCTCACTAACAAAGCATCCAAGATGTCCTTTAAATTGTTTTGTTTTTTCTTTCTTTAAAAGTCATTATAAATTGGTTCCATAATGAGTCTGCACAGAAGGTGGCATCAGCTACAGCTGATGAGCTTTGGTGCTTCCTCATGAAATGTCAGACCCAGCCCATTCCAACAGGCTGCAAGTGATGATGATAAATTTACGTGCAACTATGTGCATGTCCGCTCTAACACACACTGCTGGAACAACTCTGTGCAAAACAGCAAGCAACAGAAAGATAAATCAGTCTGAGATTTACATTCCCTGCATGCATCTCCATCACTTTTGCTTGCAAACAGACCAAAATAAGCATCGCTGATGAGGAATCTGCAACGAGTGGGCTGAGGATGTAAATCCCTCTCACAGCTGTTTGGGGCATTTACAGATCCTCGGATCAAAGGAAGCGGTAATCTGACACTGCTACCAGAGCTGGTGAATGACAAATGAATCACAACAACTTACTCGTTTCCACTTTGTGAGTGACGACAGCTCAGGTTAGTTAAAGCATCACTCTTCCATCGAAGGCCCTTGAACAGTCTGAATCAAACATTTCTTATTCAGAGACAACTTTTCCAACAGGACTCACAAATGCATGACACCAGTCTTTCTAAATCAGCTGTGACTTCTTAGAGACTTTCAAACATCTGAGGCTGAACATTTAGTACAGATGGTGAAAAAACCCTGATACCGCTGTATGGTTGGTCCTGCAGTCTCAACACTCACAGATAAAAGCCTGCCTTCCTCTCAACGCTGGTTCTGATCCCAGAACCAGTCAGAGGTGAAATCATTTGCGTGTAATTACTGGATCTTCGCTCCTCTCAGCCTCCCCCGACCACCACAGCACACAAAGGCGTTTAAACCCTCAGTAGATCGTCTAAAAGGGGCGAACCGCTTTCATGTGGTGTTATTTTTGGGGGTAAATTTAGATTAATTATGTTCTGACCCATATTGGGGGGCTGAGTCGATAATCCAAGGCTCAGCAGGTGTTTTGTTTTCTTTTTGGCATATCGATTCTTTTTGTGTTGGCGTGCATCACCGCAACACAATTCAATTTTTGCTCAAATCTGCGTCCGTTGGCACCGAAACCCACCTTTCATCCAGTCCACCACCTGGCTGGGGCTCCACTTGCTCACAGGCTCCATAACCAGTGCCATGGTAGAAGTTTGTCCCCACAAAAGAAGGGAAAAAAGACCAACTCCTGCACTCAAACTGGGATTATCAGTCTAAATAATCCGAAAACGCTCCTAATCACTCCCTACTGCAGATGCGCCCGTTTACAAACAAACTGGGGCAGAATAAAATAAAACAAAACAAAACCAGATGAAATGTCCAAGATGTCGTTGAGTAAAGCCCAGTGAATTCCGACGCAGCTCGGTCCTGAAGAAGCTGTTTTTTTAACTTATCATTCATGTCAGGCTCACGGGCGATGATGCTGCGGGGTCCCTGCTGCCCGAACCCGCTCCCAGAACATACCAATCGCGTCCAGAGCGGCGAACAACGCGCAGACTGTTCACTTCATCCTGCTGTCTGAAGAGGTAGCATTTGCTCTGAGTATCCTCCCACCCTCCCTTTCTCCCCTCCTCTCCCCCAGACGACATGGAGTCACAGCACAGCACCCCCACCCACCACCACCGCCTCAGCCATCACCAGAAAGCGCTCCTGTATGACTGGTGGTTAATGCCACAGGCTTGTGATTTGTTTTCATTTTGATGTATAAAGAGGTTCAGGTTCCTTATAATTAATTTTCTTCGGGGGAATTATTTAAAATAAATTGGTATGAGCTGCATCTTAAAAAGAACACTCAGTGTTTCAATTAAAATGTAATGTACTAGCACAAAAATAATTATAATATTGAATTTGATGCAGTTTTAAAGTCGAATGGCGCAGGAGACATTTAGACGTTAAAGTTTGACCACTGCACGCAGAAAACCTCATAATGAATTAACATTTATATGTCTTCATATTTCACAATGTTTAAAAATAAATATCTGTCATGATCCAGCTCTGCCCGCCCTCATCTCCATGACAACCACAGCCTGCTCTCCTTAGACTCATCTGTCACACCTGCTCCCAGTAATCAAGCTCATGCTACTCACCTGTTTCACCTGCTCTATATACCCAAGCCATGGCACCAACTCCCTGCCAGAAACCGGTTTTGCATTTGTAATACCACATATAAAAGTAATAGTTAGAGAAAGAACTCCAGATCATTTATCTGTGTACACAGTGGAGATGATAGCTATATTATATATATATATATATATAATACAATGCATCTGAAAGGGAAACATCCCACAGGTTTGTGTGGATGTGGGGTGGGGGGGGGGGGGGGGGGGGGACGGTGGAGCATGTTTTATGTAACTGCATAAAATATGAGGAAAGTAGAGGACAACTCAGGGAGAAATTAAAAAACATAGGAGGTGGAGTGATAAATGTAAAGAATTAGTTAAATGATGAAGAAAGGAAATATAGGTTGTAGTGATGTGTCGGTCGCGAACGAACCGGCTCTAAGAGCCGGCTCTTTGAAGTGAACGACGGGAGCCGGCTCGTCATTGGGAGCCGTCCCCTCCCCCCTCCCCTTTTGCTTTGGTGAAAGCCACAGGCGATTGATTGGTCAGCATGTGTAACTGCGTGTCCAGACTGTCCACACACAGAGCAGTAGGGGCGAGGAAGAGGGAGGATCAGACTCAGACACACAGCAGAGCACATGCGGGCGGAGGGAGATGAGAGGGAATGAGGAGGAGGAAAAAGGCGAGAGAGAGAGAGGAGAGTGCAACGAAGACGGTGAGAAAATGAGCGCCAGCAGTCGGAAAGTGGAGATTTCTGAAAGTGTTCAGTTATTAAATCCATAGAAATGATAAATATTTGATATATAGCATTTTTTTTACATTAGTAAATCGTTTTACATATAGTTTTGCATTATTTTGGTTATAAATGTACTCTACACAACAGAAAATCTGAGGAGCCACTTGGGAGCCGAAAGAGCCGGCTCTTTTTGGTGAGCTGAGCCAAAAGAATCGGCTCTCTAAAAAGAGCCAGAATTCCCATGTATCTAAAACACAGTGGTGTGTTGAATAGAAATTAGTTTTTTTTAATTCGCTCTTACTCCGACTCACACTCCAGCACAGTAAGTGGTGGAAATGCACCTAGAAGTTAGATGCCACCCTGATGACACCCGCCAATAAACAAGAAGAAGAACTCTCTGCCAGATTATAGGAAGCCTTGTGTGAGTAAATGTCCAGCATTCCTCTCAAGCATGACTCCTTGTTCCTGATAACGTTTTTGCTCCTTGGATTTCCCCTCTTGGTTAACGGTTGTAGTCTTAAGCCTAATTTATATTTATCAGTCTGCGTCGGGACGGATGCACGCAACGCCATTATCTGTCCTTGCAAGCCTGCTGGAGAGCCCTCACAAGGACAGATGGAGTCGAGCTCTCTTTTAAACATCCATCTGTTGAGACAGAGAACGCAAGCTTGTGATTGGTCAACACGCCGCTGCCGTCTACGGCCATTGCACCCTCAAAAACATAGAGGGCCAAGGATATCTAGCGAGCAGCTTGAAGATCCGCTTCCAAGAAAACCTCTAAATTTTAATGTTTTATTCCCTCGTGACTGGAGGAGTGAAAAGATGCGCAGCAAGCATTTTATTCGTTGACGGAAATGATGAGAAACGTGGGTTTAGAGGTGGCGAGCCCATGAAGAGGTGGAGGAGAATGAGGGACAAAGTCTCTTAAATACAGAAAAATGCAATATAAAGACACTATCTTGGACCGGATACATGACAGGGTACTATAGAACAACGCTACACCCTCTGTTGTCCTGGCGGGGAATTGCTTTGCAACACTCCCCAGGAGACAGAGTAGTATGAGGACAAATTGTCTCCGTCCGTGCGTGCGTGCGTCTGTCTCCCTGGTGGAGCTGAAGAATAAATAGGGCTTTAGCCCAAAGGCTCTCCTACTCTTTGTGTGGGGGATCCAGCACACATGAGCTAGTTGGCGTAGGTCTATGGTAGAGATCGCTGCACCCAAAATAACAGGAAATATGTCACAAGACGATTCTGTAGTGTAAAAAGTCTAAATAACATTTTAAAACTACACTTAAATGCAGATTATACACAGCACTTATAGTCTGTACGATGTAGGGATCGTTTAGTTGAATTTTCGGGTTTTTCTTGCATTTTGTGATTTCTATGTTCTTCCTGTGAGACTGGTGGGCTGGCGCCCTAGCGCCCCCTATGGACGAGTTGCCACTGTTCTAAACCAGATGTGACCATTGCGTCTTGCTCGTTTAGTCAGGGAGTTTGTGATGGTGGGCATGAAGGAGGGGTCATTGAGGGTAGATGGAGGCAAAACTTCTATTCAGGGGTGTCCAATCCTGGTCCTGGAGGGCCGGTATCCTGCATGTTTTAGTTTGAACTCTGTTTCATCACACCTGATTTCAATCAGCAGCTAATGAACAGGCTTCTGCAGAGCCTGATGAGCTGCGGCACAAGTGTTTCAACCACTGAATCAAGTCTGTTGGAGTAGAAAAAACACAAAACCTGCTGGATACCGGCCCTCCAGGACCAGGATTAAATGCTTCCCTGTTGCCGATGGGCACTAATCACCCCTCATACAGCCACTGTTTTCTCGTCTTTGTCACTGCTCGCGCCTCCGTCACACAAAGCGCAGTGTAGTGGAACGATGTTCGCCAAGCACACAGGATGCTGACATGCTGCTGCTTTTATTTCTATACGAGACAACCGCTTCAGGGCTTCAGCCTACGTTCAATGCGTATGCAGTCACATTTACACAGAGCCTGCAGCTCAATATCAGGATGACTTCATCCATAGTTTTTTTATTATGATTTCTGCTCTTTGATGTAAAACATACAGATCTTAAAAAAATGATCGTTATTATAAATTTGGTGTTTGATAAATATTTATTCTTTTGGAAAAATGTAACCTTTATTATTCATTAAACTTTGTCATTTTGACCATTTTTATGTTTGTCATATAGTTGCATCAGACAACCAAAGAATTGCAAACACAATTTAAATTTATATTTGTCCAACTTAGTAAATGGATTTGGAAAATATTTACCTCGTGTGTGTGTGTGTGTGTGTGTGTGTGTGTGTGTGTGTGTGTGTGTGTGTGTGTGTGTGTGTGTGTGTGTGTGTGTGTGTGTGTGTGTGTGTGTGTGTGTGTGTGTGTGTGTGTGTGTGTGAGATAATAATTTACAGTGAAATCTTACACAATTTAACTGCACATCGTTCATCCTTATCATTGACTGTAAGTTACTGAAGAGGATTTTTATCCTTTCCATCTGAATGCAGTTACTTAAAAAAAAGCTTTGGAGTAAATATATTTCATACAGGCTGTTTTCTATTCAATCAATAAAATCCAAATGTGTCATTGCAGAGGACCCAGTTTTCACAAAAATGAATATTCATTAATGAAAGCAACCACTAAATCATTAGAGATAAACTAATTAACTCGAATGGCACTAAAACGAACTTGACAAAATAAGGAATAACCTTCATGAATTAACGGTAATTCATTGAGACACAATGTGTGATGTTAACAGGCATTGATGACAATCAAAATAAAAACAATTAGTAATGGCGTGCGACTTCATTAAATGACTGAATACAACTCTTATAAAAGCATCAGGGCCCAATTTATTGTATTTTATTTTATCAATCAAATTTTCTTTGTATAGCACTTTTCAAATACAGCTCAAAGTGCTTTACAGGTTACAATCACCCCAATCCCATAAATCCCATTAATGAATCACAGCTTGCTGCCAGAGGGAAGCATTACAGCCCACTCATTATGTTGGTGTTCTGACGTAAAGGTACGAGTCTTATTATGTTAATCACCACATTTACAGTTTGTTTTCAATGTTTTTTTTTTCTCAATTTCATAAATTGTTCAATCGACTCTCGTGCATGACAATAAAACCTACACATTGAGCATGCTCCTTAGAAACTCAGTGTTTAGAGATTTAATTTGTTTTCTTCATTTACAAGCAAACCTTAGATGTTTGTAATGGAATTAAGGAGTTAAGATTAATACATTTTGGATAATCCTCAAATATTTACCGAAAGTAATACTAAAGATCTTGGCTAATATGTTAAAAGAATTAAAACAAGAGTAAATAATTAATCAGTTAGATATTTTTATTTAGTATATGATGGCTTTTGGTCTTGGATTGAAAACAACCCTGCCACAGATTTTGTGAAATCTGCGTGTGATCCCTTTCTCGACCTCTAGATGACAGACGACTTTGTGATATTTTGATCTCGCGAGATTTGACTACTAGAAAAATAAAAAGCATTTCCTGGTCGGAATAAGTTTTTACCTTCGGACAAGAGTAAGTTCACATTGTTATAAAGTGACATTATTACAATTTAGTAATAATAGGCATATTTTATAGCCATTATTTGTGATGCATACTTACGTAAAAATGTCAGAAGTTATCCATGTTTGTTAGAGTCGTTTATTTCAGCGCTGCATGCTAGGTTTCTTAATTTACTTGTCATAACTGCTCTTTTAAGGTCTTGTAAAATGCTGTGGACAGCGGCTATCTCTAATATATAAAGAAAACAGGACACGGTCTAACATTAGGAACAGTAAAAACGGATCTAAATGACAAAGAAAAGCTAAACCAAGCTAAGTTAATTCGTCTGTAGATGCCGTATACATGTCGATGGTAGATGTACAAAAGTTTACAGGTTTACTGCAGCTTGTTTCCCAATCCTCAACGAGCCCAACCTGTAGGTTTACTGCTCCAACGCTGTTACATTTACGAGTGTTTTTATTCATTTCTCACACACACCACCTGTCATTTCTATGCTGAAGTTAAAGTGGCTCCAATCTATTAAAAATTAAACTTAAACATCTGGTCTAAACACACTTTGTCTTTTTCATCCACCAGTTTCAGACGTACACTCCGTTCTCAGAGGAGTAAAGGTTCATGAGATAATGGAGGAATCAGCAATGTCATCAGCAAGCTCCTCCATTGGGGATGCCGTGTCAGGTAGAGGAGAGGCTGGCTATGATGATGAGGAAGATCTTTTCTACATCCCTGAAGCAAGACCCCCTCTGGACACGAGCCAGTGGTAGGGGGAAATCTGAGACACTTTCCCTTTTTGTTCCTCCGTGTATTCAATACAAATAGTGAAAACTGTTTCTTAATGACAGACAAAATAAGACATGGCCGTTGTAGCGAAAGAGACTAAGTTCAATGCCCATGATGTCTTTATAGCGCAGTCTTTTATATTTAAACAAAACAATAGTTCGAATCATCTTCAAATGAACCAAGAGAAGGAAATAACTTCTTAAATTTAAGCGTGTGTTTTCAGTTTGTGAGGCCGTACAGGTTTCAGTAACCTCTTGTCCCACCCATGATTTGTCCTCAGCCATTTTGTGGATCCAGCTTTGTCTCCAGCTCAGAGCTACCAGACCATGTCCAGTGAAGGAAGTGCATATGTAATGGAAGATGGTGTAGATGAATCCTCCACAAGGTACGGAGAACATTGAGTCTTGAGAAAAGCTAAATATAAACGTTGGAGATAAACTAGAGCATTGCATCGATAGATCAGCTGCTGTATTGTAAGATTTCTGAGCTGATGACACTAACAGTAATTTCCTTGTGCGCCTGGATTCAGGGTTGAGCTGCAGCGAGCAGACTCGTTCTCCAGCAGCTACTCATTTGACAGCGACGACTGTGAAAAGAAAACTCTCAAGTAAGTAATGACTTCAGTGTGTGCATGTGTGACTTGAAGGCTGGCTAGCCTTTTTTTTTTTATATAATCTGCATTTTATTCTCACCAGAGTTCATGAAAAAGAAGGTAACCCGGAGTCTCTCGAAAACCTGGAATTAATCCAAGATCCAGCTGAGATCAGGCATCCATGTTTAACAGTGAAATTTACTTTCCAGGTCAGATTGTTTAGCTTTTCTTTTAACCACTGGCACACACTAACAACCCTCTCCAATTAAAATAGTCTGCACTAAATGTAACTGTCCCTTTGGATTCAGACTTTGAGTGAAACACTGAAGATGCTGTCAGAGGAGGAATTAAGGACTTTTAAGTGGACGCTGTGGACTTATTACCAGCAAATATTCAGCTCCTCTCAAAACATGGACATCGTGGATATTGTGGATCGACTGCTTGAACGTTTTAGCCATGAAGAATCAGTGCAGATCACCAAAACCCTTCTGTACAAGATGGGCAAACAAAAGGAGGTGGAGTACATCACAAACATGTGCATCAGAAGTACGTACATTTATTACCTTAATGTTCATTTAACCGTAACAAAGTTACACATAGAATGATGGCACATTTTATAAGAGTGTTTTTGTTTCTGTTGCCAGATCAAGTACGTTATGATTTATGTAACACCCTGAGGAAGAAATATGGTGCATTAGGTGGTGATTTGGACATGGAGGAAGAGAAAAGGCCCATAGATGACCTATACGTTGATCTTAACGTCCTGTCGAATACTAATAATGGCCCGAACATCGAACACGAGGTTCTGACCATACCTAAACCACACACCAAGCAGAAACAAGGGGTCAAGCTTTCTGTAGCGGATATCTTGTCCCTGAAGATGCAGGAGGAATTCCGCACTACACTGTTATTGGTCGCTGGAGTGGCAGGATCAGGGAAGTCTGTGTTAATCAGAAAGCTGGTTCGTGATTGGGTCGAGGAACGAGCCCCCACGGAATTAGCCTTCGTGTTTCCTTTGGCGTTTAGAGAACTCCGACAGTTTGAGGGGGAGGACGTCTCCCTAGTGAAAATAATACACACGCTCTACCCAGAGACGACGAGATTGAACAAGGAGGATTTTAGCTCTTACGACTGCAGGATGTTATTTATCTTTGATGGGTTAGATGAGTACAACGAGCCTCTTGACTTTTCAAACACGATGCTGATCTCCGATCCTCACGATTCTGGCAGTCTGAACGTCGTCATAGTTAACCTCCTCAGAGGACGGCTACTCTATAACTCCGTGGGCATGTTCACCTCCCGAAAACACATCGATGCCGTTATCCCCTGGGATACGCACTATAATGAACTAGAAGTGTTGGGCTTCTGTGACCCCCAAAAGGACGAGTTCTTTAGGAAGAGGTTTAAAGACCCAAGTCGGGTAGATCGAGTTATCGAGTACGTCAAGTCTGTGAAGACCTTGCATATCATGTGCCACCTGCCTCTGTTCTGCTCGTTGGTGGCTGATGAATGCCAACGCGTTTTCAGGGAGCAGGGATCCCAGGCAGCCCTGCCCAGGAGCATCACCTACGTTTACACAAAGCTGCTGCTGGAGCTTGTTCATCATCGTAGAAAATTCAGAGCTCCGGATCTCGATCCTGACAAAGAGCAAGAGTTTCTTCTAAAACTTGGAAAACTGGCCCTAAATTGGCTGGAACACAGAACGTTCCAAATTCACAAGCTGGACTGGCCAGAAATCAGCGATAAGGAGGCAATAATGAACAGCGGCCTTTGCATGGAGTACGTGGTGACGCCATACGTTCTGTGTAATGAGGACACGGTCAGTTTTCTCCACCCGACCATTCAGGAGTACCTAGCTGCTCTTTACGCCTTTCTCTCCTTCAGAAACCAGGAGAAGAACGTCTTTGAACACCTTAAAGCCAAAGCCCTGAGGATGTTCAAAGGACACAAAATCATGGAGCTGTACAAGGCTGCTGTGGAGAAGAGTCTGCAGTACGACGGCGGCAACATGAACATTTTTCTGCGTTTCCTGTGTGGAATGGCCCTTGAAAAGAACCAAGAGCTCCTTCGAATCTTCTGCAAGTCTTCAGCAAAAGTGGAGAACCTAAAGGATGATGTTGCTTCTCTAATCAGAAAGAAGATCAAAGAAAATCCATCTTCCAACAGGACTGGAAACTTGCACCAGTGCTTGGAGGAGTTGGGTGTCTGAGACTTTGACTCGGCATGAGACATTTTAACACATCAGTGTGCAGGAACATAAACGGGTAAAGCAGAGGACTTCCGATTGTGCTGTATGACGGAGAAGACTGAGCTAACACTAGAGATCACATTTCATATGAATGAAAATACTAATGAGGTGGGCAGAAAAGCAGAAAGTGCAGCGTTTATAGATGCACATTGACATGCTGTAGCTTTGGTTGGTTGCACGGAAGTGCAAAAATATTTGTTCTGCTTGAAATGAATAGCTTCATTATTTTGTTTTTAGGATTAGGATAATCCAGTGTTCAACCACAAATTAAGACTAAATATAAAATGAAGCACCTCTGGCAAAATGCTGATAATTAAGGTCTCATGTTTTCACCCTTTTACCAGGTGGAAGCAACATGCAAACCTTTGTAGCCAAATACAGAGATTAAATCTTCAATGTCAAAAAGCTTAGTTCATGTGAATAATGCCACTTGTGACTCTTTGTTCCATTATGGAATGATTTCCCATGTTATTAAATATTTTTATTTATGATAAAATACATTAATCAAACGAGACGAAAATAGAAAAAAGCTCTAATTTATTTTTATGATCTACAACCAAGAGAAAGCAGATTTGTGCAGCTGCTGCACATCAGAAAATAACAGTTGTATTAAAAGTTCACATCAAGATGTTTCGGAGGTAAGGGAAAACCTAAATCCTGAAGCATCTTCCAGTCAGTTTTCATTTCAGTGCGAGGTAGAGGTCAGATGATGGACTGGGGTCACTTTTCACAGTTTCACACTACTGATGTGTGTCTAAAGGCAAAAAAAAAAAAAAAAAAAAAAAAAGCCGCTGTGGAAACGAGTGCAGCTCATATTTTCCTCAACTCCCGTATCATTTGTCAAAATCCTGTTAATAAGTTTTCAACAAAGTGCAACACCGAATTCTCTTTTCAAAAATGCAAAACGAAACATTTCTACCTGTAGCTGCCACAGCCTCTGGTCGTTTCTACTAATTTGAAGTGCCTTTGGGCATTTCCAACTGCATTCGTCACAACGCAGCTGAAGGTGGACTTAAAGTCCTCCCTTGTTACGTTTTTGAACACCAGACTCTTGTGCAAAATCGAACCCTCCAGTAAATGTGATCTAGAAGACGAAAACAATCATTGCAAAGTTTAGTTAAATCATGCACTTTTGCATAAACAAGTTAGTCTTTGAGCAGCTTTAGGTGTTAATACTTACTCGTTAGATTCTACTATTCTGTCATGGCTGCTTTTATCCTCTGGGAACGATCCATCAACAAGCCAGTAGATGAGTGTCTCGTCATCGTCGGCGTGTGTGAGTGCATCACAATGCAGAACCAGCTGCGCAGCTGCAGAAGAAAACCGATCAAAAACAGTGCCACAGAAGTTCAAAGCTCTTTTAAAAAGGACTTGTGGAAGATAAAGGTAATGCTAAAGCACGAGCTACCTGGATGAGCTCTTATTCGACTGTGGGGTAGCCCGATGATCTTTGGAGAGTCGACTTCTGAAACTAAAAAACTTTTGTTAAAGCCATGAAATAATTTTTAAAATACACATTTTCCCTATAAAACTATTTTTTTTAACCTGGGAATCCTTCAGCAAGCAGCAAACACAGGAATCCAAACGCTGTTGGAGACGATACAATCTCAGCCTCAGCTTAGACAAAAGATAAATGAATCGCTGATATCGTGTGCAGTTACCTTTGAGAACTGATGTCCGCTTCATTTTGGTCCTTCAGTGAATGACCGCTTCTGACACGTGGGATTATATATACATGGACCTGCATGTGTATCATTTACCCACTTCCTCTTTGACTACTCACTGCATGGGGATTTCCTCTCCATTTTGACCAGTTTTGTTCCTTTTTGGTCGTCAAAACACACGCTGGAGCCGTAAACTCTGACTCACAGCAATTCTATTTTTCTTTGTGATTAGTCATGTGTTAAATATTGCATGGACGTTGAACAACCTAAATGGTGTAATATTTATTAAACGATATGGATAAAAACAGTTCAGAGAAACTGATCAGGTACATGGTCCAGTTGTTGTTGGAGCGGGTCAACAGGCCCACAGGTGAGTCGCCCATAAAACCAGTACCACTGATACCGACCACTTTATGAGGCCTTGCATAGAGCAACCCTCACCATCCAGTGACTTACTGGATCATTCTGAAATCAGTCGGTTTTACCTACTTCACTAAGTACTGTCCAACATTTGAACAAATTCCACCAATTCTCTTAAATTATACATCATTTCCCCACATTTAAGCCATTTAGTTAAAATCCTCAGACTTCTAATCCTGACCAATGGGCTAACAAAAGTTGAAGGTTAAATATGGAACAATTTAATAAAAAGCCATTTAAAGAACTAATACTTCCACAGGGTGTTCAGAGGTGTGCAGAATCAAGGTACAGTATTTACTTTAAAAGCTTAATTTTAATTAAATTATGACATTTTTATTCTGATGGGCATGACACTGGGATTATGTTTACATCTACAGGCCAGTAGAGGGCACCTTTGCGGGTTACCAGTGGGCTTGGCACAGCAAGTCTGGCTCTGGGAAAAGGCGGACTCGACAAGTCAAGCGGCTGCTTCTGAGCCCAGAAGATGTCGCTAACCATCTCAGAAGAGGAGTGAACATAAAAGATCTAAAACCAGAGTGAGTTTAGGTGAAGCCTAAACTCAGATGGACCCAAATAAAAAAATCACTTTTCGGCAGCTAACCTGGCATCCCGACAGCTGGCGACCTTGTTTTATTGCTGCAACAACCTCCACACACTAGATGTCGCCTTGCTGTTCCTGTTCCATATTCTACCTTTAAAGATCATCTAAAAATGAGTTTTTGTAGAAAGGTTATGATGATTTAAAGCGTTCGCCGTTAGTGGGTCTTATAAAAACCTGTTCTGAAGGAACAAATCAGTTCTGACTAGATTCTGTTGGAACTAATCTCCATTTCTCCAAACTGAAGTTCAAAGAGCCACCTCCACAACAGATAAGACTATCGCAACCGGTAAACAGAGTCGCCCCTCCAAAGATCTGACCTTTTTCACCAAGATAAAGATATGTGTTGTTAGTCTGGTTAAATCAACATTTGAGGACCATTTCAAATCCAGTACCAGTAAATGTTCTGTCATAAAAATGTGTGGTGTGTACTCTGGTTAAGGATGAACTGCCGGGTTTCCCTGGTGATTACACAGCTTACGGTCATGGCTGTTAAAGGTTATGGTTCTTGTGCGATGCTGAGATCAGAGTTGTTGCTACATGACTGCAGAAAATGTCTTAGAGGTAACATGTTTGAGGAAGCAATGATTTATGCTAGTTTCCATTTGAAATATATGACTCAAGTGATAACTCCCAGTCACGGATATGACCAAATCCAGCATGACACTTTTGGGTTTTGACAGAAACTTAAAATATAAACAAGTAAAAAGCACCTCTAATGATTTTGATAACCACTTTACTATCCATAAGATGCACAAACCAGCCACTGAGGTGGCGCCGTTTGAGAAAAAGCCTGGGAAACTGACATAGACATCCAAAATCAGAATAAACTAATTAAATCCAAATAAACCAGAAATACAGATATGTGCCTATAAATATGTACAAAAAGTATAGACACTTGTGTTGGTGTTTTAGTTTGTTAGGCCCACAGTCCCTTGAGCCAGTGTATATCTTCTTGGTCTGGCACCTCTGTCCAGTTCAGGAGGCTGCAGGTCACTCCAGACCGAGGGTGTAGTTGATACCTTGGACAAACCCGATAATAACGGGCTGCCAGGCCACCAAGTATCGAAGCCAGTCTAAAAGTTGCCCGTACATCACGTGTGGTCTTTCCCAGCTGAGAAAAACACTTCAGGAAAACAAAGAACTGAACACAAGAGCTAAAAGGCAGAAACTGAAGGTTAAGAAAAAGCATCATGTAAAATTCCCTTTTAGTCTCAGTTGTCACATGTAACTGAAATGTCTCACTAATCCATAAAAAGGAACAGGAACTCTTCTGTAAACATCTGATGCCTCATTTTTATGGTATTTCATTTAGGATTTGTTTATCAGTCTCACTGTCATTCTCTCATGATTTAGCACCGTTTTGACATTTGGTTAATCTGTCAACATCCTCAAATGAGAAAAAGGCTTAAAGGCACTTTTGAAACATTTTCCTCCTTTATAAACAGTACGATAGCCTCTGTAAATATAGGAGATGCGTTATTTAGTGTGACTGCTGAAAACAAAAGGGAATCATTTGTATGTTTTAGTAAAGGTGAGGTTCACTGAGAAACAGTTTACTTGTTCTTTTTGAAATATGATCCATGACAGTGTCACATGCAGACTGAACGTGAAAGCAGCTAATCTACCTAAGCGCCCATCATTAGCCGCCAAAAGAAGAGAGAAAAACAAACGCTCGGGTCAGAATGACACGCAGACGTGTGTCACACTAAACTAGCATCCATGGACTTACACACCGTGGCGCTCAACCAAGGAAGGTTGTGTTGGTTTTTGCAGCCAGGAGAGAGTAAAGCACTTCTCCAGCTCGTAGAAATTAGCTGTTAGCATTAGCACCACGCTTGTGTTATTTGTGGAGGTAAAACATCAATGCTGCAGAGCAATTGGAGGCAGTCGCATTGCCATTATCCAATCAGAAGCAAGATATCATGAATAATAAGTAAAACTCCAAATCCTGGTGTTTCCTGCCCCCACTCCTCTGGCTTACTTCTTCCAAAAAACAAGTTTTTTTTTTTTTTTCTTACACAGAACTCAAAAAGCATTCATTTATACTAGAGACTACAGCAAATGCATTGAAATAATGTGTGCATGCTCTCTTTATAAAACTGTTTGCCAGCTGGCCTGGGAACCCTTAAGATTCCCCAGGAGGTCCTGACCCAAAGAGCTGAGGAGAGGGAAGTCTGGCCCTCAGCTCAGGCTACTGCCCCAGCTACCCAAACCCAGATAAACGAAGGAAAAAGGATGGATGGAAGTTCAAAGCTCAATTAAGAATGAAGAAAAAAAAGGATACGGATTACTGAACATCCTCTTCAGATCCACCTTCTCTTTGCAATAAGGGCACATCTGCTTCTTTCCAACGATGCACCATCCTCTTATGCAGAACTCGTGGAACCTGAGTGAAGTTAAGGCTCAAAGTAACACAAGCAGAAACTACAACACAGCAGCTTTGTAAAACGTGGATTTAATTGTACGCTACATAACAGGAGCAGCATGGTGGGACAGCTGGTAGAACTGTTGCTTCACAGTGAGATGGTTGCAGGTTCAAATCCTGGATGCAGCTTTTTCACATGAAGTTGGCATGTTTCCCCACACATGGTGCTGCAGTTTCCTCCCACAGATAAAAAACTCGGGGAGTTGGAATTATCACACTATTAGTGACGAATTACAGCCATAATTAGTGCATTTTTTATTACCGTATTTTCCGGACTATAAGCTGCTACTTTTTCCCCACGCTTTGAACCATGCGGCTTATAATGAGGTGCGGCTTTACTGAAGATTTTCCTTCACCTGCCAGGGGGCGCTTTAGCAGAAAGTGAAACAGGTGGAAGACAAAAGTTGAAATCGAAGAAAGTGCTCATTTTAATTTAGCACATGCAAGCAGCCGGCATGACGAAGAATTTTTTTCAAATCCATACCCCCTCATCATGGTAACTACACGTATGAGTTCATATGTTGCCGCATTTAAGTTGAAGGCCATCGATCTGGCAGTAAAGGAGGGAAACAGTGCTGCCGCACGTAAGCTTGGCATGAATGAATTCATGGTTCGGCGCTGGAGACGGCAGCGGGACGAACTCATTCAATCCAGCTTCACCCGGGGATGATGACAGCAACACGGACAGCGACACAGAAAAGGTATGTGACGAAGCTCTTCTGAGGCTGTTCAACTCCGACACTGAAGATGATGACTTCAGTGGATTCAATGCGCAGGAGGACGATGAATAATCTAATCAATAACTTTTCAGTTTTGTTTGATACTGATCAGTTCAGTTACGTTCAGTTAAACTACGTTTTCAATTCAGTAGATATCCGGTAGATATCTGCGGCTTTTAGCCCGGTGCGGCTTGTATAAGTACAGTTCCATGTTTGTTTGTGTTTTCAAACTTAGTAGGTGCGACTTATACTGAGGTGCGCTCTATAGTCCGAAATTATGGTATGTTAATCTATAACACTACTGTTTCTGTGTATGTGCTTCTGTTGTAGCAGGAAGGGTAACCCCGGCTTTCCACAGCAGCCGTCAGCAGCACGTTACTGCAGCAGCACGTCATAGCTGCTGATAGGAACGGCTGTGGTCAACAGAACCTTTTCCACTGGAGCCGTCAGCAGCGCGAGTCGGCCGCGTCTCAGGAGCAGCATGTCGCGGCCTTTACGCGCCGGTTCTATTTCCTACGCGCGACGCCTCTGAAACGGGTCAAGTTCGACATTTTTGGGGAAGGAAAGACAGGAAATCGGACGCGGAAATGGAGAGAAGCTCCAGAGATTTTCAGAATAAAGAACGTACTGCCTTCCGGTTGCTTTACTTTAAAAAAGGTTACTAACTGTGCGTCCCCGTGAGAAGTTATCACCTAGCTAGCGGTCTCCTTTGTTTTTCAGGTCCGTATTGGCGATTATAAAACGGACAGAACATAAAACACAAACATTTTGGAGCCATGTTGTAGTTTTCTCCTGCTTGTTGTTTTGTTTACTGACGAAGTCACTCGTGTGACTTCGTGCTCGGTCGGTGACAGCTGCCCCCCTGCTGCTTCGCGTCTCGTGGGAAGGGCCAAGCAGCAGTTTACGCGAGCAAGACGTGCTGCTGCAGTAACGTGCTGCTGACGGCTCCCGTGGAAACCCGGGGTGAGATGCGTTGCAGAGTCAAGGAGTGAAAACGGAGGATTATATAAGTGTCGGTCCTATCAATGGGGAATTGGTATTTCAAAAATGCTCTGACAGCACCATGGATAAAGGTAGAGTGATATGCAGATGATGATGTGCAGGTACGAGGTAGGCAGCATTCTCCTCCACTAATAGAAGATGTAATAGATTGATTAACGCAGGTGTGAAAGCTTCAGCAATGAGGCACCTGATTTTGTTTTACTTTTGTTTTCAAGGTATGGGGATGGTTAAATTCCCCTTGCTGCTCAGAGGTAAAGGTTACAGCCAGCACTTGGTCTAGTCTAAAAAACTGGGCTTTCTGTTCAAGCCTTCTAAACACAATGACTTCATAAAGCCACTATTTTATCATCAATGTCCGACGCAATACAACGATGTTCAAAGAAAATACCTCAAGATGAGCACCATCTCAGCTACTTTAAGAGATCAGATTACTTAAAGATCAGAATTAATCTCATGGCAGCACAACAAAAACATGCATGTTATATTGATTAGACTCTGAATTGTGCCTTGGTGTGCACGAGTGTGTGAAAGGTTGCTTGTCCCTGTGAGGGACTGGAGTCCTGTCCAGGCTGCTCCATCCTAACATCCGATGACTGCCGGAGATGAACACCAGCTCCCCGTGACCCTAGTGAGGAAACGTGGTTCGGATAACAGGATGAGAAACTAAATGGGACACCGGTAGATCCAACATCTAGAAACGTCTGATAACTCATGTCACTGAGCATAACCGTGACTTTGCAGAAATGTGAGCAGAATGTCCCGTTTTCAGACCACCTGACTTTTCTGCATTTACATGTGCGTGGGTGTGTGTGTGAACACGTACTCTGTGCCGTCTCCACGTGAATGTGTTACCCAGTTACCACTAAATGTGAACAGGTCCATGTGAAGCTTCGTTATGATACACCAAACACACACCAGATTAGAATCATCACCAGGGAAGTCAAATAGACTCGTTTTCAGATTAGCATAAACAGGTCAGGTTAACCTTTTCCATTTCCTCTTTTTAAATGGATTCAATGATTAACTTCACGATACAAACTTGTGATGCGAACAGCCTTTAAGGTACTTCTCTTTCACCACAAAGACGGATGTAAAGTAGAATCTGTGTACGTGAGATGAAAGGATACACGTGGTTGCAGGATAATCTGTACGTGTTCTCGATGATCCCTTCCTCACTGACATCGACAAGGATAGGCTGGCCGCACACGGCACAGATATTGTCTGAGAGGTGTTTGGTTGGCATCCCAGATGCACTGTAATACTGAAACAAACAGGAAAGTTTAAATTTGCTTCCAAATAAAGGAGCAGAAATATCTGGTAATGTGCACTTACTCCAACAGTTGAAGCCATGAAGTCTGCACACATCTCAGCAAAATCCCTTCCAAGGACACCATAATACAGCCCATAGAAAAGCAGTGAAACACCAAAGTCCATGGCATCCTCCGGCTTTATCCTGGACCAAAAATATAACAAAACACCTAAGGTTATAGCCATGACTAATGCTGCGGAGGCATTAAAGGGCAAACAAATGATAAAATGCTCATTTTCATTCTTTTTATGAAAAGGAGAACACAAAAAGGTCGTTTTTAATTTAATCTAGAATCTGAAACATCTACTTGTGACCTGAATTTAACTGTATCTGTAGAGGAGCTGAAGATGAGTCGCAGTACCGCCTTTAAAAAGCAAACGAAAATAACTGAATCCATGTTGATATTTAACAAACTTTAACTCCCTTTTCCATCCGTGCTCCCGACACTGGGCTGTTGTCAAACAAAGATGGCTGACATGTGGAGGATGCTTATTAGTGGAAGTGATGCTCATTAGAATTGTAAACCAGACTCGTTTTAGATTTAGTTAAAATTAGAAAATGTCTCGTTTATCTGCAGAAGAAATGAAAACAAAAGCCATAACTCCCCTCTCCATTTGTAAACAGCTGCCACGCATGTAAACATTATTCTGGTTTTATTTTCTAGTTATGTGACAAGAACATATTTTAAACTATTTGTGAGATGTTAGGGTTTGTTTGCTTCTCTTTCTCAAATGAACTAGAAGGAGCAGTGAAACATATTACAGTTTTTCTCAATTGCTTAAACATTTTTGGTAACCTTGCCTCGTATTCTCACAACAGTAAACACAAATCCATAACGTCTCACCCAATTTCCCAAACATTGTATTTTTAGGTCAAAATTAAGCTTTACACTCACAACTGTTCACTCTTGCTGAAAAACCAAACTTTGCCCACACACACACACACACACACACACACACACACACACACACACACACACACACACACACACACACACACACACACACACACACACACACACACACACACACACACACACACACACACACACACACACACACACACACACACACACACACACACACACACACACACACACACACACACACACACACACACACACACACACACACACACACACACACACACACACACACACACACACACACACACAGGTGCAATAAAATCAAAACAATATATGTAAAACTGGCAAGTTATGCTGCTCGTGGTTCTTCCCCACAAAAACCTTTTCACATGATGAACACCAAAGATGCAACCAACGAATATACACCGGTGCATTTATATTCATGTACCATACAGTACAACACACACCACAAACATTACTCTGCCCCAGCATCTTGTCTTTGGTCTGGGTCAGACCCGAGAGCCTCATCCACATCACAGGCTAGCGGCCCTCGCTGGGAGGGAGGGGGGGGGGAGGGGGGGGGGGGGGTCTGATGTTGGAAGCAACAATGAGGCTGGACTTGTTGCCATGCCTCCCTCATAGTCATTCCATGGACAAGGACACGGTCAACTAATGTGGCTAGAATTTCATCCGAGACCACTTGTCTCCTTGCCCCGGCTGTTCCCCTCCACCTCCTCCTCTACCCTGGCATCCCAGACCTACTTCTCCTCCTACTCCTCCTCCTTCTCCTCTTGCACCACCTCCTCCTTCTGCAACTCCTCCACTATGGTGTCCTAAACATCCTTCTCCTCCACCTCTTCCTTTGCATCTCTTTGGATCCATTGTTTCAAACCCGCACGAGCCAACTTCAGCCTTTTTATCCATCCATCAAAGTGTCTGATCGGTGTGTGTTACGTCTAGTGTATCCAGGAGGTTAATTGTGTGCTAATTTAGCTCAAGCTGTGCTGACTTCAGTTAACATTCCTGACTATAGTGCTTTCTAAATGACCACATGATGTCAGCACTGAAAAATGTAGGGATTTGTGTGTAGAGTTTTGTAGAAACAGTTAACTAAATCTGACTCATGTGTTAAAGCAGGGAATAGTGAAAAATGGCATTACGGTTTTGGAATTTGAGTTCACTCCTCCTTGAACCGTCACCTTATCGTGGTGGAGGAGTTTGAGTGCCCTAATGATCCTAGGAGCTATGTTGTCTGGGGCACTTAGTGCCCCTGGTAGGGTCTCCCATGACAAATTGGTCTTAGGTGAAGGGTGAGACAAAGAACGGTTCGAAGGATCTTTCATGGCGGTTAAAACGAAGAGTCGGAGTACCCGGCCCGGAGGGTTACCGGGGTCCCACCCTGGAGCCAGGCCTGGGGTTGGGGCCCGTGAGCGAGCGCCTGGTGGCCGGGCTTTCGCCCATGGGGCCCGGCCGGGCCCAGCCCGAACCGGATACATGGGCTCGTCCAACTGTGGACCCACCACCCGCAGGAGGAACATGAAGGGTCCGGTGCAATGCGAATCGGGTGGCAGACCAAGGCGGGAGCCTTGGCGGTCCAATCCCCGGACAAGAAAACTAGTTTTTGGGACATGGAACGTCACCTCGCTGGCGGGGAAGGAGCCGGAGCTTGTGGCAGAGGTTGAGCGGTACCGGCTAGATATAGTCGGACTCACCTCGACACATTGCATTGGCTCTGGAACCCGAGACCTGGAGAGGGGTTGGACACTCTACTTTGCTGGAGTTGCTCCGGGTGAGAGGCGGAGGGCTGGGGTTGGCTTTTTGTTAGCCCCGAGACTCTCTGCCTGTGTGTTGGGGTTTACCCCGGGGGACAAGAGGGTAGCTTCCTTGCGCCTTCGGGTCGGGGAACGGGTCCTGACTGTTGTTTGTGCTTATGGGCCAAATATCAGTTCAGAGTACCCACCCTTTTTGGAGTCCCTGGGACGAGTGCTAGATAGTGCTCCATCAGGGGACTCCATTGTCCTGCTGGGGGACTTCAATGCTCACGTGGGCAATGACAGCTTGACCTGGAGGGGTGTGATTGGGAGGAACGGCCCACCTAATCTGAACTCGAGCGGTGTTTTGTTATTGGACTTCTGTGCAAGCCGCAGTTTGGCCATAACGAACACCATGTTCGAACATAAGGATGCCCACCGGTACACTTGGTACCAGGGCAGCCTAGGTCACAGGTCGATGATAGATTTTGTAGTCGTATCATCTGACCTGCGGCCGTATGTTTTGGACACCCGAGTGAAGAGAGGGGCGGAGCTGTCAACTGATCACCACCTGGTGGTGAGTTGGATCAGATGGCAAGGGAACATGCCGCGTAGACCTGGCAGACCCAAACGCATAGTGAGGGTCTGCTGGGAACGCCTGGCAGAAGAACCTGTCAAGACGGTCTTCAACTCCCACCTCCGGCAGAGCTTTGACCACGTCCCGAGAGCAGTGGGGGACATTGAGTCCGAGTGGGCCTTGTTCCACTCTGCGATTGTCGAGGCGGCTGTTGCTAGCTGTGGTCGTAAGGTGGCCGGTGCCAGTCGTGGTGGCAACCCCCGTACCCGCTGGTGGACACCAGAGGTTCGGGGAGCCGTCAGGCTGAAGAAGGAGGCCTACAGGGAGTGGCTGGTCTGTGGGTCTCCGGAGGCAGCAGACAGGTACCGGATAGCCAAGCGGGGTGCAGCAGTGGCAGTTGCCGAGGCAAAATCTCGGGCGTGGGAGGAGTATGGTGAGGCCATGGAGAAAGACTATCGATCGGCTCCAAAGAGGTTCTGGCAAACTGTCCGGCGCCTCAGGAGAGGAAGGCAGCAACTCGCTCACACTGTTTACAGTGGGGATGGGGAGCTGCTGACGTCAACTGAGGCTATAGTCGGACGGTGGAAGGAATACTTTGAGGAGCTCCTCAATCCCACCAATGCGCATTCCGAGGAGGAACCAGAGCTGGGAGGCCTGGGGATGGACTGTCCGATCTCGGGGGCAGAAGTTGCTGAGGTAGTCAAACAACTACACAGCGGCGGAGCCCCGGGGGCGGATGAGGTTCGTCCTGGGTATCTCAAGGCTATGGATGTTGTAGGGCTGTCATGGTTGACACGTCTCTACAACATTGCGTGGTCATCGGGGGCAGTTCCTAGGGAGTGGCAGACCGGGGTGGTGGTCCCCATCTTTAAGAAGGGTGACCTGAGGGTGTGTTCCAACTATAGGGGGATCACACTCCTCAGCCTCCCTGGAAAGGTCTACTCCAAGGTACTGGAGAGGAGGGTCCGATCGATAGTTGAATCTCAGATAGAGGAGGAGCAATGTGGTTTTCGTCCTGGCCGTGGAACTGTGGACCAGCTCTATACCCTTGCAAGGGTGATGGAGGGGGCATGGGAGTTTGCCCAACCAATCCACATGTGCTTTGTGGATTTGGAGAAGGCTTATGACCGTGTCCCCAGGGGCACCCTGTGGGGGACGCTCCAGGAGTATGGGGTGGGTGGCTTTCTGTTAAGGGCCATTCAGTCCCTTTACCAGAGGAGCGTGAGTTTGGTCCGCATAGCCGGTAGTAAGTCGGACCTGTTCCCAGTGAGGGTTGGACTCCGCCAGGGCTGCCCTTTGTCACCGGTTCTGTTCATCACTTTTATGGACAGAATTTCTAGACGCAGCCGTGGTGTGGAGTGTGTCGAGTTTGGTGGCAGGAGAATCTCGTCTCTGCTTTTTGCGGATGATGTGGTCCTCCTAGCTTCATCCAGCTCTGACCTTCAGCTCTTGCTGGGTAGGTTCGCGGCCGAATGTGAAGCGGCTGGGATGAGGATCAGCACCTCCAAATCTGAGACCATGGTTCTCGACCGGAAAAGGGTGGCTTGCCACCTCCGGGTCGGGGGAGAGGTCCTACCTCAAGTGGAGGAGTTTAAGTATCTCGGGGTCTTGTTCACGAGTGAGGGTAGGAGGGATCGGGAGATCGACAGGCGGATTGGTTCGGCGTCTGCAGTGATGCGGACGCTGAGCCGATCTGTCGTGGGGAAGAGGGAGCTGAGCCAGAAAGCCAGGCTCTCGATTTACCGGTCGATCTACGTCCCAATCCTCACCTATGGTCATGAGCTTTGGGTAATGACCGAAAGAACGAGATCGCGGATACAAGCGGCCAAAATGAGTTTCCTCCGTAGGGTGGCCGGGCTCAGCCTTAGAGATAGGGTGAGGAGCTCGGACATTCGGGAGGGACTCGGAGTAGAACCGCTGCTCCTCCGGATCGAAAGGAGCCAGTTGAGGTGGTTTGGGCATCTGGTCAGGATGCCTCCTGGACGCCTCCCCGGGGAGGTGTTTCGGGCATGTCCTGCTGGCAGAAGGCCCCCGGGTCGACCCAGGACACGGTGGAGAGGTTACATCTCCAATCTGGTCCGGGAACGCCTTGGGGTCCTGCCGGAGGAGCTGGTGGACAAGGCCGGGGAGAGGACGGCCTGGAGCTCCCTAGTTGGGATGCTGCCCCCGCGACCCGGACCCGGATAAGCGGAGGAAGACGAAGACGAAGAGTTCAAAAGGTTGGTTATATTGTTTAAGCAATCGAGAAAACTGTAATGTGTTTTTGAAGCAGTGATTACAAAAATGTGCAATCAGCACCATCTAGTGGCAAGCAAAGAACCGGAAAAGGGAAATTAGACTTTTCCTGTTTGTATGAAAATACAAAAGACTTTTTCTTCAGCAGTTTAACAATCATTGAAAATGTGAGAATACTTTTGTTATGGCAACAGCATACCTGAATATCAGGTTAATACCAAAAAGTGTAAACATGACAACAGTGTAGCCAACTATTCCAGTAGCATAGCTGATCTTGTACAGGAGGAGGAACCACTTGTACACCAACCTATAAATAAAAAGCAAAAGATATGTCTCAATTAAATAAAAAGGCTTTACATTAGGGACAAGTTTTCTCAGCACAAAGTAAAAAAACACATCCCACATTATTTTATCACAGTTGAGTCACAAAATCAATACCACACACAGAAAAGAGAATGCTTTGTGACGATAATCTATTCTGCTGGGAAGCATTATGTCATTTTCTCTCATGTAGATTGTGGATCTGGAAAGGTTTAAGCAAAGGTCTACCTCGGAGTGGTGCACGCAAGAGGTTTGCGAGTGGCGCGGAAGGAGATGTACGCTGTGATGACAGAGAAGATAAACCATGTGGTCAGGAACCTCCACCAGTGAAGTTTGGTAGTAAAGTAGAGAGGAACTACCCACATCTGGAACAGAGTCACCAGCTAAAAACACAAAAAATGTGGATAAGCAATCAAAATTTATACTCATCATCATCTTATCCAAGTTTGCACTCAGAGCTTGTGTGTTTAGGACTTTACGTTGTAAGACTTTGGATGTCGTTGTTTCCACTGAACAAGAACAAGCTGGGCGACGACCAGGGTGACGATGAGGATCAGAACCATCTCTGCGTGCATGGCTTCATGGCCTTTGTGTTTGGCGTGCATCCTTGCATGCTCCACTCTGGTGAAAAATATGTACATTATCTATGTTATACAGCCAGGAGCCACATTATGCAGAACACATATAAGTTCAACATATAGCAGCAAAAGTAGTAAATAGATGAATAAACGTCGTTTGTTGTTTGACATCGAGTCACTGTGGTGCAGACACTAACCTCCATTTCTCTTCTGGTGAAAGCTTAGACACATCAAACTGAAGGAAAAAAACACAAAGTTTATTTTGACAACTGCTACCTGAACAGCTAAACAAAACAAAATGTCAGCTGGCTAAACAATCCAAAGTTTTATTTGTGTTAATCTAAAAATGCATTTATTCAAGTTTTTATTTTAAGACAAAAAGCGCAACTTTTTCAGAAACTAATAAGATTTTATCCTGATGCTGATAATCTGTAACGGTAATGGCTTCCAGTCCTTTAGATGCTTCTAAAACAAGTCAGACATAACTAATGTTGAGTCTCGTGACTCTACCCTTTCCAGTTCATAGCACTAAAACTTACAGGAACACGAACATAAACAACCCACACATTCCTCCCCCCCCCCCCCCCCCCCCCCTAATATCTAATATAGACGTTGTCAAAATGGCGTTAGACCATAGTGGCATAGGCCAATCTTCAGATTTTATTCATTATCAGCTTTTCAAAAGCTGGATTCCTACTTATAATTTCCTATACTGTGAATTCAAGACACCCTAGGGTACTAAAAGCAGTGGGAATTAATAACACCTGTCATGGATGTGAAGTTTTTTTTTAATGTTTGTCATCATTTGCATAAAAAGTCAGTTTTATTAAAAATATACATTTAAAAACTCTATAGGATTTCTTTTTTTTTATCCAGACTTTCAAAAAATGTGAGCAAAAGAAGCCACTGATGTAGCTTCTGATTTCTGCTCTGTAAGACAAGTGGACATGCTGACTTCTTAAATGTTTGAGCACACCTTGAGTGACTAATAACATGGAAACCATGGAGCTACACAACAGGATGGGACAGGTAAGAAAAGGTAAAGCTACTTGGTGTGGTTTTGCCTTGTAGCTTTTCTCAGACAGTCCCTAGGCAGTGAGGCAGCTCTCTCATGAGTCTCTCCAGCAGAGCAGAGACAGCACTGGCCCAGGACCGAGACCAACTCTCTAGAGACAGTCCTGCCTGGCTTTGCTCCAGTCACAGAGACTTGGGCGGCTCTGCCCTCATCTTGCTAAACAGAATGCTAACATGTAGCATCTGAAACATAAAAAGCCAACATTTCTCTGTCTCAAAGGTGTAAACTTAGCAGTCCTTAGTTATTTTATTACAGTTTAGACTCACAGTTGGTAAAAATATAGAAAAGGTGCTGAAAACTCAGATGTGAGGTGCTACAGACCAGAATAATTACATATTCAATTTTAAATAATGACAATGAAACTGAGAAGTGAAACTCAACACTTCATAGAAAGCAGTTTGTTTTGAGGAGGTCAAGACACAACAAATTTTCCTGGAAACACAGACACTTTTGGGTGGAATGAACAACTTTAAGTAAAAAATAACTTTAAAAGTACAAGTGATATACCAACGCAACTGATTAAATAAACCCCTAAAACAACACTCAGGATCATCAATTATCATAAATAAAATTGAGCAAGTGTGATGAGTAATTGTTCTCCTCCCAAATTGCTGAGCTTGTTCAGCTACTCTGGATTAAGTAAAAAGACAACAGTCTTGTTGTTTGTGAGCTTCTCATATTACACTGACAAATAAGGTCAGCTATTTCAAACACTAGAAGGTATTTGTATAAGGGTTCCCACTCCCACCCATCAAATAATAAAAAATCACATTTATAAACAGCGTACAATATTTTGACAAACAACAATACATGACTACTGCTGACGTGTGCTTGTAGAAAATAAAAGCATCAGTGATAATTTTAAAGCATTTCAAGTTATTAATAAGCACCGCCTCTTCAGCTTGGTAAATATTTCACTACATTTATCCACCTGACTTGATGACAGATTGGGATATTTAAAGTCCAGTCTAATGAGACCTTGTGCCTTGAAGTCTGAAACCAAATCACGTTTGCATTTAGACGCAAGCAGAACTAGAACCTTAAAATTCTACAGGAAGTGCTACGATTACTTCCTATGACTTGACATTATTCGACCTTTGACCTCCATCAGCCACATCAGCTTTTCCTAAAATTAATAGATTACATGTGAAGTCGTTTCTTAAAAGTAGAATTGAACTTAGATGTAGACGCAAAACATTATTTAACAGTTCTGTGAGGAAAATAAACAGCTGAGTAACTTTAACGAGCAGCCGGTGCATGGAACATTAGCGATGTTTTGTGTTTTGAGGAGTTTTCTTTACTTCCTCTAATACCTGAAACGATGTTTTTATGTTAGCCAGAAATATACTTCCCCCTAGCACCAACGTCTAGTAGCTGCTAAATTTACCGGCATGTTGGTGCTTGTGGTGGGCTAAATCCGCGAGCAGCAGCTAGCTTGGACCTCCCAGCTTAACCCGCTCTCGTTTGTTTTATTTGTCACTTTCGATGTGGCACATTATCCTGACCTGGTTCGCCTCATTTTGGTGCTCCAGTCCATGGTCATGCTCCACGCCGTCAACCTCCACCTCAAACACTCCAGCCATCTTCGGAGTGCTATTTTATCGTTTCCTGGGCCATTAGCATTAGCTTAAGCTTAAGGGGGTAACTTCCGGTGCTGTGCTGTTGAAAAAAGTTTCACAATAAAAGTTCAACTCTTTTGATTTATTTATTTTTTTGTTCAGTAATTTTAATAAATAATACAATAAAGCCGCTTTGCAAAACTTTCAAACTTCAAAAATGGATATTTAAATAAATAATTACACAGTAGTAATTTTATAGAACTTTTTTTATTATAAGTGGATTTCTGAGATAACACTTCATTATAATTGTATAACTTTCATCACAAAAGCACAATGTACTGATGGGCATTTCACAAAGTACAACAGTACGTTTTAACTGAATATTTAGAACGTTTGACAAAAACACATTATCTGCAGCACAGAACCTCAAACTAAGAGGTTGTGTCTGTAACACCATTTGGCAGCTTTAAAAATCATTGGAAAAATTTATGAACAATTTAAAGTTGGATATGTGGAGAAGAGTGTGGAACATGCCCTCTCAATTTTTATGCCTGTTTCTTTTTCTTTTTGTATTATTTATTTTAATATTATAAACATATTAGCACTTTTTTCACAATTGTAGGCAGCCAATAAATAATTATAAATGTGGTCATAAGAATCTCTGGATGGTGTTACTGTGTCAATTATTCAACCTGAACCCATGGAGGATTACCCAACATAATTATTGCTCTTGGGATGCGAGATGTAAACATATTTTTATTTTGAATAAATGTCGGTGCATTCGTGTCGTCCTCAAAAAGCTCCTACAAAGCAGACCAGCTGCTATTTCAAAAAATGTAAAATTCGCGCCAGATTTTACCCTGAAACGTAATTTGAAGTCACGAGGGGATTTACGCTAATCTGATTGGTTCTCAGTATCCCTCAAAGTCCTCTCTGATTGGCTGAGCAGCTGACACAACACAGGCTCTAATGATTTAGTTCGTTGGCGCTCTTGTTTGAGATCCTGTGCAGTAGTACTTAGTTTTCTCTTTGTAATAACATTTGTGTTACAGCAGACTTGTTTTCTAGTCTCTTGTCGTGAGGACATCGTTTCACCTCCTGTTTGAGAAGTACAGCTGACTATTATCAACATGCATGTGATAAAGCGAGGTACTGTAACTCGATTTATTGTTTATGTTGTCTGTTAGATTGATATGTTGTTCTACGAAATTAATCAAACTCGATTCAACCCCTTAAATGTATTTACACTATTAGTTGAAAAATTATCCTCTGATTAATTCATGTAAACATTTCCCATTCAGAAGCAGAACAAAGAGTTGAAGAGCCTTTCTCTGCTTTATTCTTAATGCAGTCAGCTGTTATTTTATTAGAAGTTTCTTAGGCGGCTTAATTTTAAATAATAGTTTTTGAGAATTTCCTGATAATTTTTCCGTGTTCGGTGTCTAAAAATGCATTAAGGTTATTTAGCATTGATTGTAAAAAATACATTTTGTCTGTTTTTTATTTTATTGGCACGCATCTGCAGTGTAATTAGATGTTTTTTTTTCTTTTGTTAGACTCAGTAACTGGTTTAACAGGTGCTAACTGGTTTTACAGTCACCAGTTAGTGAATGAATCCAATCAACCATGTGCTCTGGTATTGTGGGCAGCCTGTTAGTCAACAAGTTAGAGATATGGTCAGAAATGACAAAAAAATAAAATAAAATAAAAACCTGCTTTTCGTTGCTTGTTTTATTTCTTAGATGGGCGCCATGAGGCAGTTAGTTTTGATAAAATCACATTTCGCATCCAGAAGCTCTGCTATGGACTCAACAATGACTTTGTGGACCCTGTAAGTTCTAACCACCAAAAGAGGACAAACCCCCAAACATGAAGTCACTGATCCATGACTACTCCCTCTTCCTGTGTTCGACCAGGCCGAGATTACCATGAAGGTGATCCAGGGTCTGTACAGCGGCGTCACCACCGTGGAACTGGACACCTTGGCTGCAGAGACGGCCGCCACCCTCACCACTAAACATCCTGACTATGCAATCCTGGCAGCACGTATTGCCGTGTCCAACCTGCACAAAGAAACCAAGAAAGTATTCAGTGGTAAGCCCTTGTAATGCCCTCCGTGACAATTCCCTTTCCTCTGACTCAACACTTTATTAGAATAAACTGTCTGTCACCAGATGTGATGGAGGATCTGTACAACTATGTCAATCCCTTAAATAAACGCCACTCACCAATGATCTCCAAGGACACGCTCGACGTTATCCTTGAAAACAAATCTGTAAGTTATGCTTGATTCTACCAGCTTTTCAGCATTTTTCCTCCTGAGTTTTAACGTTTTTTCTCTTTACCTGCAGCGCCTCAACTCTTGCATCATTTATGACAGAGACTTTACCTACAACTTCTTTGGATTCAAAGTAACATTTCGTTTCCTTTTTGCAGCCATCATTTCACACAGACACAAGAGTTGGCCATCTAATTTGCTTTTTGTTTTTTGTTCTAATAGACCCTCGAGAGGGCGTATTTGCTGAAAATTAATGGCAAAGGTGAGTTTATTATGATAATTGAGAAGCATTGCTACGGCTGCAGACCGCCACTTTTAACTCTTTCATGTTTTTACATTTCTGAGAGTAAAATAATATTTTTTGTAGTTGCTGAGAGGCCCCAGCACATGCTGATGAGAGTGTCAGTGGGGATTCATAAGGGAGACGTCGATGCGGCTATTGAGACGTACAATTTGCTGTCAGAGAAGTGGTTCACCCACGCGTCCCCCACCCTGTTCAACGCGGGCAGCAACAGGCCTCAGCTGTCCAGGTAAAACAACACAAATATCCATCTTTTCTTATTCCCCTCAAACCTAATCCTTGTTTCCGTTTGAATCTTCAGTTGTTTCTTGCTGTCCATGAAGGACGACAGCATAGACGGTATTTACGACACTCTGAGGCAATGTGCACTCATCTCCAAATCAGCAGGAGGCATCGGGATCGCGGTCAGCTGCATCAGGGGTACAGGGAGTTATATAGCTGGGGTGAGCATAAATTCACCACGTTGAGGCTAAAAGTCCAGCTAATAAAGAGGATTTTGTTGTTGTTGTTATTTTTGAGCTTTTAAAAACATTCCTGCTTTTTCAGACTAATGGCACTTCTAATGGGCTGGTTCCTATGCTGCGAGTGTACAACAACACAGCGCGTTATGTCGACCAAGGCGGCAACAAAGTGAGTTATGTCTGAATGTACTCATGAAAAAGTGTAATAAGGTAGGAAATGTCCTACGGCATCATGAATGGTGTGTGAATCCTTGGTTTAGAGACCCGGGGCGTTTGCTGTGTACCTGGAGCCGTGGCATTCAGACGTGTTTGACTTTTTGGAACTGAAGAAGAACACGGGCAAAGAGGAGCAGCGGGCCAGAGATCTGTTCTTCGCACTGTGGATCCCAGACCTCTTTATGAAACGAGTGGAAAGCAATCAGGTGATAATTGGACAAAATCTCGTGTCCTTGCAGTCCCCAAACTTGGCGTAGAGACGCTCATTGCTTTGGCGTTCTGCAGGACTGGTCTCTGATGTGTCCAAACGAATGTCCGGGGTTAGACGAATGCTGGGGTGAGGAGTTCGAGGAGCTCTACACTCGGTAAGATCACGCTTTCTTTTGTTAAATTCAAGAGCTCAATCGTCCATGCCTTTTGGAAGTTTTCACTCTGATTATTGGTCTTAAGTTATGAGAAGGAGGGCAGGACCAAGCGTGTGGTGAAGGCTCAGCAGCTGTGGTACGCTATCATCGAGTCGCAGACAGAAACCGGAACGCCGTACATGCTCTACAAGGACGCCTGCAACAGGAAGAGCAACCAGCAGAACCTGGGCACCATTAAATCCAGCAATCTGTGCACTGAGATAGTAGAGTACACAAACAAGGATGAGGTAAAGCAAGCAGGGGATATTCTGGCATCTACATTATTATTCTGCTCTGATGGCGGATGCTTTGATTGTCTTTGTTCTTTCTTTGACCCAGATTGCGGTGTGTAACCTGGCATCCATTGCCCTCAACATGTACGTCACCTCAGAGAAGACCTATGACTTCAAAAAACTTGCATCTGTCACCAAAGTTATTGTCAAGAACCTAAATAAGATCATTGACATCAACTACTACCCAGTACCTGAGGTATGGTCCCTTCTTGGTGCTGATTCTCAGTCTTCCTGCTACTTTTTTTTTTATAAATAAATTTAAAAATGACTTGTTCGTGTTGCTTTACAGGCTGAGAGGTCGAACATGCGTCACAGGCCAGTAGGAATTGGTGTGCAGGGCCTGGCCGATGCCTTCATCCTCATGCGCTACCCTTTTGAAAGTCCAGAGGCCCAGTTACTCAACATCCAGATCTTTGAGACCATCTACTACGCTGCCCTGGAGGCCAGCTGTGAGCTGGCTGCAGAATTTGGTGCTTATGAAACCTACCCTGGCTCTCCGGTCAGCAAGGGGGTGAGCTCTTCTCAAATCCATCCTGGGATTAGGACGTGGAGATTTTTGTCCTGAGCAAGGGTTTTTGTTTTTCCAGATCCTTCAGTTTGACATGTGGGATAAAACCCCGACGGACCTTTGGGACTGGAAGCTACTGAAGGAGAAGATTGCCAAGTAAGTCCTTCCAAGTATTCTCTTTATACATTTGTGGATTCGTGTCGTGTGTCCCTTATTTACCTCCTGTGTCTCCTCAGGCACGGAGTGAGGAACAGTCTGCTCATGGCGCCGATGCCCACAGCCTCCACCGCTCAGATTCTGGGCAACAATGAGTCCATCGAGGCGTACACCAGCAACATCTACACTCGCAGGGTTCTCTCCGGGGAGTTTCAGGTCAGCAGTTGGTGTTTTCTGTGCCTAATGTTATATGATAAAGAAGAAGGTTGTGATTTTACTTTCCACTTGTCATGTAGATAGTAAATCCTCACCTGCTGAAGGACCTCACAGATCAAGGGCTGTGGAACGAGGACATGAAGAATCAGCTGATTGCTCAGAACGGCTCCATCCAGGTGAATTCCGGCAGTGGAAACTTGTTAAAACATTCAGCGTCACTTGTTTTTTTGAGGATTAATGAACATGACAGATCTTCTCCTTCAGGATATCAAAGAAATCCCTGATGACCTGAAGCAGCTGTATAAAACCGTCTGGGAAATCTCTCAGAAAACCGTCCTGAAGATGGCAGCAGACCGCGGCGCCTACATAGACCAGAGCCAGTCTCTGAACATTCACATCGCTGAGCCAAACTACGGCAAACTCACCAGTATGCACTTCTACGGCTGGAGGCTGGTGGGTCAGGACTCCAGGAGGAGATACAGGAACACAGCATCAGAGTTTTAAAGTCTGCTTCTTTCCCTGCAGGGACTGAAAACTGGGATGTACTACCTGAGAACGAAGCCTGCTGCCAACCCGATCCAGTTCACGCTGAACAAGGAGAAGTTAAAGGAGATGCAGTTGGCCAAGAGCGAGGAGGAGAACCGAGAGCGCAACACGGCAGCAATGGTCTGCTCCTTAGCTAACAAAGATGAATGCCTGGCATGTGGATCTTAAAGTCTACCACCTCGCAGAATCACTCCAGATCAGATTTTAGGGAAATATTTGGTGCTTATTTTGCAAATGACATGTTTGTATTTTTGTGTGTTTCACGCTGTTGGACTCGCAGGCCTCTGCAGTCTTTTATTTAACAGGTTTTTCACCATGATTGTTTATACTCTGTATAGAATTAGCAAGGTTTTAATCAATGCCGTTTTTTAACTTGATTTTTTTCATGAATTTTGTGTTTAAAAAGGAAAAAAATTCAACTTCTCAACAAAAAACCTCATTATTCTAAAGATGACTTGTATCTGTGTGTTTCTGTTGTTATCAGTAAGAAGAGCTTTCAGCAGCTTGCTGCCATCAGTACATGTTTATTTGGAAAAGAACAGGAAGGAACTCGCTTTTCCCCATCTCACTTGGGTTGTTTTAACATCTGCTCTACAACACGTCAAACACAAATAGAAAGAATTTCTGTGATCGCCTTAATTTCCTAGGATTTAGCTGCATGGATTCAAATAGGAAGTAGAAACAATGTGTTGAGCAACACTAAAGTAAAATGGGGCAATATTCCAGGGTGTTTTTCCAGAGTGTGATGTTCCCTGGGACGGATGCTGCTGCAAGTGAGTAGGTAATGACTGTGTGCTTGGGCTCAGTGCCTCGGCGGGGCAGAATGTGTTAAAACAAGCCGCGACCTACGCTGTCACTCTGGCAGCTCGTCGGTATTTCCAGTCGTAGTGATCTCAAATTAGCACAAAACAAACTAAACACATCTGGTATTTAAATATCATCTAGCTGAAGCTTGAATTCAATTAGAAAACTCCTGATTTAGTCCAGATGAGAGAAGTCGCACACTCATCGTTCCTTCGCCGGTAACTCCATATTCACCTGTACCTGCATGAGGAGGATTATGAATTTTGTTTCAACAGGACGATGGCCCCACGCGCATCACGTCTGGTTTCTGATTGGACGAAGGAGGCAAACGTTCCCAAATCCCTGATCTAAACACAACTGGAGATTTGTGGACCAAGATTGAAAAGTTGAGTTTGTTCAAGAAAAGCAGCCAATTTAAATAACTCACTGTAAAGAGATAAAATCTGCAGACAGATCTATACTAGAAGCTTGGAGACATGATCATTTTAAATATTTTATTTCATACATTCATGTAATTGCATTGTATAAACTATGTGTGAGTAGCTATGTTATCTTGAGGAGTATGCTTGTCAGAAGGCTGATCCCCTAAACTGGTAGTTATGGTTTTACTGGCGCACCGTCGATGGATCCTTCTCCCTCCTGTGACCCAAAGCCCGTGTCGTGTGAGCTGCTGCTTCCTGTTGGAGATGGAATCACTTTCTTTTTTCCAGTCGCTCCATCTCTCCCTCTCAAATGAGACTTTTCTACGTCGGATCTTCTCTCCTCCATCCATCCTGTCTCCACCTCTTTGTCTTTCAGCTCCATGTCTTTGAATCTGATTGTTTTCTTCATGATTTTTTGCTCACAGTTGATTTCAGCACTTTCTGTGCGTTCAGCTTTTGTCTCATGCGTTTCTTCCCCTGAGTTAATCTCTTCATCTCTAACATCTACATCCACCTGTGTAGCCTCCTCTGTCTCCTTTTCTTCTACATCATTGAAGCTTGTCCCATCTAGGACCTCTTCTGTCAAAGTGTTATCACAGTTTTCACTTGTGTCTTCCTTCTCTTGTTTCTCAGTTTCCGTCTCATCTCCCAGCTCAGAAGTAGCTCGCCCTTCCTCCATTTTGGCTACCTCGCAGTCTGTCACCTGCTTCGTCTCCTCTTCTCCACCTTCACCCACCTGACTTGGTGGTGTATTTGTCTCTTGCTGTGCGTCGAACTCCTCACCTATCCTTCCCATTCCATGGTGCACTGACACTTTAAGTGATGTGTTTTTCTGATCATGCTGGCTGTGAAAACCTCTAAAGTTGTTCTTGGCACCGGTGATGTATTTCCCCAACACAGAGGAGCCGTCTTTGATCAAAGCATCGTTTGTAACGTGTCCATCCGCCATCTGGACCACTTTCATTTCAGCATTCATCCTTGAGACGGCTTTGTTCAGCTCGGTGATCCGATTCCCAATATCTAAAGAGAATATAATCACACAAATGTCCTCGTGTTCAATACAGAAACAACTCAGAGAAACAAATGGTCAGAGAACAGCTGTTCTATATCTATCATGTATGGAGATTTGGGGGAAAAGGCTGGTTTGTTATGAATAACATTCCCAGCAGTTAAACTCATTCATCAGCCAGAGCAAACAAGAATCTAGTTTTTAATAATGATGCCTACTAATCGCTGTAGAAAATGTGTTGTAAACACACCCAAGTGCTGACTTGTTGAAGCATTTTCTGACACAAATATAGATAAATTTCTATTTAATTCCTGGTTCAGAAGTTTTCTCTGCTCCACTTTCTTTCCTCATATCAGCAGCACCGGAGCCTCTAATGTTCCCCTCTCTCTGTTAAATCCTAAATTTAACCGCCACTTCCTCACTTCTTTTCTCCTTGACCCGTTAAATGTTTCTGACTTGTTTTATCTCGGATCCATGAGCAGCTGTTTTGCTCGTCTGCCTCTAAGTGATCAAACTCAACAGTGACAATGATTTCTGACATAAAAATCTAATTTTATTATTTTCTTTTGTACAATTTGATGAAGAAAAGGTTCTCTATTATTTGTTACTGTGAAAAACAACAAAATTGCATTCCGCTACTATAATTTATAATATTATAAAACTGATCCCATTCTATGCACTGATTCAGGATCAGCTAGGGTCACTAAATGAGTTTTAAAGTCATAAATTGGAATTTAAAGTCAACAACAATCAGCATTATTTTCATCATTTACTGCAATTAAGGTTATATCCATCCATCCATTCTCTTCCACATATTCGGAGTCGGGTCACGGGGGCAACAGCCTAGTCGAGAAGCCCAGACTTCCTCTCCCCAGCCATTTGGGTGAAATCCCAAGGCTTTCCCTGGCCAGGTGGGAGACTTATAGTCCCTCCAGCGTGTCTTGGGTCTCCCTTTAGGTCTCCTCCCAGTTGCATGTGCCCAGAAAACCTCACCAGGGAAGTATCCAGGAGGCATCCAGATACCCAAGCCACCTCAACTGGCTCCTCCCAATTAAGGCTATTTTATCACGTAAATTATGATATATATGAACAATATTAGAAAAAGGGTATAAAATGCCAAAATTTTTGTGAATTATTTGGTGTGGTTCATTATTTTTTTCTTGTTTGATTCCATTTCATGCTTCAGCAAAACTTATAAGGACTAAAAAGAGCTCTACCACATGATCAAATAGAACTGTAAATGGTTAAAGAGCAGGTCACACCCTACCAGAGTCTTACTCCACTTCATGTTTGACAAATGCAACAAATGCTGTTGCCTGGCAGAACGAGAGGGCAGTGCCGCTAACAAATACACACACACAGGCTCACAAAAACATTGACATCATAATGTACCAGCTAATGTTATAGTTGACCTCTTAGCCAATAGCGATGGCAAATTTAAATTCAAATGCAGTGCTGAGTTTTTACCTGAAGAGGGCACAACCCTGACAGTTTTAGGCAGAATATTTAAATTTGAACTAAGATGCACTGCCAAATTATTAAATACACGCATCTACAGATTGATTAGACACTCATTTATATAGTTTATTAGCAACAAAACTTGATTTGGGGGTGATTTGCTCTTTAAAATAACTTAGCCCTGGCTTTCAAAAACTCTCCAACTGTTAGAATTACATCTAAAATAAAAAAGTCTGCTGTCTTTATCAACAATTTTAATATTTATTGATGAAATTGACACAGTTTTTAATGTGAGTGAAACATTTGAAGTTTTTTATCTATAATATTACCTTTTCTCTTGGTCTCCTCAAACTCCCTGCGAGCTGACTCGATGTAGCGCTGAATCAGAGCTCTAATCACCTGCTGGCGGTAAGGTACCTGGCTGTCCTCCAACCCTTCATCACCAGGCTATTTTTAAAAATTATATAACATATATGAAGTATTTTGAAGCAGCAATGAAAATAAGCACTGCAGAAGTTGTACAAATCTAGACGTACCACAGAAGCTAGAGGAGGATACTTTTGCTCTGATTTAGAACAGCAGCAGCAGATTCGTCTGAAGATCCCCCTTAAATGGATTTAAAATAAAAACAGATAGTAAAGAAGTCCTTCAATCATATTTTAATTTGCATTTGCAGCGACTCTAGTAGGAATTAATGTCTTTTCAGTCGTACTCTGGGGGAAAAAAGCTCTGGTGTGCTTGTTTCGGCACAAAGAATTCAGCCAAGGAGAATATGTAGCTTTAGAAGAGAGGATTTGGAGTCTTTCCTGATATTTGGACATCTTGCCTTGGATTGGCTAAAAGCAACACGACTCTACTACTGACTTGCAACACTGATGTTTTATCTCCACAATTAACACAAGCCTGAAGGAGTTCTGCCGTGTGGTGGAGTTGCTAAGGCTAACAGTTAGCTTCTAACAATGGCGAAAGCGGGAGTCGAGGGCGTAGCTAAACGGCGGCCATCTTACCTCAGACAGCAGACCCCTCCGCTCTCAGTGGCAGGGGCAGCATCCCAACTAGGGAGCTCCAGACTGTCCTCTCCCCAGCCACCTCCACCAGTTCCTCCAGCAGGACCCCATGGCGTTCCCGGACCAGATTGGAGATGTAACCTCTCCAACGTGTCCTGGGTCGACCCGGGGGCCTCCTGCCAGCAGGACATGCCCAAAACACCTCCCCGGGGAGGCGTCCAAGAGGCATCCTGACCAGATGCCCAAACCACCTCAACTGACTCCTTTCGATCCGGAGGAGCAGCAGTTCTACTCCGAGTCCCTTCCAAAAGTCCGAGCTCCTCACCCTATCTCTAAGGCTGAGCCCGGCCACCCTACGGAGGAAACTCATTTCGGCCGCTTGTATTCGCGATCTCATTCTTTCGGTCATTACCCAAAGCTCATGATCATAGGTGAGGATTGGGACGTAGATTGACCGGTAAATCGAGAGCCTGGCTTTCTGGCTCAGCTCCCTCTTCACCACGACAGATCGGCTCAGCGTCCGCATCACTGCAGACGCTGAACCAATCCGCCTGTCCATCTCCCGATCCCTCACTCATGAACAAGATCCCGAGATACTTAAACTCCTCCACTTGAGGTAGGACCTCTCTCCCGACCCAGAGTTGGCAAGCTACCCTTTCCCGGTCGAGAACCATGGTCTCAGATTTGGAGGTGCTGATCCTCATCCCAGCCGCTTCACACTCGCTACTGCTACCTCCTTCTATACATTGTTTATCTGGTTTTGTGAATGTTGAAAATCTCCTTCACAAGGTCAATCCATAATCAATCTATCTTATTAATTACTGTAATCCATCTTATTTATTAACCTAATCTATCTTTTGATTATTTCATAACTTTTTCAGAAAGCATTTCCAAAGAGCTTATAATTAATAAATGAAAGTCAATAAATAAGAAAACAAAACTTAAGAAATAGTGAAAATACAAAACAAATGTCTGAGGTAAGATGGCCGCCACATTCCTACATCGCATCCCATTGACGAACAGCGGGGACGAGGCATCTAGTGTTTATATGCATATCTATGGCTTCCACTAGCTTAGAAGTTCTCTGCTGTTTTCTGGACACTAAACCAACAACAGCGTTCCCTGTTGTGAGTCAAGATGGGTGAGTTCTTGAATGTTAAGTCACAGATTGACGTAGATCTGTCAGGATTTTCAGGTCCTCGAGTTTCACTGTCTATTTTCTATCAGAAGCTAATGCAGGAGATAGTTGTAGGAGACTATTTTTATGTTCAGCCTGCATGAAAACCTCAGAGCGACCAAAATTTAAAAGCTTATAAAAAGAAATAATTTATCTTAAATCTTAAAAATTATGAGTAAAAATGGTGTCTCAGTGAAGGGCCTCTTTAAAGAAAAACGAAAGCAACGTTTTCATAACATTTACAAGCACTGTTGAATTTTGACGCTCACCTTAAAATGTAAAATGCAGCTTTTGGTGAAGGGATGACGTTGAAAGGCACAGGCATGGTGAGGCCCTCTCTGAAGTAACTGAGATACAGCTTCGACCGGGCAAACTTCCACTCCACATCTGCGTCGTCCTGAAACGAAACCAGGATATCAGACAGTCTGGCCGAGCTTCATCCTTTACAGCAGCTGCGCAGAGAATCGCTTGCCTCAATTTTCTGAAAGGAGTTGGTGATCATAGCGATGAGCATGTTGAGGAGAACGATCACGATGACCAGAGTGAAGATGCCATACAGAACCCGTCCTACAAACTCGGCCAGAACAAACTGAGGCATGTCCACATAGTCCGGGTTGGCCATCCCAAACATGGTCCAGAATAAGAAACGGAAGGTCTCATTAAACCTGCAGCACAGAGGAGGTGTTTAATCTGAGTTTGCACAGTTTATGCTTTTACAATCATCTTTGAAAAACTGAATAGAAATCTCTAAAAACCTAAACTAAAAGTCTCATTGGAAGCAAATCTTTATTCTGTTTATAAATGTTTCACCTGCAATCCAGCCATTGCTTTGGCTTTAAGGCATCGGAAGCAGAAAAACCAGCATCCTGGTAATGAGCTCACCACTTCACAGCAGCAACAGAATCAGTGTCTGATCAGTAGAGTTATTCTAACCTGCCAAGCTGTGGAGAGGCGACATAAGGAACATAAATGTTGTTGATGCCACAGAGGAATGCTGTCCCGATGATCATCAGAATGAACATAAATCTGTAAGAGAAAAACGAAAAATTCTCACTCTGCTGTCCTGAATTCCCCTAAGTAGTGATCAGCAACATTTAATTACCTCATCATGTCATCAATCATCTTCCCTATGGAGATCTGGAGCGTTCCCAGAGACTCATGTGCTGGCAGGATGTAGGCGAGCCGCGTGAAGCTCAGCAAGCTGGTTACAGCAAACAGCATCTCGGAAATCAGCTGTGGGTCCTCCTGGTGCCACTGGTCGCGCACTTTCACATAAAAGCAAGATTAGCCGAACACGTTGACACACATGGTGATGTAAGAGTATTTACCCCCTCGCTGATTTGTTGTTTAGTTACAATTACGTTTTCCAGATCAGCAATAAATATCAACATAAGATATTGTTGATAAGACAACCTGAGTCTTGAAAGCTTTTATTGATTAAAGGTGTACTAGACTGTTGAGTATTAATAACTGGAAACAATGCTCTGAGCCTCTGTAAAGCATATGAAACCTTTATGGGGCCCCAAGCTGTCCCAACAATCCTGATAGGAGGCCAAAATCATCACCAAAATTAGCCCAGTAGTAAAAGACCTGTTAACCCCGCCAACTTGGCCAGGACAGGAATGAAATGGGGGGACTAAGTTAGCATCCATCGGTTGCGAAACAGTGATGACCTGCTGAACAAGGTCATTTGCGCAGGTGAGGTTAGCAGTGTCTCTGAAGATCTGCTGAATGAGGGAGATATTGTCCAGCAAAGGGACTGCATACCCAGTTTCTGAGCTTATCCAGAAGCTGGTGATGGTCAGTGGTGTCAAAGACTGCAGTCAGGTTCAGCAGAGTCATCACTGAACAGTCCCCTGCATCACTGTGAGTAAGAAGATCCTTAGAGAACCCAAGAAGAACTGTTTCAGTGGAATAAGCTCTACAAGACCTGACTGGAAACTATCATAGATGTTATGTTCATCTAGCCACAACCTTTTTTCCCAAGACCTTGAAGATGAATGGTGGTTTAGAAATGGGTCTGAAGCTGCTATGGAGAGAAGGGTCAAGACTTGGGAAGCGGGTGGATTACAGCGTTGCACTGAAAATGGACAAGTTTTCTTCCACAAGCGCTCAACACATAATACCCTGCTGTTAGAGAAGGCAAGAACAGAAGAAGCTACATTTTAAGCACTGCAGGCATCACTTGGTTAAAGTTGGCTGTTTTGCTGCTGTAACTGATGGAACTCTGAGTTCTGCTCTCTATCAGAACATCCAGAAGGAGAACAACTGACCTTTGACCTTAAAGGGGACCTAGAATGCAGGTAATCAGTAATCTAAAACTGATCTTTGAGCCTCTATTAAGCATATACATTTTTTTGGAACTTAAAATGTCCCAGGAACTAAGACATGCATAATAAGGCTCATTATAAAAAGACCTGTTTACCCCGCCCACTCCACCAGTGTGTGTGTGTGTGTTTGTTTATGAGCGTGTGTGACAGAGTGTATAAGTGTGTGTGCTGGGAGGTTCGAAGAGAGACAAGTGAAAGCAGAAACTAAACTACAGTCAGGGTTTCTCAGTAAGTACTCAAGCCTGCCACACACAAGAGCAAACTGCTGAGCTAACTATGTGAACTGCCAGCTGAGGTGAAATATTCTGGTGGCCAATCAACACGCGTTCTCCGCTCACATGATTTCAAAATGGTAGCAAACTATTTAATAGTTTGATGTAATAATCTTAATTCTTAACCAACAAGTAAATCATTTTATGTTACTTTAATAAAATTCTGACATTTTTAACTTGTAGTAAAAAATTACACGAGGCATGTTTTGAATCTACAGTTGCAATCAAACACTCATCCTTTAGGAGGCGCTGTCTCAAAAAAAAACAATGCAAGCCTGAATCAGCAGTCGGCCTGAATCTGTGGTCTCCAGTCTGCAGCAACATACTACTGGCCATAAGCTAACTGATACTAAAATAACCCACAAAGTCAGTGTTGGGAAAGTTCGTTTAAAAAATGAACTAGTTCAAAGTTCAATCAGTCCATTCATTTTAAAACAAACTAGTTCGTTCCTTAGTTCATAATTTAAAAAATTTTGAACTAAGTTCACTGTTCCAAAAATGAATTAGTTCATAGTATATATGAACTAATATATATATATATATATATATATATATAAATTACTTATGAAATAATTTTCCAATAGTTGGCACCCGTTCAGTCCACACTCATACCCAGCTGCAGTTTATACCCTCAGTAACTAAACTAACCTTGACCCTCAATAACATGAGGAAAACATTATATGAACAGTTTTTTCAATGGGAAATAATTAAACACTCTTAGGAAGCAGGCTGAGGTAGCAAACTCAAAGTGCAATATTAAAAGTGCAAAAATTAAAAAATGTATAATCTTTCAGTTAAGTCCCTTTTCAATTTTTCTGAATGAACTTTGACTCCTGCACACAGCATAGACGTAGAAGAGTAGATGCCGCACCAACCGCTACTGCATTTGCGGGTTCTACTTTTTATAAACTTTTAGGATGTTTTAGCTAGGCTTTAGCTCTGGAAAAGCTCCGTGGAGATCTGGAGCTAGAACGGCAAAACGGTTCATAAACCCGTTCACGCAAGCCAGGACGAACGCACTCACTTTTACGGTCGTCAGGCAAAATACGAACAAGTTCAGTTCACGTTCACGAAAAAAAACAAATGAATTCTCGAACAGTGAGGACCTGCTGAACAAGGTCATTTGGTTCAATGAACGCGTTCGGGCACAACACTGCACAAAGTGAAAAAGATTCATACTGTTGGACAAAATATATTACTTACAAGTCCAGTAGCAACAAAGCCAGGTCACCATCAGTCTTTGTAGCTTCAGCTCCATCAAACTAGTGTCGGCCGCACCGATGGCCACTCTGCTTTTAGCTCTTTGATTTTACCTTCAAAAACATTACTCTCCTACCTACTTCCAGGCTCCACCATGGTTTTTTCTTCTTCTTGTGCTTATTGTTGACTATTGGCCAACTGAAAAAGCAAACCACTAGGATAACAGCTAACAGCTATAAAGCAGGTAAAGAGCGCTCCCCATGGAGCACCTACCCACTCCATAAACTGTTAAGTGCAGTATCTGTCCAGTAGAGGGCTGCACAGTGGTGTCAAATATAAAACTGGTCAAGTTTCTAACTCAGCAATCACTGAGACCAATGTTAAAGCTCTAGCTTAAAGTTTAAAAAACTGTTTAATGTTACTTTATGTGGCTGAATTTAACCAACTCTGTACAAAAGAGAGGAATAAAATTAACTTAACGCCAGTTGTTGCCACCAAGAGTGTTACCGTGAGTTAAGTTCCGGGGTCAGTCATGTTCCCCATGTTGTTTGGATAACTTTTTCCCTTAATAAATGAAGAAACCTGTAATGTGGCGGTTTATTGACAGCTCCATCATTTAGGTTAATTTCTAAGAAGTTTTCTGACCTGTCTGAGTGAAGTAGGCACAATCCTCACTGCTACTCTCATCAGGACAGAGGAAGAAACCCTTGAAGATGATGAGCACACGCAGCGTAAAGGATGCCAAGTACATGCTAAGAACCATCACATCCAGGCAGTTCCACCAGTCTCGAAAATAGCTCCGCAGCCCATCGATCCACACTTCCTTACACTCATACCAGAAGAACCCTGCAGGAGAAAATCCACATGATGGGATGGATTAGTGTGTTTGAGCTGTTTTACAGAGAAAAAAACAAAAAGAGCGAACCTACCAACCACCCACACCATGTGGAAGGAGTTGTGCAAGATGTTTTGCTCCCGAGACGCAAACGTGTCCCGATACATCTCCATAGTTATGGACTCTCCGAGCAAAGTGATGAGAAACCACATGTAGGATGCAGAATGGAGGATAAACTTGATCACAGGAATCTTGAGCAACTTTCCTGCCTGGAGAGAAAAAGAAGACATTTGATTTATTTTCTCGCCTCAATTTTAATCGTTTTATTTGACCTTTGATTTTGGCGCAATCCAGTAGATGAGGCAAAGGAAGGGCATGGTTAGGAAGATCCCGACAGAGACTAAGAGCTTCCAGGTCGTCCTGCTGCCTCTCCATCCTGCCAGGTTTCCACACCAAATAGATGAAAGGACCTGCTGGCAGATTGGGTGTGCCACAAACTACCAAAAGGAGGAGAAAAATAATTGTCACAGTTCACATCTTCTGTTTGCCGGAATTAGCATGTTGACCAGGCTACCTGCTTCTGGTTGTAGTTAACGGCAAGTCTCAGACGTGACAGGTTGGGGATTCCCTCCTCAAAGGCCTGCTCCTCCGAGGCATCCTGCTGATCATCTCCACAGCTGTTCAGGATGGTGGTCACCTCGCTCTGGTTGCGACACATTCCCAGCAGCTCCACAGCAAACTCCTGACAGATTTCCTCTAGGCTCAGATACTGAGGCTGCAAAAGAAGGCACCCACAGCTGAGCTGTGACACAACACAAGACACCCAACATGAACAATAATGGATCCCATCACACCTTGAACTCTGGCTCTTTCTGGGACAGCTTGCGGAGCTCCCTGCTGAGACTGAAAGCACTCAGCATGGCATCCTCAGAGGTGATGGACAGGTACGCCCGGCTGGCAATGCCACGGTAGGTGTTGATACGAGACAAGGAGAACTTCAGCAAGTCGTACTGGCGGCCATTGCGACACTCCAGACAGGCACAGGAGATCTTGTGTGGCCACGGGATGACGTGGCCTTTCTGAGTCAGCATAGTGACTATTTCATACAGATCCTTCTGGCACGCTAATGTCAACGGGGTCACCCCAGGGGCGAACTGAGAGTTGTCAATAGAGCGGTCAAAGATGGCCTGAGAGAATGATCGGACGTCCATCTTGTTGCCTTTTTCCTGATCTAAACGATCCAACAGACGCTTCACCACCTTCGGCTGGTTGGTGTCCACAGCAACCAGGAGGGCCTCGTGAATCTGCCTGAAGTCAAACTTGACCCCCTGCAGGAGGGCATCCATTCCATCTTCACTGCCCAAGCGGATGGAGAGGTTGAGAGCCTCCCTCCACTGCCGATCCTCAGACTCATCCAGCTGGCGGACGATGCCATCGCCCGTCTTCAGCAGTCCACAGAGAAGCTCGATTTTCCCTTCCTGGATGGCGGTGAGCAGCTCCGGGCGGAAGCGCATCTTCTTGTTCATTATCTCGCGCCATTGCTCTGGCTGAGAAGAAACAAACGAAATCCTAACCTTAATCCCAGGTAACTAATTTGTTTTTCAAAAATCTTCAATGTGGTGAAATCAAAGTTAAAAAAAATATGTGAAATATTAAAACATTTCCTATTAGATATAGACAAGTCATGAACAAAACTAGAAGATGAAGCATATTCAGATTTGAGAAATTCATAAAACTCCTAACTCAGCTTACCGTGAGGTTTTCCATTCCTGATTTCAGCTGTCAGGAACGAGGTGAAAGGTACCAAAAGAAAAGAACTGAGCGCAATCATGTGCTACCGCCTGACTGGATGGATGGATTCATCAGCATCCATGAGGTCAATAACACTCCGTTGCCTCCAGGGACCTGGGCCAATTAAAATGTAACCTGTTCAAAGTGTTCATGCTTGGATGAAAGGAAAACAAACAGTTTCTGCATTCAAACAGGAATGATCTCAGGTCTCCTCGTTGGTAACAAAGCCTCAGCACAATTAAAGCAGCCGTCTTTGTTTCTTCCCTCCCCCCCCCCCCCCCCCCCCCCCCCGAGGGGCAGCAGGGAGTTCACAGCAGTGTGGAAAAAACAAGCAGCTGTGAGGAAAGATGCTCTAATTAATTTCACTTCTACTTCTTTCTCCTAATTCATGTCCACTTATTAAAACAACACATTTTATGTATTTAGTTGAGTTATTTTTTTGCAGATGTGACCCTTGAATATTCTCTAGAGAAGAAAACAATTACATGTTTTTAATTTTCATAATTACTATAAACGTGTGTGATAGAAACTGAGATTTGAGGATTAAGAATGGTATTTGAGCTTTTGTGTTCTTGAGAGAATCTTTAAAACAAAACAAATGTTTTATCATCATCCACTTAGGAACAAACCCTGTTCAGTCCAGTTATGTGTTAATAGCTAGCCCACCAAAATTTAGCTCAGTATCTGGAAAACTGACGTTTTTAGTGCTCTTGGTTTGTTCGGATTTTGTCCGTTCTGATCAAAATCAAATAATGATTATTCGTCTACATTTTAATCCTTTGTATGCCAGCTTGATTATATAACGCAGATTTTTTTTATGAAAAAAGCAGACAAAAGAGGAAATATTTTACATGAAACATATTTTGTTGACTGAAACATATATTTTTAAATCAGTCTTGGATATGTCAAAAACGTGTCATTTCTTTATTAGTGGCCCAGACAAGAACCTCTGAATGGCAAAGTGGCTCTGATTGGTACTTTTAGAAAAAGTAAGCCAGAGCTTCCATCAAATTACCTGACACTCACTGGTCACTTTATTGGGCACACCTGTCTAACTGCTCGTTAATGCTAATTACTCATCAACCAATCACATGGTGACAACTCAATGCACTTACGCTTGTTGACTTGGTCAAGACCATCATCTACAGTTCAAACTGAGTTTCAGAATGGTGAAGAAAGATGATTTGAGTGACCTTGAACGTGGCATTGATTCAACAAGGTGCTGAAAGTGTTCTTTAGAAATGTTGGCCCATATTGGTAGGATAGCATCTTGCAGTTGATGGAGATTTGTGGGATGTACATCCAGGGCACGAAGCTCCCATTCCACCACATCCCAAAGATGCTCTATTGGGTTGAGATCTGGTGACTGTGGGGACCGTTGTAGTACAGTCAACTCATTGTCATGTTCAAGAAACCATTTGAAATGATTGGAGCTTTATGACATGGTGCATTATCCTGCTGGAAGTAGCCATCAGAGGATGGGTACATGGTGGTCATGAAGGGATGGACATGGTCAGAAACAATGCTCAGGTAGCCCGTAGCATTTAACCTATGCCCAGTTGGCACTAAGGGGCCTAAAGTGTGCCAAGAAAACATCCCCCACATCATGACACCACTACCACCAGCCTGCACAGCGGTAACAAGGCATGATGGATCCATGTTCTCATTCTGTTTACGCAAAATTCTGACTCAACCATTTTAATGTCTCAACAGAAATCCAGACTCATCAGACCAGACAACATTTTTCCAGTCTTCAACTGTCCAATTTTGGTGAACTTGTGCAAATTGTAGCCTCTTTTTCCTATTTGTAGTGGAGATGAGTGGTACCCGGCGGGGTCTTCTGCTTTTGTAGCCCATCCGCCTCAAGGTTGTGTGTGTTGTGGCTTCACAAATGCTTTGCTGCATTCCTCGGTTGTAACAAGTGCTTATTTCAGTCAAAGTTGCTCTTCTATCAGCTTGAATCAGTCGGCCCATTCTCCTCTGACCTCTAGCATCAACAAGGCATTTTCGCCCACAGGACTGCCGCATACTGGATGTTTTTCCCTTTACGCACAATTCTTTGTAAACCCTAGAAAAGGTTGTGTGTGAAAATCCCAGTAACTGAGCAGATTGTGAAATACTCAGACCGGCCCGTCTGGCATCAACAACCATGCCACGCTCTAAATAGCTTAAATCCCCTTTCTTTCCCATTCTGACATTCAGTTTGGAGTTCAGGAGATTGTCTTGACTAGGACCACACCCCTAAATGCACTGAAGCAACTGCCATGTGATTGGTTGATTAGATAATTGCGATAAGGAGAAGCTGAACAGGTGTTCCTAATAGTCCTTTAGGTGAGTGTATATAGAGCAGGTGACTGACTCTGTGGAGCCTTGGTGCATTATGTGGACAAGAATTTTGATGAGTGAAAAAAAAAAATTGAAAAAAGACTGTTGTAAATTCTGGTGATGGCATGATGCGTTACCCCCAAAACCATACTTCCAGTGCAAGAAGTCTCTGCATTATTTGGAAACAAGACTAGCCCACAATTTGATAGTCATCTTGTAGCAGGGCCCAAACAACAGAATTTCGGCATTTGTCGCAGGTAGTGACGTATTTTCTGTTACCCAATCTATGGACTTTTTATGCATGGCTCCGCTCAACCCGCACTGCACCAACATTTATGGACCTACAAACAGAATGGGGCCGTGACTGGTGTGGCCCGGGTAGGTCGTCTGAACCGGTTTTAGAATCGGAACAGAAAAAATACGAATCTGATCCTCCCCATTCCATGCCAAAATGGTCAATGGAAATCAGCTAGATGTTCTTGTGACTACTGTTGCACATTTTACTCAGAAATTTCAGATCTGTGGGACTGCAGCCAACCTCCATGGAAGTGGCCGCAGGAGGAAAATTGATGACAAATCAAAGAGACGTTTAATCCAAATGGTAAGAAAAGAGTCCAGAAAAACTTCTAGAGAGCCATGGTGAACTTCAAGCTCAAGAAACATCAGTGTCAGATCACACCATCCATCGTTGTTTGAGCCAACGTGGACTTATTTGTTTATTTTAGGACAGTGCATGTTAATGAACATAAATGTAAAAGCAGCTTACATGAATGTAAACATGCCAGATTATAGCCGAAGGCTAATTTCCATCTGTTGTCCTTAGACATAAAGACATAATTCATAAAAAATCATTATTCATTCATAATAAAAACTCCATCACCAAACTAACACATACACACCATTCTATTCGCAAATAAAACATTAAAACTATACAACTCATACATGATCACACACTTGATTTGTCCATAACCAGTTTTTAACCTTTGCCTTAAACAAATTGAAAGTCGAGCATTCTCTAATGGGTTGAGGAAGACTGTTCCACAGATGGCCACCCTTGACAGAGAGGACGTTCTGCCCAAATACTGTCCGTCTATGTGGTATAAACAATTCTCCTCCAATTGTAGCTCGTGTAGTCCTGTTTGAGCTTTCTTTATGCTTAATGAACTGCTTTAGTGGTGGTGGAGCAAGGGAGTGTAAGACTTTATACATTAAACAGACTCTCTTAAGTTTCATTAAGTTATTGAAGTTCAGTAATTTATGTTTTTTTAACACATGACAATGTGGTGGGAAGTCATTTTTTTTGTCAAGTAATTTTAAACATCTTTTATAAATGTTTTCAATAGTTTTAAGTGTTGTTGGACAAGCAAGTGACCAGGATGTCAAACAATAGTCCATATGAGAGATGATCATTGAGTAAAAATAAGTTTTTGCAACATTCATATTTAGATTATTACGTATATGAATAAAATTTCGATTATTAAATTTAAGTACCTGGGACACTTTATTCATATGACTCTTGAAGGATAATGTTGGGTCTAGAATGACCCCAAGATATTTAAATTCTGGTACTAGATCAAGCTCTACTCCATCCAGGAATATATTTGACTGCTTCAAGTTTAAGGGGCGTTTTGAAAAACACATACAGACAGTTTTTGAGGTGTTCAACATTAGGCATGAGTCCTCCAGCCAGCAAAGCATTAAGCAGCTGCAAGATCTTTTGCCGCCGGCTGGACACTGTTTGCTTGCGTATATATAACTGCATCATCTGCATACATTTGAGCAAATATATTTGGACAGACTTCTGGTAAGTTATTAACAAAAAGAGAGAACAACAAAGGCCCAAGAATAGATCCTTGAGGAACTCCAGTATCAGTCTAAATATGGAGATTTAACCCCATCCCACACCACACACAGTTTCCTGTGTGAGAGATAAGAGGCAAACCACTGAAGCGCCTGACTGGAGGTATTAAACTGAGTCAATCTGGACAACAATATCTGATGGTTTACAGAGTCGAAAGCCTTCTTCAGATCTACAAATACAGCTCCAACACAGCGACTCTTGTCCAGCAAGCTCTTCAAGTTCTCCACTAACATGCATAGGGCAGTATCTGTGGAATGATGTGCCCGAAAGCCAAACTGCAATGACTGTAATGAGGGTTGGGTGTTTCCTAGGTGAGCAGTGAGGAGTTTAACCACCCACTTCTCAGCTATTTTAGATACGACCGGGAGTATGCTTTTTAGCGAACAAGGACACCATTGTTGAAAACAAATCATAGAAAAGCCAGACTGGAATATGCCAACCTACATGACGACAATCCACAAAGCTTCTGGGAGAATGTCCTACGGACAGATGAGAAAAAATAAACCTTTTGCCAAGACACATCAGCTCTATGTTCAGACAGAAAAATGAAGCATATCAAGAAAAAAAAAACCACTGTCCCTTCTATGAAACATGGAGGTGGTTCTGTTATGTTCTGGGTCTGCTTTGCTGCATCTGGCACAGGGTGGCTTTAATCTGTGCAGGGTACAATGAAATCTCAAGACTATCAAGGCATTCTAGAGAAAAATGTGCTGGCCAGTGTCAGAAAGATTGGTCTCAGTCACAGCTCATGGGTCCTGTGTGGCAAGGTGGAGAAACGAGGGCCCGGGTGGGATTCGATCCCCAGACTCCCAGGTGAAAGTCATGCATGCTAACGAGTCAGCCAAAGGGACATCCCCTTGGCCAAGTAGCCGGGGCGCATGATCAGTCGGGACACTGTGACAGGACGCTCACACTCACACTTGCATCAAGACAATGACCTAAAACACAGCTACAACACCAAGTATGGCCATGAAGAAAACATTGGACCATTCTAAAGTCACCTTCTATGAGCCTGGACCTCAATCCTATTGAACATCTTTGGAAGGAGCTGAAACATGCCATCTGAAAAAGGCGCCTTTCAAACCTGAGACACCTGGAACAGTTTGCTCATGGGGAGTGGGCCAAAATACCTGCTGAGCGGTGCCGACGTCTCATTGACAGTTTTCACGTTAATATTTTTTCCCAAATACCACACAAGGGTAGTGAATTTTAAAGAGCAAGTCACCCCAAATCAACTTTGTTTTTTGCTGATAAACTATATGAGTGTTAATTGTTCTGAACTCATGTAGTCAATAATTTGGCACTTGAGTGCACCTTAGTTAAAATTTTAATATTCTGCCTAAAACTGACAGTGTAGTGCCGTCTTCAGCTGAAAACTCTGCACAGTATTTTAATCTACATCTGCCATCACTATTGGCTAAGAGGTACACTATGATGTTAGCTGGTGCATTATGATGTCACAATGCTGCTGTGAGCCTGTGTGTGTATTTGTTAGCGGCTCCGCCCTCTCGGTCTGCGAGGCAACAGTATTTGTTGCATTTTTCAAACAGAAAGTGGGGAATGGAGTAAAACATTGGTGGGGGTGACTTGCTCTTTAAATCAGTTGCTATGCAAAAACTATTGATGCAAAAAATTTATTCTTTTAGATATTTCATAGCATAACTGAGACTGATTTGTCCCAGGCAGAAATTCACTTTTTTGTGCATTTTTTCCACAGCAATGACATTGAGCAATTAAACTGACATTTCAATGGTTAAAATCCTGAAAATGATTGAAATTGTTTTATATTTGAGCAGAGCTGAAGTTGTATAACAGATCTGTGAAAAGAAAACAGGGAAAAATATATGAATTCATCAATAGGTTTTAACCACTTTTACAAGTGGACATTTTTTACCTCGGACTCAAAATTTTGTTTTCTTTTCTTTAGTGTCCCCTCGATCTATTTTCAAAATTTGTTGAAGTTCTGCAACAAAAATGTGTGCCATATGCACAAACTCTGCTAAAATGGCGTCCAACTCAACAATAAAAACCCTACTGCCCAAAAGGACAAATGAACTTCTTATTACGCTTGTTTGAGTTTACATAATGTGGTACATTTATTTCTTAGCCAAAATTATTTCTGTTACAAAAACATTTCTACAAGCTTGTTTCTATTTACTTCCATGAGCATTTTTTTGGTTAATGTTTTGTTTTTCTTATATTTTCACCCCAAAAATAAAATGAAAACCACAATAAAATTGTACATGCCACAGAAAGTTTTTTTTCCCCAGATCCTTTGACTTTTCTGGCTGAGTGCAAACATTTAAATAATTTTCCACATTTTTGGACAGAAACAAAACCAAACTCCTCCTAAAGTAAATGAATGCTTGAAAAACAGTTACCGGTACTCTTTTTCTTTGAGCCAAAAATTTCCTTATGTACACATTTGCTGACAAACGTGATTTAAAACCATAAAACACAGAAGTACAAAGAAACCAGGTTACACTGTCAGCATTATTAGAAAAATCCAGAGACAAGCGGTTATTAACACTCCTAAAAACAAACACACTTCTCAGAAATGCCAAAATAAAAATCCTCATTTAGTAAAAACACAAAAAGAGGAACATGCCCTCTGACATCAGAGTAAAATTAAATACAAACTTAAACAGTAGTGAACAACGTGGCCATCGGCGCATGTTGGTTTTAAAGTGACTCCTTCCTGGATTCGGCGTCTTCCTTCAGCTTCTGCTCCTGCATGCGACTCCGAGTGGAGCCTGCACACAACAATCCCACTGGATCAATACCAACCCTTTTCAACGGCAACAACAGGAATATAAACACACTCACTCATCTCTGTCAGCTTCTGTATCAGAGTTGAGTCTTCTCCAGGTTTGCTGTAAATTGCAGTAAAGACACTTTAAATCCTCCTAACTCGTCAGTCAGCTGTTTAATAGACCACAGTTACTTTTCTTTATGTCCAAAATAAAAGCAAACATGTTTGAGGCGCAGTTACTAAATCATGGCTGTGATAACCGACCTGCCGTCAGTTTCGTCTTGCCCGTCGATGTCGAAGCGGAGCCTCTTCAGAGGTTTTGGAGTAGATCCCAGATCCAGGGTCCTCTTGTGGGAGCGATCGCTGCTGACCATCTGGTTGATCTTCTGGAAGCGATTGGACAGCTGCAGATGAGGACATAACAGGATTAATGAATAAGTCAAGTGTGAGAGAGGAAAAAAGGAGTTGCAGCATTCTGTGAGGGTGACCATCTACCCCAAACGATTCCCCGATTGATACCAGCATTCTGCAAAGGGCACGAACAACACCATAAGATGTTTTAAAATACTTCAAACATTTGAAATGAATAAAATTCAAATCACAAAAATGAAGCACCGACCTGGAGCGAGGTGTAATAATACCCGGGGACACGCGAGAGCTCTTCATGGGAGAAATGTAAACGTTGTTGCTCCCAGGAACACGCAGAGGCGAGTTGGGGAACTTATAGGGACTGCGTGGTATTTGTGGGATTGGAGAGAGGGGGGGCGGCTGGAAAAAAATATCGGTATTAAAGCAGTAAGCTTTACTGGTCATAAATGGATCCAAGCTTCCCTGTGGACTTACCCTGGTAGATGCATACTGCAGGATGTTGGTTTTTAGTTTCTGCATGAACACCTGGTTGTAAAAGACGATGATGGAGTCGTACTGGCCTTCAGTGATCAACACGTGTTTAAATGTCTGCAGAGCACACCAGGTTTAATAAGTGGTGAATTAACAGGAAGTTCACTTCTACGGATGAAGCTGCACCACCTCTTGGTTGGTGTTGGGCAGGTTCTTGTACGCCGACACGATGGACTTGAAGCGCAGATCGACACTCTTCACTTTGCATATGGCATACATGGCTGACATCATCAACTGCAAAAGGACAAGCAGGTGATTTAATAGTAAAGAGAAACAAGAGGTGGAGACGGGAGGATTAAAGTCACGCTGGTGTTGAAGCACCTGGTCCAGGTGATGGTCTCTCATCAGCTCGTACTCATGCTGCAGAGTGTGCTGGAACAAGGTCCAGATGATGGGCTCCAGTTCAGGGTGAGAGGACAACAAGTAGGAGCAGAGCGTCTTTAGTCTGGTGTACGCCAGGCAGTACACTACAGAGGAAGGGGCAGAGAAAACACGTGTAAACTACAGCGTTAACATTCAACCTCATTTCTTTGAGTTCAGAGAGGAAGGCTGTTAAACGAGCAGTTGGGTTCATGCAAACGAAGGAGAAAAATAACATTTCTGCAAAAAATGATTTGAGTTTGTGAAATTCTAAAAATATTTTTATAGCAAATCAACTCTTGTTTTACTGCTCATCTCAACAAATATTTCTTACTAAATACAAGACAACCCCTGAGCCCTCAGATCAGTAACTAAAATTTACTTACATTTTTTATAGAAGAGGCTTAGGGAGTTGGACTTGGAATGTCGTGGAACTTGACCAGGAGCTTGAGAGGCGGGGTTGGAGGAAGCCACGGGGGCAGACTTGCACACGGGCTTCACGGGGGACTCAGGAGGCGAAACCCACTGGCCGGCTCGCATCGGTGACAGATATCTGCTCATGCGTCAGTGCAACCAGTGGAACATGTTAGATAACCTTTCAACACTGATAAGTGACATTTCCATCCCAGGAAAAACCCAAACACTGATGCGCAGCAGGAAACTGCGAGTGAGTCATGGAGTTCGGTGAGGCACAACGGTTTCACAAATTTAACCAAAAAAAAAGGGTCTGAGATGAGATCTTATTTCCCCGACTGGTTGTAAAGTAACTTACAGGTCTGCAGCGGTGTGGTTGTGCTGCAGCGGCTGGCTGAAACTGCCGGGAGTCTCCACCTGCTCCTCTGCTCCACTCCCACGTTCCTGTTTCAGGAGCTCAAACAGCGGGGATCCCTGACAACACAAACACACGCACAGATTTACTTTAATCCTACGATTTATTAAAACTGTGAGGAATAAAAACACACCGGAGAGGTTTTCACATCGTCACTTAAACCAAACCACAAAACACACAAAACCTGTACAAATGTGTGCATTGTTTCATCATCATTACATCTGAGCTCAGTCTTCATATCTATTTTTCTTTAATCCGCAGCCTACACAAGCAGCCTGATGATCTGATCGCCAACCCCAACCCAAGTGTGAAAAGGAAGTGGTTATACGTGAACTTTACACAAAATTTCCCTCGCAAAAATAGTCCATTTTACACGTCTCTGGTCTGACAACACAACTGTTCCTCACTGAATATTGCCACAAGGACACGCCAAGTATGTGACACAGATACAGGAACATCCAGCGTCAAGCTTGATTAGATCTGAAAACCTGCTAAACTGAATCTGATGGAGCTGGAACATCCTGACGGTTTAGGGAGCGTGTGACAATAAACAAGCACACAACTCAGATCAACACCTCTGGGGAGGGGGATCCTGGAGGCTTATTACCCTATGATAAAAAAGTGACTTCACAATACACATGTGACTGTGTTCAGACATGTTTGGAACATTCTTTGTGTCATACTCGCATGCTGCACCCCGCTGACGTCACCGATGTTTCGAAAACAAAATCTGTGGCTCTAGTGGGTAGCGTGACATACTAGGTTTGGTAACTCATTCTCTTAAGAGTTTTGTCAACAGCTGATTTGTGTTTCTAGTGCAGCTGCATTTGCTTGTCAACAGCTGATTTGTGTTTCTAGTGCAGCTGCATTTGCTTGTCAACAGAAATATTTAAATTTAATTTTTATTTTAAACAAATCATCTGAAGGAGGACTTTGACCCCTGTGCAGACTCCTCCCTGAGCCACAGAGTTCTCTGAGCCTCACACGTGCAGCAGTGGGACGTCTGAGTTACAGTAAAGGAGGAGCAGAGAGCTACAATGAGCTCACAGGGGACGCTGCGGGAACATACGAGAGAACGAGGGAGGAGGAACCACCTGACAGATCACAGAACTGAGAAAAAGAGCTCGGCTCTTCTACCCGAGGGACAGATATCATGTCTTCTGTAAAGGAATACTGATAGATCACTCAACTCAGCTGAGGATTTTTGCTTTTGAAGGCCAACAGAAGGTAATCTGACCAGCTGGTGACTCTACCTGCTGGAATTTTTCGGAGAAAACCAGTTGAGCAGCATTGGATATATTATTGTGTGAAATACAATATTCATGGATCCAAGCGCAAAGAACTTCCCTGTTGGACTGAAAATGTTTCAAACTTACCAGCTTGACCCAAATATGAACGTCAGCTGTGACAAGAGCGACGACTTCAAGTACCCCTTGTACAGCGTGGTGTTCAGCCTGGTGTTTGTGGTGGGGCTGGTGTTCAACCTGGTGGCGGTGTACATCTTTGGCTGCACGTTGAAGCTCCGGAACGAGACCACCACCTACATGATAAACCTCGTGGTTTCGGACTCCCTCTTTGTCCTCAGTTTACCTTTCCGGATCGCGTACTTCGTCAGACGCGACTGGCTCTTTGGATCTGTGCTGTGCAAGATCTCAGTGTCTCTGTTCTACACAAACATGTACGGCAGCATCCTCTTCCTCACCTGCATCAGCGTCGACCGCTTCCTGGCCATTGTTTATCCGTTCCGCTCCCAGGGAATTCGAACTAAGGGGACAGCCAAACTGGCCTGCCTTGTGGTGTGGGTGATGGTGCTCTCCGGGAGTATACCCACAGGCTTTCTTCTGGACACCACCTCACCAAACAACACAAACTCTTCTGCTAATTTCTGCTTCGAGAACTATTCCAAGAAACAATGGAAGGCGGAGCTATCAAAGGTAGTGGTGTTTATTGAGACCGTGGGCTTCATCCTCCCATTGATACTGAACGTTTTCTGCTCTGCCATGGTGTTGCGGACACTGAGGAGTCCCCAAGCCATCAGCCGGGGGAGTAGTCTCAACAAGAAAAAGGTCCTGAGGATGATCATTGTGCATCTTCTCATCTTCTGCTTCTGTTTCATACCCTACAATGTGAACCTCATTTTCTACACACTGGTGCGATCCAACATCATACCAGGATGCAACGCAGAGCAGGTGGTCAGAACCATCTACCCCATCGCCCTCTGCCTGGCAGTAAGCAACTGCTGCTTTGATCCAGTCGTTTACTACTTCACTTCAGAGACGATCCAGAGCTCTATCAAACGGAAGAGCACGGTCTGGAACAACGGAGCCAAACTGTTCGATCGACTACAAACTGAAAGCACGCAAAGCAGCCCGAGGACCCCGATCAAGAGCCTGACACCGAAGAGTGTGGGAGCCAAGACGTTCGACAACGAATCCACAGTCTGATCACATTTCTGGATGCTTGGAACATTCCAGCAGGATTCACGAAACTTGATGTGACTTAACAGCACAGTGGAGGCAGAGTGATTTAGAAACACAAACAAAAGAGTCACTCCCATAAAGTGGACTCCACTGAGACTTTGGACTGAGAATAATGACATTGACTCCTCTATAAAAGGAGGAAGTCACTGCAGCACCAAACCCTCGACAGGGGTATTCACAAGTTATTAACAGTATTCTAGCTATTTAAGGTGTAGCACGGTGCAGCTTTTAGTCGTGTGTGTCATTTATGGTCACATTAAGACCTTTATGCACTTTAATGAGCAACATGTTGTGTGACAGAATTTATCTGAAGAGTAAATAAAAACTTTTACTTTTTTTAAAAAGTTTTAGCTTGAAGTCGACTTCTTTTTGACTTTTGTGTGTCTCCTGGGTGCAACAAGTCGTTTATCTAAACTGATTAGTCATAACGCGCCAACATTAGCACCAAGGTTGTTTCTTGAATGAACAATATTTCCGTGTTGGGGTGTGGTGGGGAAATGACAGGTGCTCAGCCGTGCACAAGGATTAGGATGGGTTTAAAACATGAAAGCGTGTCAGAAACGTATCTGCCCTACTGCCTCTTTGGGTGCACGACTACAAAGAATTATGCAAAAATCCAATCCTGCACGCAGACTTTACTTACCAGTATGCAGCTAATGTGGCAGAAATCTTCACACACACTAAATGTGAGTAGGGAAGATTTCTTTCATCTATCGTTATCTAAACTTCAGTCAGCCAGGTTGTCTCCATTTCAAGCAGCATTGGGCAGAGTGTGAATGCATGTGAAGTGTTTGTCCTGCTGTGTAAAAGATCTGCAGAGCAGAGCAAGACGGAGCATTTCTGCATTCCTGTAGCGAGGCTAGGCCTAAGGTTCGGCTCTGACAAGAAGAGACACATGCTGACTGGGAACCCGAAAACCTGCGAGCGGCAACACGCTTCCTAAGACAGAAACACAAAATACGGCAGGGATGTTATTGCAGCTGTGACTCAAGTATCTCATCGGTTTACTCATGTAACTAAAGTGTGAAAAATAAAGGAAAGTTATACTTGATGGTACTGATGACGTTCAGCTAGACTAAATGGGGTTTTGTTATGAAGAGCAGTGGTCCACAAAGGGGTGGTCTCCCAAGATATAAGTAAACACGAACTGACGCATTTATCTTTATGCTCTGAATTATTTAGCTTCATAAGAATGTTTTTATTCTTAAATCGGATATCTGGGGTCACAGACAATTACTAATAAGTTGGGTCTGAAGCTGTTGGGTGTACAGGAATAGATTTATCATGTACTAAAAAACACGGTTTCATCGTGGAATGGGATTAAAATGCTTCTCCCACTAAAGATCTAGAATGATTTGACATAAAGTCCCAATAATAGTTAACAGAATACAAAGCTGTAAAACTGCACCACCTTCTGTCTGTGATTTATTGTTATACCTATATTAGCTCGATGGGAAGCGCAGTTAATCATCAACTTTAATCACTTGTCTTATTTATAAAAAGAAGTGTTTAAGCTGTAAAAATAACTTCATCTGTAAAGGTAATCAGGAAATTTAGATTTCATTTAAAAGTTGACAACTAAAGTTGGATAAATCAGGAATCTAGACCTAGCCAAACCTGTACTGGAAAATCTCTAAAGGTAAAATAAATAAATAAAACGTTAATGAAAGTAAACGACACCTTAAATGGTTTGGGGGGGGGGGGGGGGGGGTTTAAAGAGACAGGACAAAGAGGAAGAGGGAGATCCTGATGCCAGGAGAAACGGCTCCGACCCGGAGCCTGATGCAGAGCACCAGCTGATCTCACGGGTCGGTCCTGATTCTGGTGAGTTAACATGATTCAGCCGTTTCACTGAGCTCAGGGAGGAACAGATGGACCAGAACTTTATTTAAGCGCTTCCACCCATTGATTCATTTTTTATAGCAGCATCAAATTTAGAAAAAAAAAGAACTCAACTGAATCTTCAGGTATGTTTAATTTAACCATCTGAAGCTGAATGTTTCCTGTGCAGAAGCTAATTTTCTTTTTAATATCTCTACCAGCGACGACTTTTGAGACGATCTGTGAGTGCATCAGGTCTCATCTGTGGTCTTAATAATAGACAAACCTCCCATAACAACCAGCAAACACTAATAAGTTCTTACAGTCAGTCCTCTATATGATATTTGCTCGTGCTCGTCGTCCTAAATGAAAACGTCCGACAGGCCCAAGCACAGGTGAGCTTTACGACTTACCAGTTTACGAGGTGTTGCTTTTCCTCGCTCTGGTCTAATCAAATCAAATGTTTACTTGTTTTATCACAAAATAAAGCCGTCTTTTACGTTTTATAGGCAGAAAACACCTGACTGTCAGTCATGCAGTAAAGCTACCTTAGTAAATTTACATTTCATAAAGTGTCACATTTTAATTTGTCTTCATTTGCTGCAGATTTAAAAGCTCCAGCAGGAGCAGGTGGACATGTCCCTTCCAGCTGATGTTGGACCACTTCTACCAGCCAGAGCTCCTCTGGACGTGAGCACAGCTCAGTAAAGCTGAAGTTGGTTGTGACTTTGATGTTATGGAGCGGTGGAACATCACAGATCTGACGGTAAAACAGCTTTCACCTTTGACCAACTGTAGCGTGGACACGAGCTACCGCTTCACCTTTCTCCAGGTGTCCTACAGTGTCACCTTCCTGCTAGGGCTGGCCACCAACAGCCTGGCTCTGCGCAGACTCTGCTCATCAACCTGCACCATGAACAGCACGGCTATTTACATGGCCAGCTTGTCGTTCGCCGACATGTTCTTTGTGATCTCTCTCCCCATGAGGATCTACTACTACCATCAGCGGGCTCGAGCTTGGTCTTCCAACACCGGAGACGAGTCCAGTTGGAGTCCCGGAGCAGCTTACTGCCAGATCACTTTCACGCTCAAATACATCAGCTTGTACGGGGGGATATTCTTCCTGGTGTGCATCGCTGTTGACCGTTACTCAGCCGTGGTGCACCCTCTGGCAACTACGCTTCGAAGGCTGCGCGTGGCTCAGGTGGTCTGTGGGGGGATCTGGTGTGTGGTGCTGGGGCTCAGTGCGACTCTGCCTCTGCTGCGTTTGGCTGCCTCTCGTCAGAACCAGCCCTGCCTGATGGACCCGACCTTGAAGCGTCACAAAACCTTCATCCTGCTGGCCCTGGGTTTAGTTCTGGGGTCCTTTCTGCTGCCCACGCTGGTCCTGCTTTACAGCTACTGCAAAGTGCTGAGTGTGCTTCGGCACTCAGGACAACGCTCTCGCGGCCACCGCCGCAACAGAAAGCTGACCCTCAGGGTGATTTACTGGGTTCTGGGTGTCTACCTGCTGTGTTTCCTTCCTTATCACCTTAACCTGCTGGGATACACCCTCACACACGTCAGACTGCTGCCTTACTGTCGGCTGGCCAAAGTGACCAAGGCTGTGCACCCAGTGGTCCTTTCCCTCGCTAGTTTCAACTGCTGCCTGAATCCACTCATCTACTACTTCAGCAGCAGCCTGGTGCACAGGGAAGTTCCCACATGTGGAAGCAGGGGCAGGTAGTAAATCAGGACGATAAACTGTTTATGTAAAGAGAACCTGACAGCTTTGAGGTACTAATCAATACACGACAGACAACACTGTCAAAGTAGCCACTGTTCTCTGTTAGAAGGTGCAGTTTGAGCTCTTGTTGTGAAACTCGGATGTTTTCATTAAATGTTAAGTGGTACTTCTGGTTAATTTTACTGCAACTTCACGATTATGCATCAGTCTCCAGTATGTACTGGGAAATGAAATGCCCAGTAGAGTCGCTGGTTGGGTCTTGTGGGTAACTCATGCCGATTGTTTGTAAGTCAGTAGGAAGTGATATTGGCAGACATCGCCAAACAGGATTTATAAGACTGCTTCAAAACTCCCAACACTCAAAAATGCTGCGGAAACCCTCCCACTAGGGCTGCACACTTTATCGCAAATATATCGTTATCGCGACATCAGCATGTGCAATATGCACATCGCAAAGAACAGATAAACATCGCAATGAACGGTCAGCTCAAATGTTTGCTGCACATAATGCATTCTGTCAATCAAACAGAAGCATGATGTTTTTTTAACAAATCAAATAGAGCTCTTCACCCATTTGGCCAATTGGGCGAGTCCTCATAGGTTGGATGGTTAGCACTAACACTTAATTTTGATGGTTAGCAAGCACCTGAGTTAGCTTTGCTCTGCTCTTTCCGCTGATTCTGCTTTTCCCGGGATCCACGGATCCTTTTCTTGTTCATTTTCTTTTTCCCTTTCCTCACATCTTTTGCTTGTGTTACTTTTATGAATTTTTTGCCATATTTATTATTTCTTTGCTTTTGATTATTTTTGTTCCCGAGTTAAGTTTTTATTTATTGCAAGTAATATCATTATCGCAATATTAATCACTGTTATTGCATATCGCAGGTTTTCCCAACATCGTGCAGCCCAACCTCCCACCATGTAGCAATACACACCATTTTGTGACCTCCTACAGAGTGTCGTAAAGAACGAAGTTTCTCCTGGTCACTGAACGCTGCTTTTCTCATAGCCACGCCATTAAGGCGCCTCCTGAACAACGTAGAATACTGTACTTCAACAGGAGAAAACTTCTGATGTTTAATGCACTTGGCTGTGTGTGGTTCAGCACTGATCAGTGACATCACTGACACAACCGCGTAGAGGACCGAACTGGCATATTTCTTCCTGTCACCTTCTGCCCTCCCACAAAGACCTCGTCTAGCGGAAACACAGCTGTTTATAAGCATGACTGCCGTTCTAAGCACCTGAACTAGCAACACACCTGTTGATGGAGTTTGTGCAACTCAAGTCTGAAGCAAACAAATTGGTAATCACCTTCAGTGCATCCAAGATAAAAAAAGGACAATAGTGCAACTGGTTTAAAAGGTTATCAGGATGCAGATAGAAAAAACGAATAATTCTAACATTTTGTAATAGGTTATGTAACTGGCTTAAACCAGTTACTGAAGTATGTGATTCTGCAACATGCAGCTGTGCTTCCATGGAAGGATGTGATTCTGGTCAATTTATTAGGCACAACTGTTTAACTCATTCCCTGCCAGCTGTTTCCTGATCAGAAAAGCCCTTCGCTGCCGGCGATTTTCAGCGTTTTCACTGTTTTTCTAAGAGTCACAGAACGTTGTGCGATTGGATGATGTCAACGCCAAAACTACCCAAACCACCAAAACAAAGAGTAGACTCACCTCTTGCGTCAGGAAGAATTCGAGCGTTTCGAGTGTTATCCGTTCTTTCATAATCCGTTGTCAGATTGTGATCGGCAGAAGCTTTTCCGGTTCGCGCCTCACTTTTTTTTTTCCAGCAGCGGCCAAAAACGATCTCCTAACACATGGATTTTCTGCTTCCCGATCACGTGATGTGTGACGTACGTGGATGAAGATCGGCTTTAGAGCTGGGATGCTTGTTCTCACGGTGCAGGGGCTCGTGCCGACACCCACACAGTAAAAAAATGCAAATGATGACTTTAGTCGGTTGGATTTGAAACCACGACTTTTGTCGTCAATGGCAGTTAATGAGTTAAAGGCTTGCACATCGGCCAATCACGTGGCAGCAGTTCCGTGAAGTTTGGCATCTAGACACGTTGAAGGAGACTTACTGAAAAGCAAACCTGATTTAAAAATAAATTAAGTTTTTCTAGTTTTAATGAAACCTATGAATCTTTTTATAATTTCAACCATATAAATATTTGTTGCTATCATTTACAAATATAATTCATCTGCGTATGTGTCCAATACTGAGGGGACAGCACTAACAACAACGTGATGTAATACTGACCGTTCTCCATGCAATCCTCTCCATGATGAGGTTCTCACAGGTCTCCAGATGTTTGATGATATCTTTGCTGAGCGTGGGTTCCGCTTTGATGAAGCTCTCGATGACCTTGTAGAAGTCAAAGGCAGGCAGGTTGAACACGTTCAGTATCCAGGGGAAACACACGTCTGTTCCAGCCTGGTCCCCTCCTCCAGCGTTGTACCTTCCATTTTTAAAACTGCTTTCTGATCAAAAATAATATTACCAAGACACGCAGACCTTTAGCTGTGACGTACAACAAGTGCTTTAGGAAACTACACGTAGACAAACATCACTGGAAGCACCTTCATATGTTGCCATGACGACCTCCAAAGCACAAGCCAGCAGGGATGTGTGAAACGTGGAGTCGTTGAGGAGTTTACTAGAAAAGGAAGCTCGTTATAATATAGTAGGCGTAGTTTTCCAAACACAAACGAAGCACACACGTTATTTTACACACAGAAAAATTAGTAAACAAATTATCACCTGAAATTTTGAACAGAAAGCCGCTTCTCTTCCTGTAAAGAAAAAGAAAATCTTAAATGTCAGTGTTTGCATGCAAACCAATGTAGAAAATGAGCTAAATAAAAAAAGGTTCCCGCACCGATTTCAGCATGGCCTCCATGACTTTGTAATAAAGTCGTACACCGAGAGCAAATCTCTAAGGGGTTAAGGAGAATTTGTTAAGAAGCTGCCACAGTGAGAGGACAGGGTGCACAAAACCTCCGTGGTGGCTCGTACCTGCCGACCGTACACAACACCGCGTGGCCCAACAGCCTCACCAAACTTCTGGCTGAACATCTGTCCAAGCGTCTCCAAACGCTTCTGCACATCCTGTGTCGGGTCCACAGAGCAGTTCTGATGACAGGAGAGAAGACGAGAAACAAAACCTTAAACTAATCAAGCTACGAGTGAACAGGACTGTTGAATTAGTACAAATGCTTCAAGAGACCCACTTTGAAATATGTAGCCAGGTTAGTAGAAGGCTGGTCTCCACTGGAGGGGAGGTCTCCTCTCAGCATCCGGATGGATGTCATGGCAGCTCTGAGACGGAGACAGAAACAGGGATGACACCAAACTCCTGAGGAAAAACCCTTTTATCTGGAAAGCTACCACAAAACACTGAATATTCCTGGATAACTTTAGTTAAGAGGTTGATAAAAACTGCAAACATATTAAAGATTACTGTAAACTGATATTTTATGTTACTCTGTTTAAGGACGTTTAAAAACCCTCACTAATAAAACAGGCTCAAGTGCTGATTTCAAACTGGGCTAGATTTATAAAAAAAAAAAAAAAAAGAGGGGGACATTGTTTTATCTCAAAGTGTGAAATAATCATTTTTCATCCAAGTTTTTTCTTTCCTCTGGAGCAACAGCTGAACGCTCACCTGACGGGAGTCTCCGGAGGGATCAGAATCTCGTCTTCATCTGGCTGGCTCTTCTTTGGTGTTCTCTCCACTTGTGATCTGAATGCAGAAAACTGTTTTTCTTCATTTTATTTAGCATTTCCCTTGTTTATTTTTGAATGTGCAGCAAACGAAAAAATGAACAGTAAGAAAAAGATTTTACATCTCAACTTTAGGAGCAACAAGAGTCTCATCTCCATCCAAAAACAGCCGTCCATCGATGTCTCTGGACTTGAGGTAGTGCTCCTCATACTGCTGGTTGAAGTCAGAAACCTGGCAGAAAAAAAAATAAGGCAGCTAAAAGACTAAACTAAGTTACAATTATGTTTATGGGTTAGGGTACACTCGAGCACAACTGCACTATTTAAACAACATAAAACCAGACCAGCTATTAAGAGTCATGTCAATAATTTTATTTAGAAGTATTTGTGTTAATGTACAAATATGTGTAAACTCTGTCTAAAACGTTTACCATCAGTCTGTTACCGGGGTAACGTCACAGTAACATGAATTTTTACACCAGCCTCTGCCAATAAAGACCCTGAGATACTGCAAAAGATATCTCTGTGTGCGTGTGTGTTTGTGTGTGTGCGTTTGTGCGTGTGCGTGCATGCGTGTGTGTGAGAGAGCACACACAAGCAGAACACCGAACAGCCCCTGTCTGTTAAACACTGAAAAGCTGGAGGAGAGATAACTGGTGGAAATAAGAGATGCGGTAAAACCCAAGCTAGAGAACATGTTGTCTGATAGCAGCTGCCTACCTGAGGAAAATCTGGAGATCTAGACAGATCCAGGGACTCTAGAAATGCCAAGAAGCTGGTCTGGTAAACATTCTTCACCTGTAGTTGGTAGGGAGAGAAGATTAGGGCACAAGCAGTCGAAAAAGAAACTTCTGTAAAAGGTAAAAGAAAACCAGAGGGCTTCAAACCTCTTCTAAACTGCATTCGTTCTCTTTGCACAAAGTTTCAAGAAGCTGAACATCAAGCTCCAGCTCTGCAGGCCTGGATTTGGCTTTGTTCTGGCTCCGACGAGACGCTCGTGTTGGCACTTTGTTAATGGAAGATTCTGAGAGGAGACATTGTATATTGTTAATCGCTGACCAACATTTTTCAATAAAAAATTTCCTTCACCCTTATTAGTTTGATTATAAAAATACCAAAATGCATAAAACAAAGCTCTGGTTTACGGTAAAGAGGCTGCAGAAGGTCTGGAGAGCAGCGCTTGATAAACAGCTCCAGGGTGCAAAGCAGCAACTGGAACGATATGACCAGATCATCCTCCATCTGCAACGTCCTTCCTGCAAAGGCAGAGAGGAAAGCATGAGAATCACAACATAAACACAGGTTCCAGGTAGAAATGACAGCTGTAAACCTGAGAAATACTTTCTAATTAACCCGATTCCTACAGCTGGCCTCACAGAAAAAACAATAAGGAGCAACGTTTCTATTAAGAGCAGGGCCGGGTACCTTTAGATGGTTTTCAAAACCAGAGGCCTCATTTCTCAAGCTTGCTTACGCACAAAACGGGGTCAGAAAACTGCGTAAGCAACTTTCCACGCAAACTTTGGGATTTATGAAAGAAAACTTAGCGGAAAAATGTGCGCAACTTTAAGTTGACTAAGGACCTGGCTTACGCACATGTTGGACACGGAGAGCACCTGCAGTGCTGCTGCTGAGAAGGACTTTCACCCGGGAGATTGGGGATCGAATCCCAATTGGACCATTTTTTTTTTATATGCGCCACAGATCTCTCTGAAGAATTCACAACATTGACGGCTTCAGCAACGCTGTGCCACTCCGTGGATTTTTTTCCTATTTGTTTTGCAAAAGCACTTCCTTTCATTTCTCCACTTCACCCACAGGTACATCAATTTCTGCTTCTGTGAAATTGCACTTCCTTGATCTGCCTTGATCTACGGTCGCCATGTCATTGGTGGAGCGCTGCAACAGCCGGCTTGTGTATATGCATGAGATCCACAAGGCACTTTGCATTGACTATTTATGGCAGTAAGTGGGCGTGGTGAAGGCGGGGTGTGACTAAAATGCAGCTGAGAAACATTCTCGTTAGTCTCTGATTTATGAAGCGGAGTTTGCGTGCAGCTGTGCGTACTCCACGTTTGATAGATCACAAACCTGCTTGGCGTAAGTACATATTGTTTGCTGAGCTTACGTACAGTTTTAGTAAAGATTCTACGCAACGTTTGATAAATGAGACCCCTGAACTTTAATGATTCTTTTGTTCATGTAGCTATATTTTAGGTCTATTGTAAGAGGAAAAAGTACTTAAATTTTCTGTTTATGAAAAAAAAATGCAGTAAACGTTCAGTGTAAACAGTAAGCTATAATTTAACAAACGCCTATCCTTCACCTAAAGCAAGAGAACACCTATTTTGGATATTTGTATTTAAAAACAGTGGTATTTATTTGTGCTACACAAAAGTAAACAGTATGAAGATAAAATGTAAACTTTGATTTATTCTTTGGTAAATATGAAACATCTACTCTCAAAACCCAAAATGAAAGATAAACCCAAAGAAATGGAGAAATGAACATGCTTTTTAAACAAGAGGCAAAGCAAGTCAAAACTATTACACTGCAAACATGGTCTACTTTTATTTTATTTATTTATTTATTTATGGGCAGTCAATGACATGCACTGGCTTGCAAAATGGCGCCATGAATTATGAAATTGCTGATTTTTCCATACGACACAAATGTGATCCCAGATGTTACGTTTAGCTCGGATGTTTACAGTCACAACATGTGAGCAAAACTTCCACTTTTTCCATGTTATTATTGTCCGCAAACTCAGAGAAGTGTTGTAAATATACTGTGTGTGAATAAGAGAGCAGCCCACCCCCAGTCACATGACCTGCAGCAGCCAATGGTATGAAACTGTGTGGCTCATTAACAAGGATGTTTATTTTCTATATCAGTGCCAACCCAATGTATTCAGTTTATGTACTCAGCCCTAATGTGTTCACTTGTTAGCGTGTTAAAAAAGGACAATTACCTTTGGCCAAAAGAAACACTGTCCAGCATGTCTGCATCGTCTCTCTCTCCCTTTAAAAGGAGACAATAAAATATTAACTATACAAGAAAACAGTTTGTGATATAAAAAATCCAACATTAACGAAACAAAACACATAAAATGTGTGACAAATAGAGCTTAAACTCAACTTACTTGCCATACGTGGTCGAGGTAAAGATCTTCTTACAGGTTCTTACAAAAAAGAAGAAGAAAATGTTATGTCGTGTTTAAATCTTTGCCAGTTACCACTCCGACGGAATGAAAAGTGTCCGTGTTCACTCACTTCTCAAACCTCTGGTAGAGCGCTAACAGCACATCATATTTCTTCTCCAGTCGTGTAAGAACAGAGTTCACTTTGGTGCTTATCGTATCCAAGTTCAAATCCATCTGCCTCACCAGTTCCATGAAGAGTTTAAAACTTGAGTCAAAAGGAGAAAGAACGTTAAGAATAAGGGCATTTATTACTAATAGTCAAATAACCATTTACTAAAATCATTAAAAACACATTTTTTATCTTGTCAGTATTCAGACATTAGAAGGAAAAATAATGTAAGATACTAAATAACCAAACTGAATCTTCTACTTGATTGATAAGAAACATGAGGAAAACATGGACAGACAGTGCTGCTATAGAAGCAGAGAAAAGCCGCCATGGGAGCACCCACGTCAGTGCAACTAAAAAGGGGAGAGGGGATCATGATTAAAAATAATAATGGTATAATTTTAGACAAGCATCTTTATTCTAACGATAATTCAAAACACCACAAAAAAGATGTGTTATGCTTTTAGAAGAGTGCACCACAAGGAAAACTCAGCTGACACTCAGTTCTTACTTCATACTGATAGCTTTTAGGATCTGAGTCAAGGTGAAACAGCCAACATCCATGTCTGTTACAGTCACAAACAGACAAGCACCCCAAAGCTTTAGCTGACGATCCTTAAAAAAACAAAACAAAAATACACAGTTACAATCAATGTAACTAACAGGATAAAATTTATCTGTATCACTATAAACATTCACAAAATACGTGTATGAATGAGAGGGACCCAGATCAGAGGGTTTGGAGAAAAGGAGGAAGATTTTAAACACATCAGTCCAAAGTAATGGAGTGTAGAAAAAAAGGTGTGATCAAGAATGAGTCCATCAGAGGGTCAGCTCTTGTTAGATGTTTGGGAGATAAAGTCAGAGGACATGTCCAGAGAAGGGACAGTGGAGAATACTTAGGTTGAACCTCATCCTTACTTTAACGATCTCCATGGATTCCTGCACTATTTTCCACAAGGACCAGGCACGGTCACACACCAGGCCAGTAACATGAAGGCTCTTACACAGACTCACAAACTCTCCATCCTTGTCTCTGTGTCTGGAAGATGAAAACACACAGATCCCAACATGAAAGACAGCCAACAGCAGCAGCTCTCTCTCTCTGTCTGTAAACCTAACAGGTCCAAATATAAGGAGTCTATGTTCAGTTTACTCCATTTAATAATGTTCACGGCTAAAAATTCCCTTTAAACTCAGCTATTAGCACCAACAAAGGCCTGCGTTAACTTTGGCCAACAAGATGGCCACAGAAAAGCTATCAATACTACTAGAACTAGCTAAACATGAATGTAAAACTAAACCCAACAGCTGATGACACTCTTGGTGTTGTGTTGTAACTCAAACATCTTTACTTTTCTTACTCTTTCTCAGATAATTCCGGACTGTCCTTGTCTGGAGAGGCGTTGTCAGCTCCGGACTTCGGCTGCTTGTTGTGTACCATCCCGGAGTGACGTTTCTTAGGTGGCATACTTCTCGTCTCTGGGTACCTTACAAGCAACTTTTATCAACCCAAGCAAACTTGCACTTTTTATTTTATTTAAGGCAACGGCTAATATTATTCGGGTTGGACACGCAAATAAGCTCCGTAGCAACAATACAACAAAATCCGAACTGCTTCCTGATGCTGTTGAAAGTGTGTGCTTCTTTTGTTCAAAAGGAGAGCGCGGCGGAGAGCCGGTGACCCCACCCTCTCTAGTTTACGCTCATGATTTTCTTAACAAACACCACCTACTGAGTTCCAACAACAGTCATGTTTTGTTTCAACTCGACGGCGTAAAAAAATCTAAAAAATCACTACAATAAACAAGTCGTAACGTTGTTTGTTTTAATAGTTCTCGCGGACCGGCGTGAAGGACCACGTGACAAAAAACCCAAAACGAACTTACCCTAACTCACGAGACCAAAACGCGGGAAAATATATCTACGTCACATCCGCTTTTGCATTTTCCCCGCCACTGAGGGACAGTAGAGTGCGCCCTCAGCTTTAAACTACTGTAATATTACGTTCAACTACCTATTAAAGTTAAAATATATATTTTTTATGTAAAAAACGCACAAAACAGTCAATGGTTACTACATTGCTTCTAATAAAATACACCAAAAACACAGTTCTGTCAGAAATTACTTTGTTTTGTAAAAACAGCGAGTCGATCATCTACGGTGTAGCATTTACTAGTCAAAACTGAAATACAGTTATCAGAATGAACTTTTCTACAAGTAGATATGTTTTAGACTTCCATCCCGAGTTGTGGTTAGGATGCGTAAACATTTGGTCCAGCTATACCCAGAAATATTTCAATTTATATACAGCACTTCAAGCAGTTTGAAAGTAAAAGACTCCTGTACCAGTTTGTTTTGGTAGATCTATAGTTGTGTAACATGAAATAAAAACTAAACAAATAGGTACAATTTTTATTTCACTTCTCGCTCTACGTTTTTGTTTTTGTTGGGAGCTGAAGCAAAAAAACTAAGTAAAATTTAGAGCCTTCAGCCTTGAGCAAATCGTTTCCTTTTCTGGGATGCAGCAATAACCTGAATCTTAAGTATTAATAAAACTGAAAAAGGTACAAAAGAGATGAACCCATCAACACATTACAGACAGACCGCTTAGAACAAACACATTTATTTGGATAGATCTGTGGAACGTACCAAAGATGACAGTTTTGCAGCTTTATTTTTTATTTTGGCACCAGCAAGGTGGTTCTTGAGTTTGCTACAACAGGTGAAACAACTTCATCACTTCCTGCTGTCTGACCTGTAGCTTTTCACACAAAAAAATATAATCTCAGATATTCGAAATTATATTTTTGCTCATCAGAATTCAATTTGATATATATATATATATATATATATATATATATATATATATATATATATATATATATATATATAGGCCATTCCAATCCACATTTACTTGTAAAATGGTTTTGGGACGTGCGGTCAAATTCTGAAATGTTCCAACTAACCCACCCTTTATACTAATTTGAGGTGTAATCTTAAGAATTAGGTGAAATAAAATTCAAGCTAGACTATATGTGCTAATTTTATAGCTTGTTTTACCACAAATAAGTTAGGAGGGTTAGACAGCTGAATGAATGTTATAGGAATCTGTAATTATAGCCAAAATATAAAGACCGAGTTGTTTAATTTGTTTTCTATACCAACTTGTCTTGTTGAGGTCTCTGTTTTTTTGCAGTCAATATGAAATTTAATCAATTAAAAAAATGTAATAAAACCATTAAGACTGAATGTCTAATTGAAGACATGTGGGCAATACCATGACAATGTGGCAAATCTTTAAAATGTTGTTAACAGGCTTTAAAGGTAATTTTTTTTTATAATTTTTTTTACTTTTTTCTTGGACTTAATGACGCTCTGGTCTCTCAGCCATAAAAAAAACTTATCATACAGCAAAAAAGATCTAATCCTTTACATTTGGAGTCTCACGTTCTAAAAATGTAAAAATACTATTCATATATACACATAATATAAATAAGGTATTAATCCACACTGCCCTGCAGAACAGTTTCATCCTAAGCAGCTACCGGAGCCTTCATGGGTTGATTTGTTTTCAGTCCATCTCTGCTGCCCGTTTTCTGCCTTCACATCTCCCACGTCATCGCAGTGAAGTCCCTGTCTGTGAGCGTGACGGTGAACGGAGCTTCCACTCTGTCAGGCTCCATGTGCTCCTCACTTCTCTCAGTGCTGTTCAAGTTATTAACCCTCCAGGAGTTCAGGGGTCGGATTGTTTTCTGGAAACGCTGTAAAGGCAATTCCAGAGTCGGTCATAAAACCATGCAGGCCATTTCACACCATCAGCAATCATTGTCAGTATAAATACAGTTTGAACCGTTACAGCAGCGATGATGTGAGCTAAGCTGTTTGTGTGGCTATAACAGAGGAGTAACTGGACCTCACAATGAAACAGAAACAAATAGAGGTGATACTGACATCTTTCAGTGTTCCTGTTTCCCTGCTGATGGCCACAATGGCCCAGATGAGGATCTGCAGACAGCAGGTTGCGCCCATGCACACGCCCAATCCTTTCCCCCACTGAGGATACACGTAGGAGCCGTAGTGGAGTGGGGTGTTGTACATCTCAATGAAGATGTAGATCAGGATGAACTACTCCAGAAATGTGGGAAAAGCAAAAAAAAAAAAAAAAAGAGAGAGAGAGAGAGAGAGAAAGGTTTCATGTAATCAGTGAAAGTCAGGGAACTATTGTGGAAGTGCTGCAGGAGGAGCTCAGGTTTCAGTCTCTCCACTTGAGCAGATCCACCGACAGACAGGTTTCATCACAGCCTGCTACCGTAGATCAATAATAAGTTTGACTATTTCAGTTATTTTGGATGGTTTAGGATCAAATTGTCATTTCCTGCTGTAGCTCTTAAGAACCCAAACCTTTTTAAACAAAAAAAAAACAAACAAATAAATAAATAAATAAAACTGGTTGGAATGAATACATCTAAATTTAGAAAATTAAACTAAATAAAGAAGTTAGATAATTTTTGAAACATGCATGAACAGGAAGGCACTTGGGGTTGTCAAACTTGAATATATGACTCAAGACACAGATAAGATACGATAAGAGTCAGAAATTTCGATAATGATACATTTTCGATTTATTACCCAACCCTACTACAGTATATTACAGGGAAACAGACATACCAGCTGTACTCCTGGAGTTTCACAACTGATTTCACACGTCCACAGCAATAGAAAATGTTCTCACCATCAGAAGAAACGGTGTGCCAAAAACCCAGCATGCTTTGAAGTAAATCAGCAATTTGCTGCACCAGGGAGGGCAGTGACGGATCATATCAATGATGTCCTGACAAAACTGGTTGACTCCTAAAAGTGAAAGTTTATGGTGCATGGTTAATAATTCTGAACCCAACAGAAATGACAAAAACACATAAGAAGAAGCGTGATGAGATGGTTAGAGTGGCATGGGATACCATAGAAGAAGGAGATGCCAAGGCACATGAACAATGTGATGATGATGAGGCCAAAACTAGTGCTGAAGGAGTCAATGAGAGTGAACCAGTAAATCCCTCCCTATGAAGACACACACACACACACACACACACACACACACACACACACACACACACACACACACACACACACACACACACACACACACACACACACACACACACACACACACACACACACACACACACACACACACACACACACACACACACACACACACACACACACACACACACACACACACACACGGCAATGTGAATACACATCGGGATTGTTTCACAAGCTGATGTTAAACAAAAGCAGACTCACGTTCGTCACTAACAGGAGGCCCATCAGGTAGAAGGTGAAACACAGAGCACCCAGGAACATGGACTTGTGCAGCGTGTTCCTCCTGAGGTTTGGAAACTCATCCAACACGGCTGTGGTGATGCCCTCCATGTTGCCAAACTGTGATGGAACAAACCACATGTCACAAGAACAAACACATTTATTTGTCCTGTTATCTTTGTCCGGTCCTACCAGCGTATCGATCCCAAGCATAAACAGCATGAGGAAGAACATAATAGACCAAAACACTGAGCCTGGTAGCAGAGCAAGGGCTTCTGGGTAAGCAACAAAGGCCAGCCCAGGACCTGGAGACAAGATTGTGCAATTTAAATGATACTCTGTACAAAAACAACCAAATAAATATCACTGTGGCTTTTAAAGAAAGCATGTCAGCTACCTGTATCTGCCACTTCTCCCACAGGCACTCCCTTCCTCCATGCCATGTGACCCAGAATGGAAAAAATAGCAAAGCCTGCAAAAAAGCTGGTGCAGCAGTTTCCTGTGGTGATAATGATTGTATCTCTGAAATGAAAAATTACCCAGAAAAAGCGATTAATAGAAGGAAACTTTGATAATTAGCAATAGAATAAGCAACACAGCAAACACACCTGATGACGTTGTTGTCAAATTTATTGTAAGAGGCCATAGAAAGCAGCCCTCCAACCCCAATTCCTAGGGAGTAAAAGATCTGCGATGCTGCGTCATTCCACACCTGTAGACATAGAAACGAAAGGTTAACAACAAAAGGCTTTTTTTCACTGTTCTATGGTTAAGTGTTTGAGTCTGTGTTTCTATTAAATGTAGATGCTTTAAAAAGTGCTTTCCACCATGCGAGCCAGTCATCCATCAGACGCACCTGTGCATTAGCTAGCCGGCTCCAGTCTGGTGTGAGGTAGAAAGCGACACCTTGAAGAGACCCCTCTAGGGTGGCACCTCTGATGATCAAAACAACCAGGACGAAGTATGGGAACGTGGCGGTCACGTAAACCACCTAAAAACACACACAGAGCATTAGACGTATAAAACAAACCAGAAAAACAGATCAAATTTTGTTTGCGTCAGAGCAGATGATGAAAGTAAAAGACAGTTTTCACCTTTCCTGAGCTGCGGATGCCCTTGAGCATGCACAGGAAGATAATAATCCAGGCAGCCAGGAGGCACAGAGCCAGGGGGGCCCGAACGGGGCCCGGATCATGAAGGCCTTCACTGTGAACTACACCCAGCACACTCTCGCTACAAGGCAAGCAGACGGAACAGACGCATTAATAACGCTTGATTTCCAAATGATAATAGAATGGATGAAAATTTTCTGGATTATATTTTATAGTGTAGACTTTAAGAATCTGTTATACGAGGTGTTGCCTTAATGTTCTGAGTCATATAAACTGAAAGTCTGAAGTGTTAGGTAAACAAAAAGCTTGTGCCCCTGTCAAAATGAATCACCTTTCCATCAAAAGTTTTCAGTTGAGTGACAGTAAAAAAAGGCTAATGAGTTCCATAACAAGTGCACAAATGGCCATGCAAACAAAATAACTCACTTCCAAAAAATCTCAGTGGGACTGCGAGTCTTTTCCATGGAGCTGTTGCCTGCAGTGGTGCCATTGCCACAGAATGCAGCGTTAGCTTTAGCATTACATGACCAGGGCAAGGGGCTCTGGAAAGAGCTGAACAGGTAGTAAAATGTCCATGCTATGATGACATTATAGTAGAGACACACCAACGTGGACACACACAGCATTCCAATTCCTATACCTGCAAGAGAAAGACAAAAAAGGAGCATAAGTAGGTCAGATGGGTTATTTTACATGTAGCTAGGACACAAATAAAAAGGCTTAAGTAACACTGAGGTCTCCATGTCTATTTAATTACAATGGCTGACTTCCTGTTGGCATTTCTACTTAGCACCCAAGCAACACTTTATATAAAAAATCACTAGTTCCTCATTTATTTGAGCTTTTGACAGTCCCATCTAATTTTTCCCCCCATTATGTTTATGTATTTAGCAGACGCTTTTGTCCAAAGCAACTTACAAGTGATAATCGGCATATTGCCCTTGAGGCTAACAACAACAATAACAACAACAACATTGACATCAGTCATGGAGAGTAGGGAACAAGGAGTGGACAGTAGAGAGGGGGGACAGGTGTAGGCAAGGTGCTAGTTAAGAAGATGCTCTCTGAAGAGCAGGGTCTTCAGGAGTTTCTTGAAAATTGAAAAGGAAGCCGCAGTTCTGGTAGTGCTTGGAAGGTCATTTCGCATTTGTGGAACAATGCATGAGAAAAGTCTGGATTGTCCTGAGCGTGGTGTAGGCACTGCTAGCAGACAATCCTGACGATCCGAGACGTAAGCCTTTGCAAGAGGATTCAGGTAGATGGGAGACGTACTATCTCGGACTTTGTATGCTAGTGTTAGCAATTTGAATTTGATGCGTGCTGCTAGCGGTAGCCAGTGGAGCTCAATGAACAGAGGGGTGACGTGTGCTCTTTTTGGCTGACTGAAGACTAGACGCGCCGCTGCGTTCTGGACCATTTGAAGAGGTCTCACAGTACAGGCTGGAAGACCAGTTAGAAGGGCATTGCAGTAATCGAGGCGGGAGATGACAGTAGATTGCACCAGGAGCTGGGTGGCATGTTGTGTTAGGTATGGTCTGATCTTTCGTATGTTATACAGCGCAAAGCGGCATGAATGAGCAACAGAGGCAACATGATCTTTAAAGGTCAGGTGTTCATCAATCACAACACCCAGATTTCGAAATGTCTTCGAAGGAGCCAGAGATAGGAAGTCATTTTGGATTGAGATATTGTGCTGTATGGATGGTTTTGCTGGGAAGACAAGTAGTTCAGTTTTAGAGAGGTTGAGTTGGAGATGGTGGGATTTCATCCATTTTGATATGTCAGAGAGACAGTTTGATATTCGTGCAGAGACAGTGTGGTCGACCGGCGGAAATGACAGAGCTGGGTGTCGTCTGCATAGCAGTGGTAGGAGAAGCCATGTGATCGAATGATCTCACCCAGTGAGGTGGTGTATATGGCAAAGAGAAGAGGTCCTAGTACTGAGCCCTGGGGAACTCCTGTGGCAAGATGGTGCACGGTCCAAGCCAAGATACCCTGAATGATCGTCATTACTTAAAATTTGCAATCATGGAATTTAAGCATCAGTCACATGAAGTAGAAAGTGAATCAGCAGACTGCAATTCTCCTCAACCATCATGTTAGGTTGGATTAACTGTTATCACAAGGGCGCCGACATATTCAGTTCAGTCATATGTTTATGCCTGAAATATGAATTTATGATGAGAATAGAAATATCATTTTTAATACTGAACTATTAATTGCCTAATGCTTATAGAACAACTATATAATGAGTGTGAGTATAATTCACAATTCTCGCATTGCTCTGGGGGGCTGCACGTTGGCGTAGCTCTGTTAACTACATGTAAGTTTAGTCTTTTTTGGACATTTTTTCTTATAGCGTCTTATGAAAAACTTTTTTTTTTGGACCTTTTACTTTTCTGTTTCTGATGCTGTGAAGCTTAGAGGATTTTTACTGCTATTTTTTCACTTTTTGAGCATTTGTTATGATGTGTAACCATGGCAACAAGCTGGTTTAATCGGGAGCAGCTAATTAACATTGGAAATCTGAAATATTACCTCAACTGAAGCCACAAATCCCAAATGAGCTAAAACGCAAGAAGCGTGGATGCAGAGCGGGAGCAAAATGGAGACAGAGAAAGAGGAAATTCAAACCATCTCTTCCATCGATCATAATGGGCAATGTGAGATCACTGGCCAACAAGATGGAGGAACTCCAAGCCCTTTCAAGGACTCAGCCAGAGTATCAGCAGTGCATTATTATGTGTTTCACTGAGACGCAGCTGCAGGAACATATCCCCGATTCCAGCATCTCTCTGCCAGGATTCCTGACTGTACGAGCAGACAGAGATCTGAAGAGGAGCAGGAAAAGAAAAGGAGGTGGAGTGGCAGTGCTTGTCAACAAAAGATGGTGCCATCTAGGTCGTAGTTCATGTTTCAGTGAAATGTCTCTGCAACCCAGATGTAGAACTCTTGGCAGTAAGTTGTCGCCCATATTACTTGCCAAGAGAGTTCACCAGTGTTGTTTTGGCAACTGTTTATATTCTACCTTCAGCCATTGCTGAAAATGCATGTGATGCCATCAGTTACGTTGTCGCTAAGCTACAAACCCAGCAGCCCAATGCATTTGTGACTATATCTAGTGATTTTAATCATGCCTCGCTCTCTTAGCCTGGCAAGCCAGACTAAATAAATGTATTATTCTTTGCAAAGCAAGAATTTGGTCTAGTTCACTAGGCTATCGCTCTCTGCTACACATACAACATTTCAACAGTTTGTCAGCTGCTCCACCAGAGAAAACAAGAGATTGGATTTGTGTTTTGCAAATGTAAAGAATGCATACATGTCCAAAACAAGACCTCCTCTGGGACAATCAGATAACAATCTTGTTTTTCTCTGCTCAGAATACAAACCACTTGTTCAGAGGCAACCTGTGACAAGAAGAACTGTGAGAAAATGGTCATAGGACGCTGAAGAAGCCCTGCAGGGTTGTTTTGAGACTACAGATTGGATGACTCTCTGCCAAGGACATCAATGCCATGACTGGATGTGTCACTGACTATATAAACTTCTGTATGGACAACATCATACCCACCAGAAAAGTGAGATGCTTCGTTAATAACAAACCCTGGATCACCAGTAAACTGAAGAATCTGCTAAATGAGAAAAAAGAGCCTTCAAGGAGGGAGACAGGGAATTATTGGAGTATACAGAAGCAACTGAAGATCAAGATCAGAGACAGCAAGGAGGCATACAGGAAGAAGCTGGAGAATAAACTACAGAGGAACAATATCAGAGATGTATGGTCAGGGATGAAGAAGATCACAGGCTTCAAGCAGAGGAAGGATTGCACAGATGGCAGCCTGGACACAGCCAATTAACTGAACAAGTTCTTCAAAAGGTTCAGTTCAGGAACAAACCCAGCATCCTCCTCGCCTGTCCCCAGCCAATCAGACATCCCATCCTCCTCTGATCCAACATTTTCCTGTCACACGCCAGCTCTTTTGTCCTCTAACGCAGTCATGGACTCTTCTGGTTCTATAAATCTGTCTTCAACCAAGTCGGGAGATGCTGCTGCCCCAGTTACCTCCCCCTCCCACCTATCTGTCTCTAGAAGTCAGGTGAAGAGGCAGCTGGAGAGACTGAACAGGAACAAGGCTGCAGGTCCAGATGGTGTCAGCCCCAGAGCACTGAATGCATGTGCAGAGCAGCTGTGGGATTCTGCAGCACCTCTTCAACCTCAGCCTGGCACAGCAGAAGGTTCCAGTCCTGTGGAAGACATCCTGCCTTGTTCCAGTTCCAAAGAAAACTCGCCCATCAGTCATTGACGACTACAGACCAGTTGCCCTGACATCCCACATCATGAAGGTCCTGGAGAGACTCCTGTTGGTCCACCTGAATAAGCAAACTACCGTAGAACATATCAGGACCCGCTGCAGTTTGCTTATCGCCATGGAGTTGGAGTTGAAGATGCCATCATCCAGCTGCTTCAACCAACCCACTGTCATCTAGACAAAGCAGGCAGCACTGTGAGGGTCATGTTCTTTGATTTCTCCAGTGCATTTAACACAATCCAGCCTGATGTACTTTGCCAGCAACTCTAGAAGATACAGGTGGGGGCCTCAACTATCACCTGGATTAAAGACTACCTGACAAACAGACCACAGTTTGTGAGACTGAAGAACTGCACATCAAATCAGGCGATCAGTAACATTGGAGCACCACAGGGGACTGTACTCTCATCATTCCTTTTCACCCTGTACTCCTCAGACTTCCAGTACAAATCAGAGACCTGTCATCTACAGAAATACTCAGATGACTCTGCAGTTGTCGGGTGTATCAGAGATGGACAGGAAGCTGAGTACAGAGAGCCGGTGGAGCGCTTTGTGGCATGGTGTGGAAACAATCATCTGACCTTGAACGTGAACAAAACAAAGGAGATGATTTTAGACTTCAGAAGAAACAGGGTGGAGTCAAACACTGTTTCCATCATGGGAGAAGAATTGGAGGTGGTTGAGGAATACAAATACCTTGGAGTTCACCTGGACAACAGACTGGACTGGAGAAAGAACAGCAAAGCCGTTTATAAGAAGGAACATTCATTCATTCATTCAAACTTTATTTCAGACATGGGATATGTCCATAACAAGAATAAAATAAAAGTAAAAACACATTCTAATTACAAACCATATAGGCAGTTGTTCCAATGTTTAAAAAGGACTGAGGAGTACCTCGTGTCACTGTAAGTTAAAGAAGACAGCGCTCTAACAACAGCGTTAGATGACAAACTCAGTCGGCAGATGAATTTATACATGAAGAGCCTCAGAAGCGCATGAAAAGTAGGGATGTTACTCACAACAAACATATGACTTGCAGAAGTCCATCTAGGGAGCTTCATGAGGATTCTAAAAGCATCCTGATAAGCCACTTGAAGCTTCTTCATTACTACCTTACTATAGTTGCACCACAAGTGGGCTGTATAGAGAGGAGTACAAAAGGAACGAAAGAGGGACACTTTAACAGGATCTGAGCACATGCCAAAGTTACGTGCCAGCGTGTTAGCCTGCATGTACAACTTACCGCATTGCCTTTTAATATCCTCGTCATCACAGAGGTCACTTCTTAAAATGTGCCCCAAATATTTTACTTTGCTTACCACTTCGAGGACCTGATTTGTTAAGTTAAAAGATGGAAAATTAAGATTCAGGTCCCCTTTAGTAGCAGCAATCATAACAACACTTTTTTAAAGGGTTAAACAGGATGTCAAATTGCTCACCATACTTAGCACATGCCCTGAGCAGCTGCTGCAGGCCTGCACTATAGGGAGACATGAGGACTAGGTCATCTGCATATATTAGATGATTTACAAGGCGGTCACCTACCAAGCACCCAGTCTTACTATCATTCAAAGTAACAGACAGCTCGTCAAGGTACAGGTTAAAAAGGACAGGTGACAGAATCCCTCCTTGTCTGACTCCATTCGATACAGAGAAAGGTTCAGACACTTCTGTCCCCCACTTTACCTGCATCAATTGTTGAGAGTACCAGAAGTGCAAAATCCTAACTAGGTATGAAGGGACCCCTCTGTTTTGTAGCTTGATGAATAATTTCTGATGATTGACTCTGTCAAAGGCCTTAGAGGCATCTAAAAAACACATAAAAAAAGAAGTATTATGCCTCATGTATTTGCTAACAGTTTCTTTTAAAGCGTAGATACACAAGTCAGTACTAAGTTTACCTTTAAAACCAAACTGATTCTCTGTCGTAGTTATAAAATTTTGCAGTCTTTCCAGCAAAATATGCTCAAGCACTTTGGACAACACACTTGCCATAGCAATAGGCCTGTAGTTATCAATACAGGCGATTTTTCCAGTTTTCTCTTTGACTATAGGGACTAAGAGAACAGATAACGTATGGTCAGGCAAGATTCCATGCTTCAAAAAGCCGGTAAAGCACAATGAAAGTAACACCTGAGCTCTACAGCTAGTGTACTTCATGTGCTCTGCTGATAGTTGATCAGGGCCGCAAGCTTTGTTTAATGACATTTTCTCTATAGCGAGACGGACTTCATCAGCTCTGACAATCATACCATGATTGTAGTCAATGTTGCCAACATTGAACCTTTCACTATTTACACACAGTTAAAAATTCTGCTAAAGTGATTCCTCCAGGCTTCTACAATGTTCTTAACTCCTGATACCCCATTTATAGATGCAGGTAGCAGCTGCTTACTGATACAGGAGCGTTTTAACTCCTTCCAGAACTCCGAAACATTATTATTCTTTAGTTTGTTCGCTAAGGAGTTTGCCCGCTTTGTTTGCTCATTCCTTTTAATATAGCGAACAGCATTCTTGAACTTAACATTCGCAGCTTTCTTAGACTCCAATACTGAACCGGATTTTGGTTTACCAGCAGCTGCCCAGGCTTTATAGGTTGCTCTGGACTCAGCATGTAACGCATAAGCATGCTCACTCCATCCTGGAAGCGGTTTAAATTTTGTTGCTCCTTTTTGGCAGAGGAACTCGCTGGCAATAATCAAGCTGTCCACAACATTTTGATACAAAGTGCATAAGTGCAGCCTGTGCTCCATATGTTCACAGTTAACATCTTTACACTGTAACGTTTCTTTGAGGACATTAACAGATCTCAGACTACAATCTGACAGTAAGTAATATTTCCTAAAATCCTCGACTGACACTGGGGCTCTGGTGTTGGAGCAGCACAGGCAATGTTTCACAATTCACCACTATAGAAACAGGGATGTGATCAGTTGTTGCCAGGGAGTATAAGATTTCCACCTTGGATATGCATTCATGTGCATTCTCAGTGCATATACAGTGATCAAGCCAGGAAGTTGAGTGCCATGCCTCACTGACATACGTATGGCTGTCTGCTGGCAGTATCTCTTTGCTAGTTAAAACCAAGTTACTGAATCAGATGTTGCCCAAAGGTGGAACGAGTGTCTGAAATATCAACATTCATATCACCAACGATAAAAACACAATTAAACTCACACTGACTGATAAATTAGCTTAAAAAACCCAAGTTTCACCAGATATTCATCTTCATTCTGCTGACTCTCATATGGCATATAAATATTTAAGATCATGAATGCCTTGTCATCCATAACAATCTTTACTGCTACGCACCAGTCCACATTTAGCCTGACAACAGAAATAAAAGGATCAGCAGACTGCACTTCTTGAGGACGCTTAGGTCCTTCAATGTCTGTAGCAAGATGCTGTACATCTTCTACAAGTCTGTTGTTGAGAGTGTAATCTCTTCAGCCATCGTCTGTTGGGTAGTAGCATCAGAAGCAGGGACCTAAAAAGGCTCAACAGCCTAATAAAAAAGCCTGGTTCTGTTCTGGGGACGACTGTGGAACCACAGGAGGAGATAATGCAAAGAAGGATTCTCCAGAGAATCAAGAAAATGATGGACAATCCTGAGCATTCTCTTCACAAGACTGTCCGACAACGGAAGAGTGTCTTCAGTTAGAGGCTTCTTCAGTTTCGCTGCAACACTGACCGCTACTGGAGATCCTTCCTGCCAACAGCCATTGTAATATACAATAACTCTTTGATGACTTGATTATTATTATTATTCTGAGCTACTACAGCAATCGATTTCCCTCTGGGATTAATAAAGTATTTTTGAATTGAATTAATAATATTTTTACTTCATTATGTGATTATATTACTATATAACAGTGATACAGAAATAAAATTGGTGTTTGCTTTCTGTAGATCCTCCACCAGGGGTCAGTAGACATGTACAGAACTCTAAATGGCAAGTTTATGATGAAGGTAATAATTCTAAAACTCCTTCTGGGTGCTTTAAAGATGTGATTTCCTCATTTATTTAATGCATTTGCAGTGCTGTCTAGTGTAAATCAAAACCTTATGAGTAATTTTTAACAAAGCTATGATAATCCTGTTCTGAGATGCAGAAGTTAGCTGGTGCAGAGTTGGGCTGAAAACAGCAGGATTTTAATAATGATATGCACACACCTCACTTCTGATTGGCTAACAGAATGTGTTCAGCCATGCTGCAAAGTCATTCCCACCAACACACTCTCCGCTCTCTCTCTCCTCGCTGCTACCTAAGTGCGGGTGCGAGCCAAGATAGGTGAGTCCATGAACGCAAATTCACAGTGTGACATCACAGTGTACAGATTTTCTAATCCTAACATTTCACCATCTATTTTCCAGAGGTGTGGACTCGAGTCACATGACTTGGACTCGAGTCAGACTTGAGTCATTATTTTAATGACTTCTGACTTGACTTGATAAAATCTATAAAGACCTACGACTTGACTCGGACTTGAATGCCAATGACTTGCGACTTGAATCGACTTGCATCTGTTGACTTGATGATGGCTTGTGCATATTTGATATTTTAGCACAAACGTGACACAACATGGACAAAAATCATAAATCATTCTTGGTTCTGGGTTTGAACTCGTACTGCTAAATGCTGCAGCACTTTGTTTACAATCAGCTGCACTTTCTGCTTGTTTGAGCAAATAAATGAAGCTTTAAGAAGCTTTATTTTGGGAATTTATTCATTATCAATGTGATTAAATTTAAGTTGGACAGATGACTTGATTATGACTTGAAAATTCAAAGTGATGCCTGAATTATGAAATCTTCAACCATGATTTTAACAATTTTTTCATTCATCTTTAGGTGTGAATTAAACAAATTTCAACAAATATTGTTTGTAACATTTAATAATTTACACCTCAGTGGACAGCGTGCATTCTGAACATGAAATATGTTGGCTTGACTTACTGAAGTCCAAATGGAGGGGCTCAAATGCAATAAAGTCTTCAACAGCTGCGCTTAATAGCAAAAACAAAATAATTAACAATTTTGAGTACCTGTCCACTGTAGTGACCATTATGCATCAAAGGGTTAAGGACTTGGACTTGACTTGGACTTCCACATCATTGACTTTGGACTGAACTTGGAAGTCTTTGACTTGGACTTGACTCAAGACTTGACTGGAAAGACTTGTGACTTTCTTGTGACTTGCAAAGCAGTGACTTGGTCACACCTCTGCTGTTTTCTATCAGAAGCTAAATATGTGTAGGACACCGTTTTCATGTTCAGCCTGCATGAAAAACTGATGGTGACTGATTATAATCTGAAATAATCCTTAAAGAGTGACTTTTCAGTCAACCACACCTTTAAGGAAAGATGTGGTTTGATGGGATTTGTGACACACAGCTGTAAACTTTGTTTACTTGATACTATTTTTTATTGTCTAAATAAATTGTTTAAACTTTGTAACCCAGCTTTAATTGTGACGGATTATTAGGAAAATCACAGATTTGTTAGTTCTGATCCACATTTGAACAAATTCCGCAACTTGCCACATTTATTCCAAAACTCCATCCACATTAGGGAAATTCCCATAAGGCCACGCACCAAATCCTAGTGAATTTAACTTCCAGAGGAGGCGCGGGATTGTGCCATTCACTCAGAAATCAACATAAACTAAGAGCAAATCAGAATAAGTCAAAATAATTCTAATAACCCTTCTTAGTAGAATACATTAGTTTTGTGATTGTTTGGAGCCCAAGTCAAAGTTGTAATGACAAACTGTTATTTGCCCAAGAATGTGTGTGGTAACTGGCCTGTATGGTTTACCTTTAAGCAGAGGGCAGCATTTCCACACCGTGATGGGACCAGCAGCACCGTACTGGCCTAAACTCAGCTCCATGAGGAAGAGTGGAACGCCCGTCACAAACAGCATAATGAAGTAAGGGATGAGAAACACACCTGTAACAGAGAAACGTGGCTGAGGAAAACAATCACAGCAGCATATGGATGACCTGCGGAGACACGTTTACAATAAATGTCAGATTTACACAGAGTTGCAAACGGCTGCAAAGGGAGACTGAATGTCTGGTGTGTAACCTAAAAAAAAATACACCGTCTCTGCTTTGGAAAATCCTTAGCGGTCCAGGGCCAAGTTTAAGTGACTACTTTAAAGAACTCTGTCAAACAAGTCAGCATGATCCAAGAGAAGGGCACACACCCAGGTCTTAGGCAATGAGTCTGCTGACCAAACTGGTATAACAAATGATTACAGACACACACCCAGGTATTGTGGGGACTTTAGAGGGCATGCTTTAAGACTGCTCACCTCCTCCATTGCGGTAGCAGAGGTATGGAAACCTCCAGACATTGCCCAGTCCCACGCAGTATCCAATACAAGAGAGCAGGAACTCGTACTTCCCACCCCACTGCTCCCGTGGGATAACTGTGGCTGGAGGCGTACTGTGGACTTGGGATTCAGACTTCGGGGTGGGTGATGCTGCTGGATTGTGACCATTCTGGGAGACAGCATGTCCGTTTGAATGTAGAGAGTTCCAGAAGACAAGACAGTGAATTAATCGGAATGTCATAATAAAATCTGGTATTGGTCTGTTTTCTCTGCTTTTTTGGGTTTAAGCTGAGCTGTTAATGCACGTTATTACTAACATAAGAAGAGAATGGGGAAACTGTTCATTTCAGCTTTAAATTACACAGCACTGCCTTTCTTTTTAACTTCACTGGTTTAAATATTTCCTCTTCTCTGAAAGGTATTTCATCTCCAAATGAGACGGAAACTGTTGTACTGTGACAAGTCACAGAGAGGAAGGCTTAAACTTCTGCTTTATGTGCCATTACTGTAATTGTTCAGTTTAAAAGATGAATGAATAACAATCCTCAGATTCTATTTAAATGATGTTTAAAATCTGGGTCAGACAATTGGTTCACATATTTAAAATTGTTTCAATGCAAAGAACAGACCTGATCATATGGGATGGCTTGGGAATAGTAAGAAGAAGAAATAAGGTGCAGGGAAGTTAGGAGAAAACGGGTAAATGGGGAAGAAGCTGCAGAGTTTGCCCTGAACGGTTTAAAAAGCAATGCTGAGATAATGTAACTAAAATGTCTATTATGAATATTAAATGAACAATCCTCTTACAATCCCACACTTCCTTGTTGACTGCATTTTTATAAATTACAATTACTGTATTCTAATGACAATAAAAGGGAACAAACTAAGATGCTGTAGTTTAAATTACGCACGAACTGTAAACCTTTTTGTAACAACTTGTTATAAAGTGTTGAATGACGTTTATGTGGGCGCCGTCTATGACCTGGACCGCTGTCTTTGAACTCTACAAAGAAATGTCGGCAGACAAGTTAGACTGCCTCAGCACACGGTTTCCGTCCTGTCGGTATCGACGCCGGTAAGTAAAAGTTAAAAAAAAAACGGGCTTGTTTGTTTAAACCAGAAACAAAATACGCTGAAATCTGAATAACGTTGCGGTGTGAGAACTGGGCGTCAGGGAGAGTTGTTCCCGTCTTACCTGCGCCGCAGCGCCGCTTCCTCCGGTGGGGCTCCCGGCTGCGGCTGCTAACGTGCAGCTTTTGTCCTGCATGTCCACCCGGCACAGAGGCGGCTGTCTCTGGGTAAAACTATCGGCCGTCAGTCAACATTATACCGGTAGAGGAAGAAGGACACGGACCAAAGAGATGCTTCAGCTGTAGAGGTAGTCGGTGGAGTCGGACAAGGTGAAACATCAACGATGACGACGAGTCAACAGGGAAGCGGGCGGGGAAGGAGGCAGGGCGCAGGTGCGCGGGGACACCTCCTGCTCCTTTAACTCCAGCCGGCTCCGTGTCAGGAAGTAAATACGCGGTTACCATGACAACCGGGTGATGAACAAAGGTTTTTATTGAAGAGAAAAGTAGAAATAATGAAAGATTTCAATATATATATATATATATATATATATATATATATATATATATATATATATATATATATATTGAAATCAATAAATTAATACACTCTTTTCTCCCAAAAGTGGAGATTAAAAAAATATATTTTAAAGTCTCTGTGCGCAGTGCTGTGTAAAGTTCTGAGCCCCTCTATTATTCCTGGTTTTGCTTGTTCTTCACACATGTAAATGTTTTAGAACAGCGCGCAAAGGCACCATCATCCCATACGTGGCAGGAACCTCGGAGAAACTTAGAAGAATCTTCTCCAAACACAACATCCCGGTAAACTTTTAACCCAACATCACCCTCAGACAGAAACTGGTCCGTGCAAAAGACAAAACACCCAAACAGAAGCTTGGTGGCGTCGTTTATGCAGTCCAGTGTAGAGGACTGTCCAGATCTTTACATTGGGGAAACTAACCAACAATTACACATGGAACATAACACAACACAGGAGAGCCACCTCTTCAGGTCAACACTCTGCAGTCCACCTACACATGAAGGACAGGAGACACACCTTTGAAAATGACAAAGTATACATTCTGGACAGAAAAGATAGATGGTTTGAGAGAGGAGTAAAAGATATCTAAGTCAAATGTGAAACCCCACTTTAAATAGGGGAAGGGGCTTAGATTCCACCTGTCCAGTAATGCAGCGTTGAATGTCATTCCTGAGCAGTTTCAGTCTATAGGTCACACCTTCCTGCATCTAATCAACACACTCACTCTCAATAGAGGCTAACGACTCATCAGGGGATGGAGAGGCGGGGTACCCAGAGTAGTTTCTGCTCATTAAATAACAACAGACAGCTACAGTTTATACGCTTGACTCTCCCATATTCCAGTTAGAATTGACAAAGCCCCTCGGATCAGAAGCAAAACGTCTTCAAGAAACTAAAGAAGTCCAGTTGCCCTCATTTGAACCCTTTGGAGTTTCAGAACAGCACATTTCTATTTCACCATTCACCAAAAATAACTCTGGTAAATACTTTACAGACGAGTGATTTTCTGAAGCAGCAGAGAAGCTCCAGACCATCACACTACCACCACCATGTTTGGCTATTGGCCAAATGTATTTTTTATGAAATCTAATGTTACTTTGAATTCAGATATAATAGGACACACGCCTTCAAATGAATACCACTTTTGTTCACTTTTGTCAGTTCAGACAACCTTTTCCCCCAAATTATGGAGAACTCATGTTGTTGGCAACTGAGACGCATAGAGGCCATTTATGCCCTTTATTTGCTTTACAAATAATGTTGTACACACAAGCACTTCACAGTTTAACAAAGTGGTAATCTGTTGTCAAATAGAGCAAGGTTGCTTTGTATTTTACACTTAATCAATGAAATAATGATTGGAAATTTAATTTTCAATTTATTCAGATAAAGTGATCAGATTTAGAGTTTTAATTGTTGACATGAAACATGTTACAGTTGTCCTAAATACGGAGATTAAAAAGCTAAATGTAAGGCTTTTGAAACAACAGCACACCGTCACTTGTCTTTACTGCATAAAATGGTCAAACACACACAGTTTAAAGTGTGTTTTAACATAAAAGACCGAGTTAGGCTTTATTATGTTATTCAAAGGTTAGAAGTTGAACGTTTACAATAATTTAGAAAAATAGCTGCAGCTAATCCAGCTCCTCGTCCACTGCTTTTTATTATTGTATATATTTTACATAATCTATGCTCACATTACGTTTTATTAGATTAAGATAATCATTTAAAAAATAAAAGTGCTCAACACATCAGCCATACAGCAAGAAGCGTTACATAGGTAGGAATTAAAGGTGCATGACGTAAGAATGACATCCTGTGGTCAAATATGGGTACTGCAGTCCTGGTGTCCAAATACAAACGCTGGTGCAGCAGTGTTTGCTGGCACAGAGTCGGCAATCCTGTGGACTCACATATGATTGGCTCTGAAACCAGGAAGTACGAAATGGGGATGGATTGTAAACAAAGGCTACGTCCCTCTTCAGCCTTTTCAAAAGGAGAAAAACTGGTAACTGCCCCAGCGGACTGAGAAGGGAATCTGTTTCATGTAACTGTCCTTCCAACATGACTGAGACATGAGACTGTTTTGTGATTATTTCACTGTAGAATTCTTACTTATTCTAACTTTAAATTTTCAAAGGTAACATAACCAATGGCTCTCTTTTGCTGATTTGCAACAACTTTATTTCCTGAAACCACCAATTCCTCTGACCTGAGTCCAGTTTCTGCACATTCGTCCATCTCGTTCTTCAAATTAGAGCCAACCAGATCAGAACTGTAGAATAAGTCCTGTTTTACTTTTCACACCCAGCCACATGTCAACTGTTGCCAAAAGTTCAACAAACCATACTTCCAACCACCAGGACTGGGCAGTATGTTTATTTCCTTCTGGGCGAAGAGTGGAGTACAGATATAAAATGTAGATTTGAAGTTCTTGTTCCTGTTTCTCTTGTTTTTCTGCCTTTTTTACTTCTTACTTACTAAATAATTTGTCAAAAAGTATAAAAATGAACTTTTTATTCTTTGCTTCAGTCCTTGCACACAAAAAACAATACACAGAAATATAAAGAAAGCATGACTAACAGTCATGAAAAAACAGAAAGTATAAAAAAATGAAGAGGAAGTTACTCTAAAGGAAATATAGAAAACAAAAAAGCAAAATGATGGTTTAGCAACCCAGTTTATTAATAAGACTAATTTTCAAAGCAGTTCACAATTAAAGCTTAGAAAAAAGAAAAAACATGGATGAAATGGCAGCACAATGCATAAAATGGCCATCTGAGAGTGATCTTTGTATGAAGTCAATATTCGCCATGATGGTGTGATGTTGAGCAGCTTTTTCTTTCTTAGTTGCAACTTGTGGACACTTTAATCCACATAATCTCATGATGCTTCTCTAAATCCATCCAATCTGTTGGGTGCCTATACTTAACAGCCCCACTCCTTAAATCTGGGTCAATGGAAGGTAGAGTGACGCTGCTGTGTGCTTCCAGCATAACTTTAAAACACTTTAAAATCAGGATCTGATAAGATTTCATCAAGGTGATTGGATGGAAGATTAAGGATTTCACACAGAAATATGGAGTTCCAACCGCACACCCAAAGCAGCTGGAGCCAGTATTTTTGCAATCGGACACAGATGGAGTTGGATGTAAGAATGGACTATTGCCTTCTCAGCAATGAGAATAAACACAGCTGTCTGCAGCTGGAGGAACATCCAGATTCACACTGCAATGTTTGGATTGATCCAGAGCCAGAAAGCTTCAAGAAAGATCATGGGCGATCGTTTGCCTTGGACGCCAGAATGAGACTAGATGGTTTGAAGTCTGGATTAAATTCACCAAACTGTGGCTTGAAAATCAAGTTGTACAAATATAACAGTGAAAAAGACCTCTGGGATGATGACGACTTACAGTCTGCTTTGGACCTGGTGGAGATCCTTGATATAGATGACAACACTGAAGATGAAGAAAGCTGGTAAGTGGCATTTGCTGCCAGTTTTTTTAAAGGTGTGGGACAGTCCATTCATTTGCGGTGATCTCTAGTAGGAATAAATGCCTTTCGAGTCGTACCGGGGAGAAATAAAACTCAGATACGCCTGTTTCAGGAAGAATGCCACACCAGAGGAGAGCTTAACACGGCAGGATTTGGTGTCTTATGTTCTGATATTCTGACATCTCGCCTCAGATTGGATAACAGCAACGGGAATCTACCACTGACTCTGTTTGCTCTGCAGCATTGATGTTTTCACTCATGACAAAATACCATGAAGTGATCAGCATTATAACCGTTTCTCTCCGTTCGGTGACCATGAAAGGGTGTGTGTGTTTCATGCTCAATGCGTGAGAGTTGGCAGTACTGGGTATAGTTGCTAATGCTAACTGTTACCTTCTACTAGCTGAGACGTTCTCTGCTGTTTCAACAACAGCCTTCGCTGTCGCGAGCCAAAATAGGCAAGTCCATGAATGTTAAGTGACAGTGTGACAGAGATCTGTGAGGCTTTTAAAATCCTAGAGCTTCAACATCTATTTTCTACCAGAAGTTAATGCAGGAGACTACTTTCAGGTTCAGCTTGCATGAAAAACTCAGAGTGAATGATTATAATCAGAAATAATCAATTTAAAATGATTTTCCCAGTATTCCACACCTTTAAATAACATTTATAAGAATCTGAGCAGTATGATTATCACTCTTTGTATTTTCTCCACAGGTTATACGAGCCTCAGAACAAGCCGTTGTTTGAGGAGAAGCAGTCTGCTCTCAGATGGTGTCGACATGTCCTAGATAACCCCAGCCCAGAGATGGAGGCCGCTCGCCGTGGGCTGATGAAGAAGCTGGATCAAAGTTAGAAAGTGGAAAACAAACTGATTAATTTTTAAGCAGCCATCTTTAACGGTTTGGACATGCATTTATTTTATTTCTAATCTCACTTTTGTCAGAATCAAGATATGACTTCCGTGACCATGCAGCAGCTTTCCATCATTGTCCCGGCAAGTCTGTGAGCTCCTGTGGGAACCCAACACCAGTTAGCCCATCACTCACAGACTCTGGATATTTAAGTAATACACTGATAAGAACTTCTTTTTCCACTCTATAACCTACTCTAATCCATCCATCCATTTTCTATACCCGCTTGTCCATCGCAGGGCAACACAGAGACATACGAGAACGTGTTGTGCAAGCACATACTCATACTACAGGACCATTTTAGAGAGATCAATTAACCTGACATATTGTTGGATGATGGGAGGAAGCTGGGGTACCTGGAGAGAACCCACACATGTACAGGGAGAACATGCAAACTCCATGCAGCAAGACCCCAGGCTGGGGTTTTGAATCTGGTATCCTCTTGGTGAAAGGCAACAACACTAACCACTGTTCCACCGTGCAGCCCACCAACTCTAATCAGAACATGGTCTTGAGCCACAAAAGGGTAGAATGCCTTCTCCAGGTCAGGGATGAGGTCCTGCCCCAAGTGGAGGAGTTCAAGTGGCAATGGGTCTTGTTCATGGATGAGGGAAATATGGAGCGGGAGATTGATAGACAGATTGGTGCTGCATCTACAGTGATGCGGGCGTTGTACCTGTCTATCCTGGTGAAGAGAGAGCTGAGCTGGAAGGCGAAGTTCTCCAATTACCGGTTGATCAATGTTAAACCCTCATCTATGGTCACAAGCTTTGGGTAGTGATCAAAAGAATAAGATCACAGATACAAGTGGCTGAAATAAGTGTTCTCCGCAGGACGTCTGTTAAAAGCTTGGTCATCCAGGAGGGGCTAGGAGTAGATCTACTGCTCCTCCACATTGAGAGGAGCCAGTTGAGGTGGCTCGGTTAATTGGTTGGAGTGCCTCCTGGACGCTTCACTGGTGAGATTTTCTGGGCACGTCCAACTGGGAGGAGATCTAAAGGAAGACCCAGGACAAGCTGGAGGGATGTTTCTTGGCTGACCGGGCAATGCCTTGGGGTTCCGCCAGAGGAGCTGGCCCAAGTGGCTGGGGAGAGGGAAGTCTGGGCCTCTCTGGTTAGACTACACAAAAGACAAATTGGTACACCCAAAAACACGTGGGCTGATGGTAATCCTGAGCGAAATAAATAATTGAAGGATTTTTTTGTCACAAAACAAAACAGTTTTTGGACTTTGGGTTGTAAGTGTTTGGGTTAGTGAAGCCAAACAAAGAAAAGCTGCAGGGATTTTTGGATTGCTGAGTTGTTTTACTTCATAAGAAACACAAATTCTTTAGTATATCTTGCTTGTATTTATCTTCTCAGATCACAACGGGCCAAACCTGCCCAACGACCCGATAACTACAGGCTACAGACTGCAGGATATCACAGATGTCCACATCATGGCCAGAATACAGGAGAACAGTGAGTACAGAAAGGATGATTGACTAATTGTTTGATTAAAACGGGCCTTCTCAGGGGAGATTTGTAACTTTTGTTCAATGTTTTCAGGTTTGAGACAGGAATATGTTTCCACACCGGCTGCTGCACTGCTCAGGAGTAACCCAGAGATGCTTCCAACTTATTTAAACACCAAAGTTGAAACAAATGTTGATTTTGCTGCTGGAATTAAAACCAAGGCTTCATACTCTACTGACTGGCAGCCTGGTTCAGCATCAAAAAGCCCCTCCTCTCACGGGTCATCAGCATCAAAACAAGACTGCCAGAGCCCTAAGCTGAGCAGACTTCACCAGCAGGTTACCCAGTTCAAGCTGCTCCGACTGGCCCAGAATCCAGGTATAAACTCGATGCAGAGCTCAAATTTCTTGTGAAAATATTTTTCACACTTGATTTGTTATTTCAGGAATGGCAGCAAGGAAAAAAAACTACAATTTTTATTCAATATGTATTTATTTACAGCAGGGTAAAATTTGATATAAAGCACATTGATTCTTGAGAAAGTCACTCTAGATTAGAAATGCATTGACATAAACTGCACCAAGGTCTTTAAACAGATCTTGTGTTTCCAGGAGCATCATCTGACAGGACTAGATCACCTCTGCGAACAAGCCTCCGCTCCCTCCAGGCTGTCAGAAACAGCAGAAGTTTAGAGACTGATGACTCTGGACAAATCGCTTACCCTCCATCAGGTTTCTTTCTTCTTTTTTGAAACACAAAGTGCAGGAAAAAAACTGAATACTTCATCTTTCTGCATGTTTTCTTGTATCTAAACACAAGTTTGCCCCTCAGATGTGTCATCTACATGTGTCGAGTCAAGCTGTGGGTCTCCATTACTTTCAGGAGCACCTCTGAAGCCCAATAACCCAACCCCCTTAATGAGAGTCACGTCCGCCCGGATCACAGCCATGAGAAGACTGCAGAGGTCCCATTCCCTCAGCCCCAGCAGGATCGCTCACCCTGTGAAGGGATATCTCTCTGCTTGTGGACGGGTTTTTGCCTCACCAGAGAGGGCGACCACTGCAGCTTGGGGAAGACCTGCAGCATCAGTTCAGCGATGAAACCCTTCACTGATCATGAATGAGTCAGAACATAAAGCGATTAAGAATCGTTGTTCTGACTAGCATACCACATTAAATAAACCATCTGTATTAGGGCTATAATACAGGGAGTGCAGAATTATTAGGCAAATGAGTATTTTGTCCACATCATCCTCTTCATGCATGTTGTCTTACTCCAAGCTGTATAGGCTCGAAAGCCTACTACCAATTAAGCATATTAGGTGATGTGCATCTCTGTAATGAGAAGGGGTGTGGTCTAATGACATCAACACCCTATATCAGGTGTGCATAATTATTAGGCAACTTCCTTTCCTTTGGCAAAATGGGTCAAAAGAAGAACTTGACAGGCTCAGAAAAGTCAAAAATAGTGAGATGTCTTGCAGAGGGATGCAGCAGTCTTAAAATTGCAACGCTTCTGAAGCGTGATCATCGAACAATCAAGCGTTTCATTCAAAATAGTCAACAGGGTCACAAGAAGCGTGTGGACAAACCAAGGTGCAAAATAACTGCCCATGAAATGAGAAAAGTCAAGCATGCAGCTGCCAAGATGCCACTTGCCACCAGTTTAGCCACATTTCAGAGCTGCAACATCACTGGAGTGCCCAAAAGCACAAGGTGTGCAATACTCAGAGACATGGCCAAGGTAAGAAAGGCTGAAAGACGACCACCACTGAACAAGACACTCAAGCTGAAACGTCAAGACTGGGCCAAGAAATATCTCAAGACTGATTTTTCTAAGGTTTTATGGACTGATGAAATGAGAGTGAGTCTTGATGGGCCAGATGGATGGGCCCGTGGCTGGATTGGTAAAGGGCAGAGAGCTCCAGTCCGACTCAGACGCCAGCAAGGTGGAGGTGGAGTACTGGTTTGGGCTGGTATCATCAAAGATGAGCTTGTGGGGCCTTTTCGGGTTGAGGATGGAGTCAAGCTCAACTCCCAGTCCTACTCCCAGTTTCTGGAAGACACCATCTTCAAGCAGTGGTACAGGAAGAAGTCTGCAAGTCCTTCAAGAAAAACATGATTTTCATGCAGGACAATGCTCTATCACACGCGTCCAAGTACTCCACAGCGTGGCTGGCAAGAAAGGGTATAAAAGAAGAAAAACTAATGACATGGCCTCCTTGTTCACCTGATCTGAACCCCATTGAGAACCTGTGATCCATCATTAAATGTGAGATTTACAAGGAGGGAAAACAGTACACCTCTCTGAACAGTGTCTGGGAGGCTGTGGTTGCTGCTGCACGCAATGTTGATGGTGAACAGATCAAAACACTGACCGAATCCATGGATGGCAGGCTTTTGAGTGTCCTTGCAAAGAAAGGTGGCTATATTGGTCGCTGATTTGTTTTTGTATTGTTTTTGAATGTCCGAAATGTAGATTTGGGAATGTGGAGATGTTATATTGGTTTCACTGGTAAAAATAAATAATTGAAATGGGTATATATTGTTTTTTGTTAAGTTGCCTAATAATTATGCACAGTAATAGTCACCTGCACACACAGATATCCCCTAAAATAGCTAAAACCACAAACAAACTTAAAACTACTTCCCAAAACATTCAGCTTTGATATTAATGAGGTTTTTGGGTTCATTAAGAACATGGTTGTTGTTCAATAATAAAATTATTCCTCAAAAATACAACTTGCCTAATAATTCTGCACTCCCTGTACTTTGTCACTAATAATACTGTAAATGCTTTGATGTTTCTATTCAATAGGCTCAAGATGTAATTGTTTTCAGGTGCTCTATGTGCATAAGCCCGACAGTTACAGAGAACACACAAAGTCACATCAAAGCCTGTTTGAATGTGGAAGTGCAGTTCAGCTTCAGTGGTGTGGTTGACAACAGTAGTAATGCAACAGGAAGTGTGCAGTTTACCATCATATGAGAAAGCAAATCAGTGACAGACCCATAAAAGGAAGTGTCAGTACTCAAGAAGAGACAGCGTGGGTTTCACAGACATAAATACGTAGACGCCCCGTTAACTGGCGCTGCCCTTTGGAGTTGCCGTAGTGGCCGTCCGCCATTTTAGATGGGTCTTCATTCACCCCAGTGCATTCACTTCAACTGAGGAATGTGCTTACTCAACTAAAACATTTTATCAAACTTTTTCACAATGACACGATAATTAAAATATAAATATAGTTAAACAAAAGTCAATTAAAATATAACATCTCATCTAGAAAAATCAATAGTAATCCTATGTGATCTGTTTTATGCTGGTTGTTGCAGCCATAGGCTGCACAAACACGGTCACAGTTGCCCATTCTAGGGTGGAGACCAATCCAATATGGTGGTGACACTTACGCTCCCCAGGACCCAATGGGACGTCTACATATTCATGTCTACTGTGGGTTTGGTGTCATTTAATATAATTTTGTTTCAGACAAGTTTATCAATTTAAGCTGGATCAGTTGGGTTCTTGGTGTCTTTTTCTGGCATCAAGTCTTAGCCTGCTGTGGTTTTCAGCCTATTGTCCATCAGCAGTGTTGTGTATATTTAAATGACAGTGTCCATGAGTGGAGTTAATACTTTCTGTGAACATTGAACTTTAGTAGGGATTTTTTTAATACTAATTTTGAATCCAGCGTAGCTTCGATTGGCAGCAGCTATCTTTGACATCACTCCCGTTAGGGGGTGTTAAAGACCTCCTGAACTGATTCCCAGCACCCCTAAAGTTTGAGATGTATTTATTTTGTAATCATCTATTTATTTTTACTGTTTGTAGTCATGTTTAAATAGACTTTTACAAGACTTGAAACACTTCCTCTAAATTGTTTTCAAACACTAAGTGCAGATTATTTATCATATCTTGAAAAAAATCTTGTCTTGAAAAAAAAGGGGGAATTAGCGCCCTCCGCTGGCAAAAAAGGAACAACACTCTGGTTTCCGCAGTAGTTCCCAAACTTTTTTCCTTAAGGACCCTTTTGCCCACTTTCAAGACAAGCCGGGGCCCCCAACCCCAAATCCTACACACATACACACGTTAAATGATGATTTACAAACGTAATACAAACATTCGGAGTTATAACTTTTATATGGAGTTCTGATGAAACTGCAGGGTGTGTTACTGAGAATTCATAAACGTAAGTTAAACAAAAATAATCATGCTAATCTCACAACTTTAGCACAGACAAATTTGTGGGGACCCCAGCAACCTTGTACCCCTTTGGGGGTCCCGAACCCCCAGTTTAGGAGCCACTGATTTAGAAAAGGGAAGTTAGGGAGTTGTTGTCCTCCAGTGTCTAAAAGCTGCTACTACACTTTTGGTCTTCTTAGCCATTTAGAAGTGAAATCCAGCCTCCCTATCTTAATTAAACCTTAAAAACATTTGAATCTCTGGTTGGTAGCTATAGCTGCAAACAGTTCATTGATTTAATATTGTTGAACACAGGTCAATTAAATACATTTGTTGAGTTTTAATATTGTGTAACTGAATACATTCTGACATACCAAATATTTAAACCATCTATGCTGTTACACTAATTTAAAACCTGTAGCAGTTTTTAATTGAATAATTTATTTTGAAGGAATCAACAGGAAGTGCTGTTGAGTTAGCTTTATCTGCCTGTAGTAACAGTTTTGGTCCATCAAAGGGCAGAAAAAAATCTTAATCTCAAAAGCCAGAGGACCGGGTTAATGTGTTTCCATTGAGGTTGACCTAAATAATACGTAGAAATCCCTATAGACAAAGTATGTGGCAATCAATAAAACCAAATGTCAGATTATATGTAAATAAATTAAAAGTTTATAAATTAAGTAACCTGTAACCCAATAGAATTGCACTTCTTTTTTGCTATTTTTTTCATCTAAATAAACTTTTACAAGACTCATTTACACTTCTTCTAAATTTATTTCAAACATTATGTATTGTTGTCTTAAAAGAATGGGAAATTTGTACCATCCACTGGCAAAAAATAGCCCTAATCTCTGGGTCCCAACAGCACACACACACACACACACACACACACACACACACACACACACACACACACACACACACACACACACACACACACACACACACACACACACACATGTATATATGTATATATTTGTATATACATATATATATATATATATATATATATATATATTTATATATGTATACATATATATGTATATACATATATATATATATATATATATATATATATATATATATGTATATATATATATATATATATATATATATATATATATATATATATATATATATATCTGCTCTTTCTCTGTGCAGAATTAAACAGAGGAGGAGTCTGGCAGGCCAGGCTACATACTATCAAAATTTTAGATAGGCAGAACTACAAACTTCCCCGTTTGCCATATTAAGACAGAAAGATGAGCACGGTGGAGAAATTGCTGAAACAAGAAAGACTAAAGGTGTAGCTTGCCAGGGAGACTCTGACAGTCTTTGTGATGTTTCTTCTCTGTGTGTCACAAATGCTGCCCCTGGACAGGTTGGTGGTAAAGCCCAGAGAAGATTCTGACACAGACAATGTGCTGGGTTTGTGTTGTTTCATGTAGGCCAAACACTTGCACATAGAACAGTGCACTAACTGAATTAAAGCCATGATGACTTATTCTGCTGCTCCTCCGCATCGAAAGGAGCCAGTTGAGGTAGTTCGGGCAGGATACCTCCTGGACGCCTCCCTCAGAAGGTGTCTTGGTCATGTCCTGCCGGCAGGAAGCTCCGGGTCGACCCAGGACTACCTGGAGGAAATACATCTCTAGGTTGGCCAGGAAACGCCTGGGTGGCCCAGCTGAGGAGCTGACAGACGTGGCCGGGGAGAGGATCGCCTGGGAGGCCCTACTAGGGATGCTGCCCCCGCGACCCGGATAAGCGGAGGAAGGTGAGGTGATGACTTATTCTGAGAATTCTGGGAAAAAAATCATAACATAAACTTTAAATCTGACTTTTTTCAGCGTAGTCATTGATTTTAGTTTTGTCTCGACTTGAGCTTTTATGGGAGGTTTTAAGAAGATTAGGTAGGTATTATGTATTAAGAAGACAAAGAAAATAAGACATTTTTTACAAAAAAGATTGTGGATATTTTTTCAATGGGTTGTTGTTATTAGTTGAAAATTAAGAATAATTATAAATTGATCTGATTGAAAATCATTACTCATTTTACTCTTTTTAGTGTCATTCTGTTGTGGAAATTCAGACAAAGGTGAAGTTAGCTTTTCTTGGACAAGGGCAAGGGGGTCCTCCTAGAAAAAGTTTGGGAACCACTGACCTAGACTCTTCAAACCTGGACCTGGATTGTTGTACAATGGTAGCAGATTCTATTTAACATAGATTTTGATATGTAAAACCACAATTTGATTTGTGAAAACAGTATTTTTCTTTTCTTTCATAAATGTTGGAATGAAATTGTTTTAAAATGTACAAAATTGTGAAATATATCTTGCCTATTCAGGCATCTCTCTGGGTGCTCAGCAATCTCTAATCTCTGTTAAATTAATTGCATTTGAAAAGTTTTCCCCCTCCCAACAGACTCTGTAGTGACCCAGTCTCTAAATTCTCCATAATTTATTTTTGTATAATTCTGACATGTGCAATAAATACAAATAAATTTAGATATATTTTTTCTAAACTGATTGTAATTTTGAATTTGGCTGCACTTGTGTGCATCAGCTGGCAGGATGTGGAACATCTTCCTTGCAGTACACACAACTACCGACAGGTGGTGTGTGTGGTGCATATACAGGGGCAAAAATACACAGTGTACCTTGCTACATTAGCCACCAAGGGGCTCCTAGAGGCCAGCTACAAATAAAGTATTGTTTATGCGAGGTCGAAATTGACAGTTTGCGCAAGAAACTCGTTAAAGCTTTCTCTGTGCACCAGCGGCGTTCTGTAATTTCTGTTGCTGCTCGTCTTTGAATTAAAAGGAGGTAAGTAGTAAAATGGCGGATAGCTAACGTTAACATCCAGGGAGTTTGTTACTGATGATGCCAGACTTGGTAACTTTCCTGGCGCTTGTGATTAATGCAGCTAGAACTGATAGATATAAAAATGAACCGTTGTTAGATTATAAAACAATGAAATTGAAAAAAGATTTGGGTGTTTTGGTTCCTGTTAGTTTTGGTAATGCTAATGCTCCTCATAGCTACAGCTAACGGTATAGCTAGCTAAACTGGAAACTATTGTTATTTTATTCACTACTATGTAAACAGCTGAATAATGACAATAAGCATCTAAACAGTTACATAATTGTACGGTTTTAACCACGATCTAAAGACAGCTATCGGAATAGGTGGTTTGTTTAGGGCTAACGTGTTTAAGTCAATGAGAGTTCGGATTAGTTTGATCGTAACATCAAAACGCATCAGAGCTGTGAGAGCAGGATCACCAGCATCTGTATGCTGCTTTCAGCTAAACAACACCTGTCAGAATGTTGTGAGTGACTGGTTTTAACACTCCAAGCATTTAGATGTTTTTTTTATCAGATATATTGGATGCTGGATAGTGTTGATCCTGAATGATCTCCATTTATGGTGCTAAGATGCCCATGTCCTACAGCAGCAGCTGTCCTGGTTGCTGTGGACTTTACAGCCTGGCATGTAACATTTGGTTTGCAAATATGATATTTTTTTTCCTCTTTTCACAATATCCGTTTGATCTTTGAAAGTTTGGGACTTTTTATTGTCATCAGCAAAACAAAAACAAAACAAAAGTTAAAAAAACAACAACAACCCCATAGCAATTTCTTACTAACTTACCTATACCAATGCATCAGTTGTCATAGTAAACTTATTATCTTGTTAGTATTAAGTGATATGCTGGACTCACCAGTCGGAAACCCCTCAGTGTTTTCATTTCAAAGAACCTTTTTTACATTTTGTGCACCAACTTGGGTTATAAAGGTCTTAAGGTTTTCCTCAGAAAAAGATGCTTTTACATTTCATTCAATATGATTTCATAGACTTCAGCACAATTAGAGTTAGACATGTTTTTGATTTTTCATTAGGAAAATTTTTAAAGATGAACATGAATAAAAGTCAGTGTAATGACTGAAAAATGAAATATCTGTATTTTGCAGCTTTCCCCCTGTTTTTGATATATTATTTGTCTAATGATGTTGCCGTCTCCTAGAAGTACATGCACTGCGCTCCTCTTGAGGGAAGAGAGCTGATGCATGTGCAAGATTATCAGGGTGGTTTACAACATTAGAGAACATAGCTGTTCTTAGGTTGGTGCAATCTAAATCTGTTGTCCAAAACCACACATGTTCAATTTAAAGCCTGAAGCTGACAGATGCAGGACATCGAACTGGCTTGTTATTTTTCTTCCTACTGTCTTATTTTTCACTATCAAACATTTGATTTTGTTAGGAAAAACAGTGGCGTGACAAGCTAAAGCAGCATTTCACAATTTAAATAGGAGCCACAGAATCATAACAGTATGACCAGATCCAGCGTGGACAATACCAGAACACTGAAAAAGAAGCAGGCATCACCAAGCTTATTATTTCAGATGTTAGTGGTAAATCTGTTGACTCTTCCATGCTACTTGTTCAGGTCTTTGGTTCTCATGTCTTTGCCTTTCAGTTGGCTTTTTTAAAACACCCAACACTTTCTGATTAGATTCTTTTTGTCTACATTTTGTGTAGAAACTTCACAACAAGATAAGTGGTATAATTTGTGTATGATTTTTGTTTTAAGTGGAGATGTCACAAATATATTTTGAACATTATAAAGAAGTCAGATTTGAGACAAAATTCCTCATGTAGTGAACTGTAGTAGATGCTGTAAGACAGATGTGTCCAAAGTGCGGTGCATGGGCCATTGGCGACCCTCTGCGTGATTTTGTGTGGCCCCTAATTGCTTTTCTGGAATGATGAATTTTCTCTCTCCAGCAGGCTGTTCGTATAGACCCTTTTACTGTTTGTAAACAATATGATGTCAGCGAGAATGCGCGCACAGCTTGGCAACAGAGAATGGCGTTGTTTCAGGCTTTATCAAGCTACGCTGCAGGGTTATCACCGGCAAATCTTGAATGTTATATTATTAAACTCACTAACGAATGGCAACAGACTCCCAGATCCCTGTGGCATTACGGAATGGGTGGAAGATGGCCAGATATCCAGTGGCCCGATATATATATACGTTTTTAGTGGAGAGACCCAGTAAGTACACACGTGAGAAGCTACGGGCATACAAATCGTTAGATGCATACAACTATGTTGTCTGTGGCCACGAACAGAAAGTAAAATATCACGACATAGACTCTGAGTTTTGCGTCTTGAACGCAGAAGTCCTTCCTAGCCAAAAACAAGGACACAAGACGGCTATGTACAAGGCTTGGGTCATAGTAAACAAACCAGAGAACTACGTCTTCACAGCCAACTGTACCTGCATGGCAGGGTGAGTATAGCATAGGTTTCTCTTTTTAGCGTGCTCAGAGTACAATCGTTTTAATTTTAGAGAAATACAGTTTATACTAATATGCAGTGGGAAAATACAGATGAATTAGAATGAAATGTTAATTTGAAGAATGAAATAAAGCGTATAAATTTATATGTAACCTTAGTACATAATTACCTTACCTGATATAAAATGGGCGCTACAAACTCGAGCATTTCGGATCGTGTTTTCCGTCCAGTTTTCATCAACCCTTTTGATGGCCTGCAGCCACAGACGCCTCCGATTTTGTTGAAATGGACGTGCTCCCTTCGGAATTCTGTAAAGTTTCAGTCCACTGCTTGAAGAGAAGCGATTCTGGCATCCATACACGCAACAACCCGACATTTTAATGTGCTCAGAACTTCAAAACAAAGGGTTTAAAACGCTGTTTTAGTATCGAGTGTGAATGAGGAAGCCTTCACTCTCGTTGCCAGGCTGCGCGCGCAACTTTTGATGACGTAGGTAGTAAAAGGTTCTATAGAGTGAGACTTTGTGACAATTTAACCTTCAGATTTTTACTGTTATGCTTACTTTGGAATTATTTTGAGGACTGCATTTTTTTAATTGCCATAAAATTATTTTAGGATTCTTTTTTTAAAATGCAAAAAAAAAATTCACATTTCTGTGGACTTTGAGAACCATTTACTTGACACTTTTGTCCCTCGTCTTAAAAGATTAGGACGCTCCTGCTGTGAGGAATCTGTGGCTCTAACATTGATTTTTTAATTAGCATAATATTGAAAAATGAAGGAAATCAACAATAATCAATGGTGCATTTCTGTGTTTATGGTTCAAATATTTTAATGCATGCCATTATGCAGTACTTCTGAGTCATTGGTGTCTTACCGGGACTAGAGCTGTTTTTATTTGAGGAGTCAGAAGATCTTAGAGGGGAGTCGTGTTTAGAGCGACCACTCTTTAAAACTCACTGCAGGTTTTTCTGGTACATTCAGTGGACTCTGGTTAAAATGGTGGTAAATGGTCTGTATTTATATAGCACCTTCTGGGGTTCTGCAACCCCCCAAGGCACTTTACAACACAATCTGTCATCCACCTACACACACATTCACAAGCTGGTAGCAACAGCTGCCCTGAGGCGAAATGGTGGAGGTGAAGCTGCTGAACACTGGTGCAATCAGCCCCTCTGACCACCACCAGCAAGCAAGGGTGGTTTAGTGTCTTGCCCAAGGACATAACTGGGACAGACTGAATGGGCTCAAACCTCCAACCCTCATCTTTACCCTGCTATAATTTACAAATTGTGTTAAAAAGAACATGCTGTTCAGACCATCTTTGGTTGTTTGGTTTTTTAATAGATGATGCAGATTTTCTGAAATCTGGACGACCTATAACTGTTGTTTTTAAGTTTTCTGTTTGTCTTTAAAATGACGTTGTGTCTTATTCTTGCCGATAGGGGGCAGTACATTCCTAAATCATTGCAAGCAAGCAGTATTTTTGTGTTCGAGTAAGATCTTACCAACGTATGGCCATTAGGGTCAAAAATCACTGGGAGCTTAAATTTTGAACAAGTAATTTGTCAGATCGTTCAACCTCCAGCAAAATGACAGATTCCTTTTCATCACTGGCAAAGAACGAAGAGGTAAATGTGTAAAACAACAATGTTTATGACTGGTGAAAGTTTACTGCTTGTTACAAATCAGTAAATGTGTTTTGTCCTCACGGGCTCATGTAGAAGAAAATATGGCATCGCCCAGAGATGACCTGCTCCCCCTTTGCACCAACGTCACCTAATCACGTGGGTCCACCATGCTGGACGGCAAAAGCATGTAAACAGTAAGCGACACGATTACTAAACAAAGGGAAAAGTAGAGCCTGAAATTGTTTTTGCGATCAAAACAAAAACAAAACTCCAGCATTCCTTCAACTAGTTCATGCCCAGTTCAGTTATCAGTAGTAGCGCATCTAGCGGGGGCTCATAGAGAGCGGTATGTTAACTAGCTTACCAACGTTAGCCTACATTCTCTCTGCAGCTGTTCACCGATGTAAACATGTTGCTGACTTTGCCTAAATTCACCCCTCTGGATTTATAACTTTATGTTATAAACAGCGTTTCACTTTACACCAAAGCTGATGGTTAAAAAGTCCGGATCCCTACCAGCTTGTGTTGCTGGTGGTGTTACCGGGTTCAGCTGCTGCTCTCACACTGGAATGAGAAGATCTCTGAACGGCGACGCTGATATAAATAAATAAATAATGTAATTTTAACACACGTAGTCATACATCGGAGCTTTAATATTAATAATTGTCTCGCTTTACACTACAGTGGACGGCGCGCAGCCTCCGTGGTGAAATACCCATCCATCAGGATGATCAATAACTAGTATAAACACATCACATTTACCCCTGTCCCTGTCTTCCTCGTGAAATAAATTAATGTTAATCTTACCCGTTAAAAACATGCTCGCTGCAAATCTGAGGCCTGCTAGTCCGCTTGATTGATCGCTGCAGTTCATCTCCGTCCTCAGTCTCCATCAAAGTTATTAAAAAGAAAAAACGAGATGAGTTTACGTCCTTGTCTCTTAGTGCAGCCAACCACGCAGCAAGCTAAAACCATTTTACTGTCAAATCAACTAAATAAAAGCGATAAGAGGCTACAAACTGGCTTGTTTTGACTACCTTCACTTGAGTTTCTATGGGTGTAAACGGTCTTTTTGCCATCCATCATGGCGAAGGGGGCAGTCACATGAGTGGCGTGACGTCACGTGCAAAGGGTCAATAGAGCTAACAACAAGCTAATGGTTCCGTGAGCCATTGGATAATAAAATAAGCTACAAAGTAAAAAGATCCACACTGTTAGAAAAACAATACAAGTCCAAAATGTAACAAGTCAAAATCTTTTAGGAATCCTAGATCTGTAAAGTAAGAAGCTCAGTCTTTTATTTAAAGCTGTGCCATTTGTAACCACTACAGGCCTGCTTACATGGGAGGAGCACTTTGACAGACCACTTTAGTGTGATGCAACAACATTGCTGCTCAGATTCTGCTCTTCTGTTAGTGCTGTACCCAAGTGTGGCTAATGCCAGTTATTAAAAGAATTGCAATATCTTTATAATTAATCATCAGTTTGTTTGCCGGTAACATTTACTGTCTACCATATATGTCACGTAAAGTAATGCTGTATAAAAGATGAAACCTTCATCAGCGTAGCACTTTTCTGGGGTATCTATCACCATTAAAATCACGTATCCAGCCACGATAGTGTATTTACTGTTGTGTTTACGTTGTTTTTATCAGAGACTTTTTAATGCGGACAAATCTGTCCCTCATTTTCCTCCACCTGTTCTTGCGATCGGCACCTCTAAACCCACGTTTCCCATCATTTCATCCACAAATAAAACGCTTGCTTCAGTCACGCGGGAATAAACGTTCATATTTTTGTATTTTTCCGCAACACATGGCGTTGCGTGTCTCCGTACTCGTGCAGAAGAAGAAGTATAAATTAGGCTTTAGCTCAACTCCCTCATGGGAATGTCTCTTGTTTCCTCAAGCTAAATCTGAGCTGACTTATTGTCTCATGCAGGTATGACACCGACATCTGAGAAGTACCGCGTACAACCCCGCTTCAAAGATTTCTAAAGTGCCTTTTTAGGATTGTGCTAAATAGAATAGAATACAGGCCATTTACCATTAACGGTATTTGTGAGAGTTTTCAAAATGACTGAAACATTCATGAAGGTTTCTTAATTTCCTAACATGTTAGTAAATGCAATGAGAGTAAATCAAGGACAGTTTGAGACATTTACTGTTATTTGTCTCTAATTTCTTATTTTATTCACAATCAGGTTTTTTTGTGGAAGTATACAAAAATAGAAAACAGTGTGTTGGTTTTTATCGCTACTTGGGCACAGATTCATCTGTAAAAATATCTGATTTGTTTCCAGTTTCTTCTTCTGCGGTTCCAGAAAATGTGGAAGAAATGCTAGCAGAGCAGGAATTGCACACAGAGTTCCAGTTTCCACAGTAAGCAGCGACTCTCACACCGACCAGGATTGTACTTGTTTGTGATTGTTTGTTTGTTTGCATCTGTGCTGCTGTTATTTTGTGACATTTATTTGGGCTTTGTAAGTGTAATTACTTTATCTTTCATACACAGAGAAACAGATTCTCAGTTGTCTTCTGATGCTGACTTTGAGGATCTAGATGGAAGAAATGCAAAGACAGGAAGGGGCTTGGTAAGTGGGGGTTGTTGGTAAGACACAGAGACACGCATCTTCTCCGTTTGGTCAGAAATGACCATTTTCATCACATTTCTGCATTATCACTTTTGTTTTACACACAGTGATTTACTTTTTGTTTTTCCAAAAAGCCAGGTAAGACTTTACAGTTACGCAAAAAATTTTTTGACCTTAACAGGCAGCTAAGAGAGGGAAGAAAGCAGTGGGGGAGAAAGCCCGAGGTGGGGGAGCAGGAAAGCTTCCTGATACTGGCTGGGTGAATGGCCATCACCAGGAGAACGGGATGGATCATGTGACCCTGTTTGAGGTGGTTAAAGTAGGAAGGAGTGCCACACAGGTGAGTGTTTTTCTTTATAGGTGACTACGTCCTACTGAAAGTTGATTCGTCTGTGGCGTTGGACATTGTTTTGGTCTTTTTCTCTTCTTCTAGTCTGTTGTTGATGACTGGATTGAGTCTTACAAACAAGACAGGGACAGTGCTCTCCTGGACCTCATCAACTTCTTCATTCAGTGCTCTGGCTGTAAAGGTCAGACACAGTGTGTGCAGCCGTTTCTGCCATCGGCCGTGTAAGTTTAGCTCAAACTGTGATTCGTCCTTTTAGGAGCCGTGAGCGGAGAGATGTTCAGACACATGCAGAACTCTGAAATCATCCGAAAAATGACAGAGGAGTTTGACGAGGTGACATGGCCATGCAGCTACAGGCGTCTAACGGTTAAACCTGAGTCTGATTGTTCCTCTTTTATGGTCTAACAGGACAGCGGAGATTATCCCTTAACTCTCTCAGGACCACATTGGAAAAGATTCAGGATAAACTTCTGTGACTTTATTACAGTCCTGGTGCGACAGTGTCAGTACAGCATCATATACGACGAGTACATGATGGACACGGTCATCTCACTGCTCACGGGCTTGTCTGACTCGCAGGTCAGAGCGTTCAGACACACGAGCACACTAGCAGGTTAGTTCTAACACCACGCCCTACACAGCTGCACACACACCTGTTGTGTCTTTGATGGGTTTGCATTTTCTCTGACTCGGCTTTCTGCTCCAGCCATGAAGTTGATGACGGCCTTGGTGAACGTCGCTCTGAACCTGAGCATCAATATGGACAACACGCAGAGACAGTACGAGGCAGAAAGGAACAAAGTAATCGCAAAGAGGGCCAATGATAGACTAGAGCTCCTGTTGCAGAAGAGGAAAGAGGTGAGAAATGAAAAATGTCACAGAGCTTCGGTGAAGCATCGAGCTTTTGATTCGTCCGTGTAAAACGTCCACCAGCAGCAGTTTGTAAGGCAAAAAAAAGGAACTTGCACTATAATTATAACCGTTTCATAGTTTGGTTTCATAGTACTAATCAATCAATTCAAAGATACTTTATTAATCCCAGAGGGAAATTAGAGTACTATAGTACAGTAGTAGTACTACAGTACTACTGCATTCTGTGTTACCTTGGTAGCAGTTCTAAATCATCTAAATATTTCATTATTCTAATTAATTGTTTTAGATCTTTTTACTGTATAATTCAGATTATTTGTCACTTTGAGAACATGTTTGAGGCTTTATTATGCTCATGCCTTATATCTCTGACACACACTTTTCATACAACACGACACTCTTAGTTCTGGACCACAAGTCGGTTTTGCTTCATAGAGGAAAATTAGTCATTTAACAGATAATAATTTGAAAACTATAATGTAACATAAATTCTGTAATATGTTTTCTTTAGTTGGCTAGTTTAACTAAAAAGTACACTTAAAAATTTAGCTAAATTATTGAGACATAATTCAACTTAAATCCACAGAAACCATCACATGAAGTCATTTATGGGACTGTTTTTGACTCTATGTATAAATGCAAGTGATGCACTGATATGAAATTTTTGGACCGATGTCGATACCCGATATCAAGAGCACTGTTATGGCCGATAATCGATATTTGCCAATATTGATATACTGACATTAATGCTTCTAAAATCAGCAATTTTGTATAAAATGAAAATTATTAAAGCCAAATTTACATTAATATGTACACACACCACACACATTTACGCTTCTGAGATGATTAAAATCACTGTCACATGACTAAACAATTACACATCACCCCCTCACCCTCTGAAACAGGCAAACAAATTGAGACCAGATGGGAAAAATATCGGTTGTTAATATCGACCCGGTTTTATTTATCGGACCGATACCGATGTGTTAAAAATTACTAATATCGGCTGATTCCGATATTGATGCCGATATATTGTCCATCCCTAATAAATTGTTTTTTATTTATCTGTAGTTGTAAAACTAGTTTACATGAAATGTTGAACTTCCTTTTCATCTTTAGTAAAACGGTTTATAACAAGCAGATTTTTCTGCAGATCTATAAACTCATGCTTTAGTGTGGCAGAAAATAAAATTGTTCTTTCACTTAATTTTTTAAAATAATTTTAAAAATTTAACTTTTCTTCTTTTCAGCTTCAAGAAAATCAAGATGAAATAGAAAACATGATGAATGCAATCTTCAAGGGAGTGTTTGTCCACAGATACCGGTTTGTATGGAAATGGCTAACTGTGTTTAATGATTCTTTATGGCCTTCTGGCGCCCTCTAGTGTTAAAAGATTGTAAACACAAATAAAATTTCTCTTGGTTTTTGATGACACAATTCAGCAGTTCTATTTAGTTCTTTTTTCTTTTTAATTTTAGGCAATAAAGAGTCTGAACTTGTGTACATCAGTATGTGTTATTAGCTCTATAACTACTTATGTTTTCAGTGATGCCATTGCTGAAATTCGAGCCATATGCATCGAGGAAATCGGTATGTGGATGAAGCTGTACAGTGATGCCTTTCTCAACGACAGCTACCTGAAGTATGTTGGCTGGACGATGCACGACAAGGCGAGTTAACGACAAACACGCGTTGACAGTTTCACTTCTATTAGATCTTACTAAAATTGACATTTGATCTAAACTTGACTTTTGATTTTTCTCCTGTTTTTGTTGCTACTTTCAGACATTTTCAAGCTGTACAAACCAATCAATCAATCAATCAATCAATACTTTATTAATCCCAGAGGGAAATTAGAGTTTCAGTACACACAATTCAGAGATCAGACATACATGGGCATTGGTGACTGTGGTCATTCGCAACCCGAGTCACGCTACCTTAATAGAGATAAGAGGGTTACATGAGGATTGGTTCAGGTGGAGCATATTCAGAGGATTATGTTTATAATGCTGACAATGTGTTGCGCTAATTAGCATACATTTTGGTCATTTTGATTGCAGCAAGGTGAGGTGCGGCTGAAGTGCCTGACTGCCCTTCAAGGCCTGTTCTACAACAGAGAGCTGGGCTCACGGCTGGAGCTCTTCACTAGTCGCTTCAAGGTGAGCCAGCAGTCAGTATTAGGGCTGGACGATATAGAAAAAAAGCATATTGATAAAAAAAAATCATATTGATTGATACAATAAATATTGACAAATATAAAAAAATTAACAAAAAAAACAACAACTAGAAAATATATTTTATGTGCGGCCCTGGCCATTTAATGCTATTCCTTCTTTCACTACTTTCAATAAAGAACAGACAAAAACTGACCTAAGTTCAAGATTATATTTAAAGGGGCATTATGGAAGTTTGACAGCCAAAACATGTATAGAAATAATTAGAATAGAAATAATAAATGTCTTCTTCATACATTCTCCTGCAATGCCCTGGTCCTGTAGAATGAGCCCTGGCATTTTTACTTTGATTGCCTGTTTTTCTGTAAAATCACAGAAAAAGAGAGCTGCTCGGGTCGAGCAGGCTGCTTCATGCGCGTTCACGCTCAGGCATCGCCCGTAGCATTTGTTATCTGTAGCTTTAGCAGCAGAGTGGGGTAGTGCCAACTCAGCGACTTTGTCGCTGTTCCTAATGCCTAGTGATGAACCTAGCTACAATTCTGAGGACCCTTAGCTACTTTCTTCTAGATATTTCCTGCAAATTAGCAACAAAATAGCCATTTTCGCTCCGACCCGCTTTGAACGTTGTTTCAGTTGTCATCAAGGATATAAATATTACTGATATGAAAGATGTTACTGGTGCTGTAGCTCACCTAGTTAGACGTCGTACTCTCGTGCAGAAGATCCAGGTTTGATTCTTGATGTGAACGTAATTTATGTAGAGTTTCTTTTTTACATTAATGGTATATTTTTTACAGTAAGATGCCCAAAATTTTATTTGAGACTCGCCGAATGGCTTTGAATTCACAGATAAAAAAGATGTGGTTTCAGCTTTCATTTTGGAACAGTTTTTCAAGCAAGGGAAGGGAATGGTCTGTGAAGCTGACGGACTGACCCATCTTAAACCTTTGTCGGCTGTGCTGAACATCGACATATGGTGCTGAAGAGAAAGGTACAGAACCAAATTATTTAATTAATTAGCTGCGCGTTCTCCTGTCCTCTGTCCTCCGGGCCACACACACACACTGGACTGTCTCAGCTGTATTTTTGTTAAGGAGTGTGCACGTACAGCATACGCGCCTCCTGCACGAGCCTCCTATTGAAGCAGCCGTTACGCTTTTGGCCTGAGGGGGCAATCGCGATCATAAAAATTCAAAACTCCGTAAAGTCCCTTTAACCATCTTTACCTTACTAGAACTGAACTGTTTCAGGAAAAGAAAATTGTGTTTGTTTTTCTAGCAGAAATTGAGATTTTGGTTTAACCCTTACCCAACGTTTACATTTTCTAACGTTAAAGTCATTAGAGCACAAAAAAATGCTCTAATGTGAGGTAAGGGTTAATTTGTGATTTTTATTTTTCAAATCAAGGTTCAGCTGCAGCACATTATTCACAACATACAGCAATATTTACAAACGTGACAGGAAGTGACCTCATACCATTCTGCTTTCATCAGGGCTGCCAACTCTCACACACTGACTACGTTTACATGCAGCCAATATCCGGGTTATGATCGGGTTAAGGTCAGCATTCGGGTTTCTGAGTTGATCAGAATAACCCGTTTACAAGCATAAATAGAAAGAGTTACCCCTAACTTGCATAACCCGATTTAAATGCGGACGTTGGGGTAGCGTCAGGACGTATGGACTACGTACAGACGCAATATGCGTCATTTCCGGTTCTTCTTGTTCCGGTATCCGTGAAAACAACAACATGTTTCCCAGTTCGGAAGAGATAGCGACCGCGTTTCTTTGCGCTTTAGTTTCCTCGTCACTCCAAAAGTGTGGTGCTGTGCCGCAACTCGCCATGTTGCTCCCAACTTGTTGTTTACTTCCGGCGTTCTGGCGCATACAAGACGTCTCGCTACTCAAAAGACCAAGATTCCTTACGAACAGAGCATGCGCATAACACACGCTTTGATGGGGATATCCCGATATGCGTTTACACGACCAAACATTCGGGTTAGAAAAGGGTTACCCCAGGTGTAGTTACCGGGTTTTTAAAAACCCGGTTATGAGCATATCTGGGTTTTTGGCGGTGTTTACATGGACCTGCGGAACCGGGTTATTGTGAATATTCGGGTTTTAAAAGGGTTACTAGCTGCATGTAAACACACTCACCGAGCATGAGACACACGCATCGGATCTGATCTGCGCGCACCCCTAACCCAACACACACACACACACACACACACACACACACACACTCTCTCTCTCTCTCTCTCTCTCTCTCTCTCTCTCTCCTCACGGATGATAGAAGGAGCTCGATCAGCTGAAGAACTTGCCTCATCTCCCATACCAAATTTAGCAAAGGTCTTGTAAAGGCCAAATTATTCTTTTGGGACAATTTCCTCGACCTATTGTTGCTGCAACTTCTTGTTTCAAGTCGCATTCTGTCTGTTTAGGTTTGACAGGGGAGGGCTTGGTGACCGAGCGTGCTTAGATCTGTTAATTGTTTGGAAGTCTAGTATTAAGCTACCTGATAGACTATAAGTGTTTATCGACCCATTTTTTTCTATCGCACCACACGTCTATTGATAGACTTATATCATTATAGAATTATTGTCCATTAGGGGTGTAACAATATCCAAATCTCACCATACGATATTGTCGCGATATTAACCTCAAGATATGATATTTATTGAAAGCCATGAAGTTCAAAATTCAAGTAGCAACTCAATATATATTTATAAAAAAAATGTTAACACAGGTACAGAATTAACAGCCAAAATAAAGACATTATTAAACAGCCTATTCAATAAATAAAAATACCCAGGCACTAAAAATACCAGGCATTGTGGGCTGTACGCACTCCCATTGGTGAACTGGCTGATGACGCGGAAGCAAGGCATCATGGTCTATGTAGTTTACTTTGCTATGCTCCTGTGGAGCAGACTGAAAAGTGTTATTTTTACCTCAAGACGTACTACTGTACAATATTGTAACAAGACCACGACGACATTGCCAATATTGTTACAGCCCTATTGTCCATCCCGAGTCAGTATCGTCATCAAGTGTCTATTTACAGATAACTGACAAAAATATATTTATTTATGGAATTTTACATTCATCATCCCCAGATTTGTTGTTAGTAGATCTCAGGTCCTGAATGTGGATGTTTTATTTCTAACAGGATCGGATTGTGTCGATGACTCTGGATAAAGAATACGATGTCGCAGTACAAGCTATTAAGCTTCTGACTCTTGTCTTACAGTAAGTAACCTTCCCTTTGATTAAAACATCACGTACATAAACGTGTTCAGTTAAATTGAATTCAATTCACTTTATTTATATGGTGCCAATTTACAACACTTGTCATCTCAAGGCACTTTACCAAGTGAATATTCAAATTAATACTGAGTTCAGTTTATTATTCCAGTTAGTTGAAGGGATATTCCACCCCTAAGTGAAATTGTGTTTATTTCCAGATTCCCCAGATTTAGATTTAATTACTACAGCGCAGTAATTCTCCTGGTCTGGCAGCAGCCTGTCTGCTTTAGCTTAGCATAAACAATGCAAGTAAATAGCAGAAAGTAGCATTTTGGGTGCAAAAGTGATTAAAATAACTCAAAAATGATTCCAGTATTCCTGGTGAGCTCAATTATGTCGACTGCAAATGAAAAGTAAGAAGTAACACGAAAGATTTGCAGGAGCCGATTTAGACTTGGGACCACATTATGACAAAGCACTGCTGTAAGCCGCCGCTGCGTGGCACATGGATAAAACACAGCGGCCGAGTATCCCTTTAAAAGTTTTCTATGTGAGGAAACTCGGCAGATTGTATCAAATGTCTAAATTCTTGTGTCAGTGACTTCCCTCATATTAAGCAAGCATGTAGCGACAGTGGAGAGGAAGACTCCCCTTTAACGGGAAGAAACCTCCAGAGGATCCTGGCTCAGTATAAGCAGCCTTCTGCCACGACACACTGGGGCTTTGGGAGGACGGAGCAGAGACACAAAAGTCAAACAGATGAACTAGTAGTAGCACATTCTATGTTAAAGAAAGCAAGGAGAATGTTCAGTGGTTGGCAGCCGATGGCCACCACCAGGAGGCTATCATAGCTCAGCAGAACACCAGACCTGGTGCAGCTTGTCTGATGAAGTAAAGGCACCAACATGATGTTTATATTGTTTCAAAAAAGATCCCAAAATCATCTCTATAATTAGAGAAATGTACAAAATAAAGCCAGATAAGGTCTCCTGTTGATTAAGCTCACTGAGAATGTCTTTGTTTCCTCTGACAGGAGCAGTGATGAGGTTCTGACTGCAGAGGACTGTGAGAGCGTGTATCACCTGGTCTACTCGGCACACCGACCCATTGCTGTTTCAGCAGGAGAGTTTCTGTTCAGGAAGTGAGTCGTGTTAAAACAACAGCTAGACCGAAACGTTCCTTGTGCTGTAAAGTCCTTTTGGGTTAGTGCTTTGATCAGGGCTAATTAAAAGGATTTATTGTGTTTATTAAAGGCTTTTCAGTCATCGAAGTTCAGACGAGGAGGGCTTACCCAGGAGGGGCCGGCAAAGCCTCAACGGCAGCCTCATCAAGACGACGGTCTTCTTCTTCTTGGAGAGTGAGGTGAAAGAGCCTTTAGACCAGGGGTGTCAAACTCATTTTAGCTCAGGGGCCACATTGAGGGAAATCTAGTCCCAAGTGGGCCGGACCGGTAAATTAAAAACAACTTCAGATTGTTTTCTTTGTTTTAATACAATCAATATAAAACAAAGCTTGAGCCTGAGGACAGTGTATCCAAAATAGTACAAGTACAACATCTGAAGTGTACTTGAAAATTTGAAGAAAAAAAAAAAATCAATCAATAAATAAAAACATTCCTTAGTGATTCAAAGAGCTTACAGGTCACATGGCTAGATCAGTTTCATGCAGCATGTAAAGTATATTTGACTAATTTTACTTTACATCTTTTAGCTTTCACCGGCACATCAATATCAGAAGTCACATCCTGAGTGGCAGCCAACTTCAGGATGTGATTCAAGTTCTTGTGTGAGCCTTAAGCGCAGCTTTGTTTTATTTATACTCATTACAGAGAAAACTTGCTCACAAAGATAAGGTTATTTTTGCTCTACATTGTAAAGTATGAAATAAAAATTTACACAACCATCTCGCGGGCCAGATTTAACCCGCTTGCGGGCCGGATCCGGCCCGCGGGCTGCATAATTGACACCCCTGCTTTAGACCTCTGCTTCATGGCTCACCTTAGCCCATCTGGGAATTTCCTGTTTTTTAATCAATTTCCTAATTTGATGTTTTCTAGCTTCATGACCATGGAGCCTACTTGGTGGATAGTTTGTGGGAATGTGCTTCAGAGCTTCTGAAGGACTGGGAGACCATGATTAGTTTGTTACTGGATGAGCCCATACCAGGAGAGGAGGGTAAGGAACCGCCGGCTCGTTTACTTGTAGCAGTTACTTTAAATAACAGTTTTCTTTCCTCTAAGCCCTGACGGATCGGCAGGAGACGGCTCTGGTTGAGATCATGCTCTGTGCCATTCGCCAGGCTTGTGAATGTCACCCCCCAGTTGGCAGAGGCACAGGGAAGAGGGTGAGTGTCCAGCTGCTCAGCAAAGACAGACCTAAGCCTAATGTTGAAGGATTTTGATGTGATTTTGTTCATGGATTAGGTTATGACTGCAAAGGAGAAGAAAACACAGCTAGATGACCGGACGCGGATCACAGAGATGTTCTCTGTTGCACTGCCTCTGTTATTAGCAAAGGTGACTATTTTCTGTACTTTAGCTTATGGGTAGTTCACTCATACTTAAATAACTTGTTGTTTTTCTCTTTGCAGTACTGTGTTGATATTGATAAGGTGACCAATTTGCTACAAATACCAAAGTACTTTGATCTTGATATCTACACCACCGGTCGCTTAGAAAAGGTTTGTGAGGTTTAAAAGATCTTTTTAGTGCAATTCTCCGTTTTAATTTAGCATCACATTGAAGTAGCAGTAAAACAAGATTATATGTTTAGCATTTGGATGCCTTATTGCGACAAATCTGGGAGGTCGTGGATAAGCACACAGACACTGAAGTTCTGGAGGCCTCTTCCACCACCTACCACTACCTCTGCAACGAAGAGTTCACCATCTACAACCGCGTCAACATCGCCCGCTCACAGCTCCTGGATGAGATGGTAGACAAGTTCAACAGACTCCTGGAGGACTTCCTTCGAGAGGTTGGTGATGTGGGGAAGTTTGAAGTTTCCTCGTGACAAGCAAAGAAGAATGTTGAGGGTATGAGAATTTCTTCTTCAGGGTGAAGAACCAGACGAGGATGATGCCTACCAGGTCCTAGCAACGCTTAAGAAGATCAGCGCTTTCCACAAGTAATACAATCCACAGGTTTCTGGTTTCCACCTGGAGTGTGTAGAGGACAGTTTTTCATTTGTTTGTTTTTCTTTCCAGTGCACACGATCTCTCGAAGTGGGATCTCTTCACCAGCAACTACAGGCTCCTCAACACGGGTCTGCAGAACGGGGACATGCCTGAGCAGGTATTTCAGCACCGTGGAGTCCTACTGACTTTACTTAGATGTTAGCCTAGCCTTGCAGTCCCTTAATGTCTTTGTGTTCACTTCTGTGTAAATAAATGGTTTCCGAATGTTTCATCAATGCTCTAAATAACTTTCTATGTGCTGAAACCGTTCTTGGAAACTTGTTTCACCCACTGAGTTACATGATTACTTAATCCGTATTTTTATTATGTGAAGATTTTATCTTGATTTTCTTTCCTGCAGATTGTGGTTTATGCGATGCAGTGCACGCATTACATCATCCTGTGGCATCTAGCTAAGGTTTCAGACGAGACTTCAGTCAAGGTATCGAAATATTTAATAAACATGTTATAAACAATTCTAATAACAATAAAAGCTTTAAAAAGCAGTGTTTAACAGTATTAGTGTTCCCTTATCGTTCAATCTGTGTCAGGGGGATATGGTGACTCTGAGAAAGCAGATGAGGGCGTTCTGTTTGATGTGTCAGCGTTACTTAAACAGCATCAACACAGCCGTTAAAGAGCAGGTGGGATTTTTACTTTTTCTATCCATGAACACGTGGTTGGCTGGTATTTATTTGTGATGTGTATACCCCAGGCTTTCACCATCCTATGTGATCTGCTGATGATCTTCAGTCACCAGATCATGTCGTCAGGCCGGGAACATCTGGAGAGTCTGGTTTACGTGCCAGACTCCTCGCTGCAGGCAGAGCTGCTCAACTTCATCCTGGATCATGTTTTTATTGATCAGGACGACGACAGCAACAGCACAGGTCAGGCGCTTGTGTCAGCTGCCCTTTCCCCAATTTTTATAGTTCAGTTCTTTTCAACCTTTAACATTTCTTTTCCACAGATGGACAACAAGATGATGAGGCCAGTAAAATTGAAGCCCTTCACAAGCGGAGAAACCTCCTTGCTGCTTATTGCAAATTAATCATTTACAACATTGTTGAAATGAACACAGGAGCTGATATATTTAAACAATACATGAGAGTAGGTCTAAATCATTTAGTTATGTGACAATCATTCATACCTGATTCTTTTTACAGCCTTTCTTCTCTTTTCTCTTTAGTATTACAACGATTATGGCGATATCATCAAAGAAACGATGAGTAAAACGAGACAAATCGACAAAGTTCAGTGTGCAAAGACACTCGTCATAAGTCTGCAAAAGGTAACGTTCTTATGTAGTCGCACTACATCTTCTAAAGTTAAAATTTTCCAAATGAAACAAAAATTGTAACATTTTGCTTATTTTTAAACGTTTATCCAACTTGTCTAAGTAAAGAAGTTGAATTTTACTGATGTTGCTGATTGTGTTAGAATTTGATGTCTTGAGTTTTTGGTTTGTAAGTGGGGATGGGATTGGTTCATTACATGAGGAATTGGGAAATTTGTTTTGGAAATGCAGTAAAAAAAAAGTCCTGATGACAGACGGCCACACTAAATTTACCAGAGTTCAGGAGTACCAGGGGTAATCACTGTCGCTGCTACATCAGAGGTCCTGAGAAAATTCACATCAGCTCATCTCACAGGAGCAGAAAAGTCATTTCTGGTGTGTTTTTTTAAAAAAAAGTGCTTTCAGTGAGCAACCAGTTTTTACTTATTATTTTGAAAATGATGAGTCTGAGTTTTTCTGACTGGCTGAACATGAAAATTGTCTCCTACACCTACAGTGCTCAGCATAAATGAGTGCACCCCCTTTAAAAAGTACAAATTTAATCAGCAGCTCAATGAACAAAAGAACAATTTCTAGAATTTTCTCAAGGCTGGGTTTTATTGAACACTTGTTTAACTCCATAACATGAAATTAAGGTTAATAATAAAACTTAGGTCACAAAATCTTCAGTTTTACTAAAATTGGTTGAAGCACAAATGAATACACCCCCCAACAAAAACTACTACATCTAGGATTTAGTTTGACCACTTTGATTTTCAAGGACAACACCAAGTCTTCTAGCATGGAATGAACAAGTTGGTGACATTTTGCAACATCTAACTTTCTCCACTCATTAAGAATAACCTATTTTAGAGCCTGGATGCTGGGTGGAGAGTGATGCTCAACTTGCTGCTTCAGAGTTCCTCACAGGTGTTGGGTTGGGTTGGGTTCAGATCAGGAGACATACTTGCATACATTCAATCACCTTCACCTTGTTCTTCTTCAGAAATGCAACAGTAGCTTTAGATGTGTGTTTGGATCGTTGTCCTGTTGGAAAAGTGCACGACGACCAAGTGCACGGAGTGATGGCAGCATCTTCTCCTTCAGTGTAGAGCAGTACGTTGTTGAGTTCATGATACCGTCAGTGAAATGCAGCTCCCAAACACCAGCAGCACTCATGCAGCCCACATTAGGACACCGCCACCTCCATGCTTCACTGTAGGCACAGTGCATTTCTCTTTGAAGTCATCACCTTTATGATGCCGTACAGTTTTGAAATCATTACTTCCAAAAACCGTGATCTTTGTCTCATCACTCCAGTGTATAGAGTCCCAGTAGTCTCCATCTCTGTCAGTATGGGCCCTAGCTAATCCTAGGCATGCTTTTTAGTGCATGGGCTTTAGGAAAGGCTTCCTTTGTGGCCGATACCCATGCATGCCATTCCTCTGCAGTGTGCACCATATGGTGTCACAGGAAACGGTCACTCCAGTTTGGCTTTCTACTGCTTTAGCTAACTGCAGTGAACTTGCATGGAGATTTTCCTCAACTCTTCTCATCAGAAGACGTTCCTGTTGAGATGTTAACTTCCGTAGACGGCCTGGACGTCTCTGTAAGATGGTTGCACTTCCATCTTTCTTACATTTTTGGATCACTTTTGCTACAAAATTTTGACTGATATGTAAAGCTTTGCTGATCTTGTAGTCCTCACCTTTAATGTGTGAATAAATTATTTCCTTTCTCTTAAAGGGACAATGTGTAGTTTTTATCATTAATCTCTGGAATTATCCATCAATGTTGAAAATGAATTAAATGATGCCCAGTTGTTGAAAAATATTGGTGGCTTCTTAACATATAACCATAAAAATTAGGTCTAAAGTACGTGGGAGTGGGTCTAACCCCAAAATTCCACTATCTCCGCTCCGCCCCCGCTTTCCGCTGCCGCTCGCTTCCGAACTCAAATTATGCTATACCCGCTCTACAACGGCTCCGCTCCGGTGCGGAGACCTGAGGTGCGCAAACAGGCATGCGCGGGATTTTCGAGATCTTGCAATACAGTCCGAGCAATAAATGCGGAAGTTAGATCCAAACACTCGTTATGTGGGAGAAACATCGAAATGAACTGTTTAATCTGCCTATCATTTGTGTTGAGAGATCAGCAGTGTTTGTATCAACAAAGGGTGACTACTTTGATAGTAGAAACTGTATTTATGGCTTATTTTTGTGCATTTAGAGTTCAACCGCCATTGATAGTTGTTAAAAGTTGTTGAACCTGTGCATATGAAACAAAAAACGCTTTTTGTTTATCGATTTATTGTGAAATAACGGAAGTTGTGCTTGCTCCCTTTCCTGTTGGGTGGTTGTGATTTCTGTCCATTGACTGCGGAGGTGCTCTGATTCTATTTTTGCTGGATGGCGGAATGGTGGGCGGCACACTGCGCTGCACGGCTGCAGTAGTGGAACAGCTCTGATTGACTACAACGGGACCGTTTTTGCTGCGGAGTTCGTGCCGGAGCGGAGATAGTGGAATTAGTCTCTGGGCGACACCATATTAGATGCCATGTTTCCTTCTACGGGAGCCCATGAAGACAAAATGCATTTACTGATTTGTAACAAACGGTTACAAAATTTCACCATTCATAAACGTTGTTTTACACATTTACCTCTACTCATTGCCAGTGATGAAAGGGAGTCTGATGTGCTTGTCATTTTGCTGAAGTTTGCTCTCTCCAGGACTTTTTGACCCTAATGGGGATCCGTTGGTAAGGTCTTACTCCAACACAAAGTACAGCTTGCTTGCAACAGTTTAGGTATCTACTGCCCCCTATCGCCAGGAAAAATACACACTGTCACTTTAAGTAATGCCGTTTTCTAGTCACCTGTCTCCTGAACACCTCTTAAATGAATATTTAGACTCGCCAGTGGTTGAAAGCCTGTTAATTAAAATTATCTAGTCTTAAGTGTGGCTTTTCTCTTAAGACTGAAATTTTTGCAACATGGGCTTGAATGGATTTGTTAGGAAAATCACTTTTTTGTGTGTGCAAACTAATAAATCTTGTTTGCAATCAGTGGTCCACGTTTGTGGGAGTATTTTGTAGTTTGGTATCTCATAGAAAATTTTGATTGTGAACAGACACTAAAAGTTTTCTGAAAAATGTAGTGGGGTGTACTCATTTATGCTGAGCACTGTATCTCCTGCATTAGCTTCTGATAGAAAGTAAACAGTGAAACTCTAGGATTTGAAAATCCTGACAGATCTACGTCACACCTTCACTCGACATTGATGGACTCACCCATCTCAAGGGGAAAGGCTTCTGTCATTTTAGCTTCCAGAAAACAGCAGAGAACGTCTCGGCTAGTAGAAGCTAGCTGTTAGCATTAGCAACTCCACCACATGGCAGCACTTGTGTCATTCGTGGAGAACAAACATCATCATTTCAACATAAACAAATTCAGTTGTAGAGTCTCGTTAGCCAGTCAGCAGTGAGATGTCCAAGTGTCAGCAAATAAGACTCCACAGCCTGTGGTCTGCCACTTTCTCCACCGGCTGACTTCTACGTCCTCAAGCAGGAGCACCTGAGATTTTTTTCCCCCAGAGTACGACTTACAAGGCATTCATTCCTACAGACTACTGCTATTGCACAAAAAATATGAGAAATGTTTACCTTTGAATCTGACGACGTCTGCTTTCATTTCTCAACATTTGGCAAAAATGTTGTAATCAGTGGTTTAACTTGTCAAAGATGCACTTTAAAAGTAAAATTTGTTTTTCTTGCAGTTATTCAATGAGATGTTGTCTGAATTTGGCTTCAGTTTTGACCGCTCATCCTCAGCCTTCTGTGGCATTAAAGAGCTTGCTCGACGCTTCTCCCTAACTTTTGGTTTGGATCAGGTGAAGACGAGGGAGGCCATTGCCATGTTACATAAGTGAGTGGTTTTCTTTGGCGAGCTACGAAATTCATGCAGTTTGTGTTTAAATACGCAAAGTTTGTTTTTCTGCTTTAGAGATGGAATTGAGTTTGCATTTAAAGAACCCAGCCCTCAAGGAGAAGGAGGCCCACCCCTTTACCTAGCATTTTTAGACATCCTGAGCGAGTTCTCCAGCAAACTAATTCGACAGGACAAGAAGACAGTGTAAGTTTGAGTCATAATACGTAATATGAGCTCTGACTCTGAAATGGCTTTACCGTTGACTTTTTCTCTGGCTCCGGCAGTCACATGTACCTGGAGAGATTCATGACCTTTCAGATGGCCCTTCAGAGGGAGGACTGCTGGCTGCCCCTCATCGCATACAGGAACTCTCTTCAGGCTGGAGGGGACGATGACACCATGTCCGTCATCAGTGGGATCAGCAGTCGAGGGTCTAGCGTCAGGAGTAAGAAGTCCAAACCACCTGCTGCAACTAAAAGAAAACTGCCTGAAGGTGAGCAGTTTAATCACGGACTCTAGATTCAGCAGAAACCTGTGTGATGTAGGCGTGTTCATCCAAACTTTAATGTTATACATTTGACCAGTTAGCTGTTGAGCTAGCTGTGTTTGTAGCATGGGTGTTTTTAGCCCGTTTTGGCGGGTGCTCCTGTAAAGCAGTTATTTTTACTGTGTTTTTAAAGGCACTTGTAAAACAGAAAAAGCATACAGTGGTTGACTGAACACTTAGCCTAGTATCCCCAAGGGCTGGTATCCAGCATGTTTTAGTTGTTTCCCAAATCCGACACACTTGATTCACCTGTTCAGCAGCTCACCAAGACCTGCAGAGGCCTGCAAATCACCTGCTGATCAGCTGTGTTGGAGCAGGAAAAACAGTGAAACATGCTGGATATTCTGTGAAGGAAGCTGAGGATCACTGACCTTTGAACCGAGACTAGATTATTATTATAGCAGAATCCGTAAAGCATTGTTAGTGATTAGTGAAACCTTTTTTTTATTTTTGGAAAAGAGTGTTTTGCTTTTATTTTACAAATATGGCAGTACAATTTTTTTTAAATGTCCAAAACTGTAAAACTAATCTTTCCCGGAGGGGCAGCTCTCTGGGTGCTCAGCACCCCAAAACCCCTGATGCTAGAATCACCCTTGGTTTGTTGTTCTGAAATGTAGTCACAAACCTGAAAAGGCTAGATAATTTTTTTGTTTTATACCTTAATGCAACCCCACAGGAGTGTGAAAATGTGGACCCAGTACTTTAATTTTCCACTCACCTCCTCACGTCTCCTCGTTACTGTCAGGCTGCAGCAAACAAAAACATTCCCTTCAGCTGTCTGCAGCTTCATTGCTGTGAACTTTTTGGGTGTGTTTGAATTGAATTCTTAAACAGATTAATAAGGTGTTGCTCTTTTTTTCAACTTTGATGTCACAGTTGTAGCAGATTTTCTTCTCTGGACAGAGCATGCTGCGTTGTTTCAGAAGTGGTTTTCTGCTTGCAGAGGAGAACAGCTGCAGCAGCAGCGAAGCCGTCTGGTTGAACCGTGAGCAGAGTGTGCCGACGCCAGTCATGATGCATTCGCCCCACCTCACTTCCACGGTACTGAGGGATCCAAAGCAGATGAGACCAGAGGACAGCTTCACCCCCACATTCACCATACCAGCACAGCAGCACCTCCATCAAGCTCTTCCTCCACAGCAGCTGCCCCACCTTCAGCACCAGGCAGCCATTGATTACAAGTACAAAATCATTCCTAAAGTAGCCTCTGACAAAGACCTGCAGATGCTGCTGTGTTGCTTTGGGCTGAACTGAGTTCATTATGAAGGTAATGCTTACATAACCCTGTCCCACAGCACCCAGGTCACTTGGATGCTGACACAGAGGCAACAAGCTGAAGCGCGACAGCACCAAGAGAGGGTTAGCATGCACTACGCCAAGATGAGGAACCACATGCAGCAGACCATGTAAGACGACACTGACCTTTAGAGAGTGCTAGTAAGGTTTAACTGTAGGGGAGTAAAAAAGAACGACTAAAGAAATCACTACTGACGGATTTCCTTTTTTCTCCTCACAGTCGTCGAGGGGCTGGGCTAATGGAGGAGGATGAGGAACCAATAGTGGAGGATGTGATGATGTCATCAGAAGACCGCTTGGAGGACATCAGCGAGGGCATGGATTTTAACACAATGGACATCGATTTGGTAATCTATGAACTTTTCATCTAAATTCTGTAGAGGAAGCACCAGTGTGGTGTTTTAATACATGTTTGTAGTTTAAACTGCTGCCATTTTTCAGCCGGCATCTAAGAATCGAAGAGAAAGAACAGAACTTAAGACGGATTACTTTGATCCTTCCTCCATAATGGATGATTCGGTAAGAAACCTCACTGCTTCACTTGATTGTTTAGATTTTTACTCACAACTTGTCATGTTTATTTGTTCTTCTTACAAGAAGTCTGTATTCATTTAGATATTTGTTTTGTTTTTTAAAAAGTAGCTGTTTAAAATGGAAAATGATTTTGTAAACCAGAAAAATGTGAAATAATTATTTAAATACTATAACAGCACCATTACTGCGTCATCTGTGGTGTGTTTGATAAAGGAAAACAGGCTCGCCACTGCTGTAGCTTTCATGTGTTTTTCAGTGATTTGACATGTTTTTAGATTTGTTATGAAAAGTTAGGTTCAGATTCAGACTTAGCATTTCAGGACTGTTGAGCTTTTTTTAAAGGTGCGGAACACTGAAAAAACCTTTTTAAATGATTATTTCTGATAATTGTTTTTCATGCGGGCTAAACATGAAAATAGTCTCCTACACCTAGGGTTGGGCATCGATTATCAGTTGGAACCGGGACCAACTGTTAATTTTTCCCGGAATGGTTCAAAGTTTTTTATTTCGATTCCTAGTTTCGATTCCTAGTTTCAATTCCTAGTGTGCCGACCAGAAAAGGAATCCATGGTCAATGTCCGTGAAAAATAAATGTGATCTGCAAATTGCGATCAACGCTTTTCAGAGCTGATCACAGCAGCTGTCTGTGTGCAGCACGAGTCCCCCCTCCCCCACCCAGATATAAACAAACGCGTCTGGCGAGCTTTTACTCCGTAATGTAAACTTTAACTCCTGCAGCGTAGAGGAAACTTGTTAAAATACGTCAACACGGTGGATTTAAGAGAAGCTTTAAAGAACAAACTCTGGACGGTGTGAGGTGAGTTTGTCTCACTGCAGAAATAAAAACACACACGTAGCGTCGGCAGTCAGACGCAGCCGCTCACCAACACTTGTGTGTGTGTGTGTGTGTGTGAGTGTCAGAAGGCTGAACAATAACCTGTAGAATTATTAAAGTCATCATGCTAGAGAAGCTTCTCTGTGGTGGACTACACCAGCTTCTGCCACAATAAATAAACATAATAATAATAATAATAATAATAATAAATAACATTTTAATTTCCTTTCTGAACTATTTCTGTTGAGAGTTTTAATGTTTAAAATCTGTTAGATTGCTACTGACAGCAGCTACGTTTAAGTTTCACTTTCTGTTCTGACTGAATGCTGCTGCAGCAGCATGGAGGTGTAGTTCTCAGTCATCCTGGACATGATTCAATTCAATTCAAGTTTATTTATATAGCGCCAAATCACGACAAGAGTCGTCTCAAGGCACTTCACATAATTAACATTCCAATTCACAGTTCATTAAGCCAATCAGAAATAATGTTTCCTATATAAGGACCCCAGCAAATTGCATCAAGTCACTGACTAGTGTCAGTGACTATACAGCAATCCTCATACCAAGCAAGCATAAAGCGACAGTGGAGAGGAAAACTCCCTTTTAACAGGAAGAAACCTCCAGAGAATCCTGGCTCAGTATAAGCAGCCATCCTCCACGACTCACTGGGTCATCCTGAGAGTTTTAGCTGAAAACAGCTGGACGTTTCTGGATATGTTGGAGACATTTAGCCTCTCATCCCAGAGGCTTCTTCCAGACTTTGGTTGTGGTCAGAAACAAACACACTGGTTGTGCTGCAAGTCTGTTTCTTTTTTTCTCCAAAACATGTTTTTGTCTAAATGAAGGTGATGTTATTGTCCATAGAATTAAAATTCATGTTGAAGTTAAGATTATTTCATCAAGTAGGATCTGTGGCTAGCTGGCTCATGTAAAGCATGTCATGTCTTGAAAGAATCAAAATCGGGAATTGATAGGAACCGGAGTCGAAACGAGTAATCGGAATCGGAATCAATCAAAATCAAACGATGCCCAACCCTACCTACACCTATATCCTGCATTAGCTTCTGATAGAAAATAGACGGTAAAACTCTAGGATTAGAAAAGCCTGACAGATGTATATCACACTGTCCCTTAACATACATGGACTCACCCATCTACCACACAGCAGAACTCCTTCAGGCTTGTGTTAATGGTGGAGATAAATCATCAACGTTGTAGAGCAAAAAGTCAGAGATGGAGTTGTGTTGCTGTTAGTCAATCGGAGAAGAGATTTCCAAATATCAGGAAATAAGTGTCTAAATCCTGCCGTCTGAAGCTCAGCTCTGATGCGGCTCCCTTCCTCCGCGCGCGCGTGTGTGTGTGTGTGTGTGTGTGTGTGCGTGCGTGCGTGCGTGCGAGTTCAATCCCCAGTGAGTTGTGGTGGATGGCTGCTTATACTGAGCCAGGATCCACTGTCGCTAAATCCTTGCTTAGTATGAGGATTGCTGTAAAGTGTCTGACACTAGTCAGTGACTCCATGCAATTTGCTGGGTTCCTTATATAGGAAACTTTTTTCTGATTGGCTTAATTAACTGACCTGTATTACATTCTATATGGTTTGTAATTAGAATGTGTATTTTTATTTATTTATTTATTTTTATTCTTGTTATGGACATATCCCTTGTCTGAAATAAAGTTTGATTGATTGATTGTATTGGAATGTTTACTATGTGAAGTGCCTTGAGACGACTCTTGTCGTGATTTGGCGCTATATAAATAAACTTGAATTGAATTGAATTCTAGTTCCTGAGACAGGTGCTCAAGAGCTTTCTTCCCCAGAGTACCACTAACAAGGGATTCACTGCTACTAAAGCACAATCAATTTGGCTTCAAATGATTTCAAATTAAACTTTTTACTTTGCTTGTATAACTATGAATTTGAGATATTTCCTTTTCTATCTTCAGGTTCTCAATGTTTCAATGTTCTAACCTTAAGTGGATGAAGATGGACACATGAAAATTGTTGAAGAAAGACTGAAACAATTTTTTATAAAGCGCCTCAAGATGAAAATCAGGAGGCTGGATGATGAAATGACCATTCTCTGTGAACAGAAGTGGAATGGACTACTACAGGTGGCTTTTGAGACACAAACACTTCTGCTTTTAAGACTCGAGGAGAGAACTGGAGCTTGGAATGGAGTGTTCTCCTGCTCTTCACACATTTAACATTTATCTGACTGCAAGGAGGAGGATTCTGTTTGTGTTTATTTGCCCTGAAAGCGAATCGGGATCAACTCTCTCAGAGCTGGACCTCTCAGTGTCGATACTTCAAGCTGTTTGGGTGAATATGAATAATATAGTGGTGGTGATTTTATAATGAAGAGGCTGGAATTCAGACTACTAATGTATACCTTTAAAATCCTTTTCACTTGATAGATTGAAAAAATATCAAAACAGGATCTTCTAGAGGGGTGAACACAATGCCATTAACACGAGTAACACATCCAACCTTGTTAGCCTTTTGGTATTCAGATGTGTAGGACTAATAATAACAACAACAATAATAGTAATGCCAGACTTTGGTAAAGAAGCTAATTGTAATCTCACAGCCATACTTCTATAAATATTTATTGGCCTCCCTAATGCAATGTAAACAGAAGTGAGTTTTATTTATAGGCAGCACTTGATACATTAAATTATTAAGGTGATTTTGTGTTCACTTGTCATATTTGTAAACTGTAGATATTGGCATGGCATGTAGCCATATAATCTGATCTGTGCACAGTCGAGTGTATGAAGTGGAGTGTCACACTGTTCTAAGGCCTTGCCACAAGTGGTATACAGCATTCTCAGATTTCTTTGTGATGGTATTTTTTAGAAATGTGCATTCTGCTTTTATACCTTAGAGATGATTTTCATTTATAGGCATTTTGTATCGACAATCAAATGTAAATGAATGGTTTCTAAGCATATTATTTCACATAGATACTGAAATAATCCTTTTTAATGAAAACTGAATGGTGTTACTACAGATGCGGTCATCTGTTTTTATTTTCTTCTATTATTAATGGGTGCAAAGGTAATGCATTACTCAAATAGAGTCACATGACTAATCAGTGTGCATCTAAAAATATTTTATTGTTGGAAGCATTTACAATGCCATACATAAAACTCTGTCTCTAGTATATTGCTCTTTGTATATTAAAATAGTAACACAACCATACCATGTTCACATTTTTATTTAAAAAAATGGTTTGAAAATGGTTAATTAAGTTGTTTTTTCAGTTTTGCATAGGATTTATATGAAAATGTTTCCCCACTGATTCATGTTCGATTCCAAACTCATTTGGTTATCTGTGTCTCAGAATTGTTCATTATAAAATATTAAGCGTGTAATATATTATGAATGGGTGATTATTTTATAAGTTGAGTAAAAAGCTGAATGTTACCTTAACATTAACCCACTAATTTGAAAGTATGCATCCACTGTAGCTTGTTTTTGTTGGATTGTTGTAATTTTTATTAGAATTTCTTTTGTGTACTGCCTTGGTTGGCTAATAATTCATACTATAGAAGGTGATGTTCATGTTGTAGCTATAACAGAACCCTAATTTTCTCCAAATGTCACTGTAAAGAAAATCCCAACATGGTCATAAACGTTACTACAGTACTGTAAAGTATTCTTGTACGGCAAATTAGACTAATTATGCATCTTAGATGCCTGCAAATGTTTACTCAAGTCACTTTGGATCTTTGTTTTCACCAAACTGCTGAAAACGTGCATACATCTGTGTTTATACATATTTTAAAAATTTTTTTGTGTTTCTCTTCTATTTACAAAGTGCCCATCGCATCCTTGAAGATTTGTATTTATGTCTGAAGATGTAACATAACCAAATAAACCCTCTGAAGCTTGTGACTTTGACAGGTAGAAAAATGTTGTCATTTAAAAACACTTTCACATCTTGTAAAATGCCAAATGCTAGTAACACATTCATTTTCCCCTCTTGCTTGCAGAAGTAGTAGTTTTTGTAGAAAACGCTTCAAATTGACCTTTTTAAACTTTAAGCATAAAACAATAATGACTGGCAATAGTAAACCATTTAGGAAACTCGTGTGGACACAGCTCTGAACAATCCCAACGAGTAGCACCGAGCTAGCAACAGCGGCAGCTAACATCACATTTGAACCTGTGTGCCATCACAACGATGAACCACACTTTAGGTGTTGTGCCGAAAAAAGCACCCCTGCTGTAGAAAGCATGGCCGTAGCAAGAAACGTAGAAAACCACTTCATTCACTAACTTTACTTGAGGTCAGCAGTGATGAACTGGCTCCTGGTTTTCACTGCTGTTATGAACAACATTTTTATTTTGAAAATAACTGCGATATACACGTAAAAGAGTGTTTCGTGGTAGTTATTTTTCTGACCAGGAGATTTTAAAGCCTTTTATAAAAATAGCAAAATAAATAACGTAAGTTAACTGTTCTGTTAATCGCAGAAAAACAACACTAACCCGTTTGTGACTTCTTATAAATGTATTTGTGATTGAAACTGATTGTGATGTTTTTCCCTTGTTTGGGTCCTTTTCACGATACGGGTGAATTTTTTTTGGCACAACACCAGGCAGAGTATATTGAAGATGGCGTCTTTTACCCTCCCTGGTGAATGGATCAAAAACTGGGAAAAATTGGGAAAACACGAGTTGTAAGTAGATTTTATGTTGTGCTTAGTTTGTTTAGGGGTTGCAGCAACATAAAAACAATAAGCTTACTTTAAAATCATGGCTAGCACAAAGTAACGTTAGCGAACAGCTCAAGAGGCTTATCACTGTCGAGTAAACAAAAATAAAAAATGTTACTAGGCGTGTAATTAGTCAAACGCATATTACAAAATTCGTAACATTTAACATTAACTGGCTTGTTATTATCTATCTACATATTAATGGTCTGGCTAGATTTGTAAACACGGTGGCTATCGAAGCTAAGCTAGTAAAAAATCTATCTGTTATTTGGATCTTTTTCAGCTACAAACTTGATAAAACTTCGTATTAACGTTCAGGTACCATGCAATAGCAAACCCACGAGTGGTTTGAAAACAATAAAATAGTTTTATGTTTTATAACTTTGACCCAATCATGTGGAGGGAAACAACGGATCGTAACAGCTAGTTAGCCGTAATGTTAGCCGCAGATTTTTTTGGGTGAAGCGACGTGTTAAATGTTCTGTATTTGGACTGGACGTGGGAATGAAAAGATGCAATGTTTGATGATCGGATTTTATCAAACTTTGTATTTCTGATCGATTAAACGTCTGCGTTAGCGTCGGAGACTGAGTAAAGACCAGGCCAACATCTGGGCCTCAATAATAAAGTTTGACCTGTGATATTACCTAAAAAAAACCGTGAATAGTGTTTGAATGTGTTTTATTAAGCAGAAGCATTAAGCATATCCAGTCACACCGTAAGCTGATCCACACTCCTGGCTGCTAGTTACTATAGGCCTTGCATCGAGACAGGCCTAGAAGCACTAGACCTACCAAACTACTATGATGGTTGTGTCTGTCAAAGTCAAAGTCAGTTTTATTGTCAATTCTACCACATGTGCAAGACTTACAGAGAAATTAAATTGAGTTATACAGAGAAATGAAATTGAGTAGCTTCTGGTTAATAATATATAGTTAAGGCGATTGAATAAAACAGATTGATATTAATTTGGTCAGATGTAATATCACATTGTTCTGGTGATCATCTGTAAGACAAGACCAACATTTTTGGACTCAAGCAAAACTGGTTTAAAGGAACCAAAGAATCAACAAGCTGGCATAGAAACTACATATCACTAAGTTACTTTGTTTTGTTTTGTTAAATGTATTATAATGGAGACTTTATTTTGTTCAGTCATTCTTCACCCAGTGTAATAGTGTTTGCTATGATTCATTTTGAAATAAAACATCACATTTATCTTTGTTAAAAGTGTTTGAAAGAAAAATACAATTACCCACTCACCAATTTATATGGAAAGCTGATATTTGACTTGTTATTACAACATTTAAAAATGCTTTCACATCAAGTTACAGTCAATCTAGAGCAACATCAAATAACTACATAAGAAACCTCTGTGTACACAGGTTTATACTGCTTAGCTGAATTACACATATGCCCAAAACCTAAGCACTTCTATTTTTCATTCACCTTTCTTGACTGAATATATATTATTAGAGGTTGGCGGTGTATTAAAGGCAGAAACTAAAGGATTTTTTGTTATATTAAACAGATCTCTGTGTGTTTGTGTAGTCTTCCTTTTTAGAAGTTTATTTATTAGGCTGCAAAACAGCTTTTTATTGCCATATATAAGGTAACAGACATAGTAACTATATTTTTGTCTCTTTTTTTTTTACTTTGTAGTGTACAACTCTGCAAAAAGCTCACAGAGAAAAGTGAACATGGAAGTGAAATCAAAGGTAAGCAGAGCTTGATTTTTGTGTGAAAACGTAGAAACATTACGTAGAACCAACACACCACTTCATAGACAAGCTGTGGTAAAAGTTTCCCTCTTATAAACCAACATAACTAAAAATTAAAATTTATTTTGACACCCTTCTTCCCAGGGGTAGGCACTTTGTAACAGTTTTTACTTAGCTGCTTGGTGTTCATTCCAATGACTTAAAAAAAAAGAATTAACCATCTGTGATGTCACCTATATTTTTCTTAAGGGCTTGTTTGAAACAAAATGGGCAGTTCCCACACTGCCATCTTGGCCGTTTAACTTGTTTTGTCACCACCACCAAATGCAAAAAAAAAAAAAAAAAAACATGGGTAAAGAGCTGGAGCTGAGTGTGTAGCTGTGAGGGTGGGAGCAAATAATTGACACCCATCAATCTCTGAACCGATATAGCTATGAGCTAACTGAGCTAACATGAAGCTAGGAGTTAACCGTTGACTGTTAAAATTAGGGTTGTCACGGTATGAAAATTTAACCTCACGGTTATTGTGACCAAAATTATCACGGTTTTTGGTATTATCGCGGTATTTTTTAAACGGTGTTGCATATGTTCAGAAAGCATTGATAGTCCTGTTCTACACAAACTGAAATAGTTCTGAAAAGGTTTAACAGTGTTTATTAAACCTAAAATAACACAAAGCCTTAGCAAAAGTGCAACTTTTCACAAGTAAAGAACAAATAGCTTATTTTTCTGGAACATGTTACAGTAGTCAGTGCAGGTTTAAATTATACAAATCCAAACATTCGAAACATAAACAATATGTAAACAAATCAAAGAAACACCACTTGTTTTCTCATATACTTGTTTTCTTCATTATCAAAATGAAAATCTAAAACTCCAGTCCACACTTGACTTGAAGTCAACCTTAAAAAAATATGTATTTAAAATAAATAGCCACTTTAAACAAATTACTAAAATAACTACTACACTATGTAATCAAATCCAAATGTTCAAGTATAAATGGCATTGAATAAGTAAACAAATCAATGACAAGGAACTAATTGTATATTTCTCTTCATCATCAACAAATAAGATGCTTCATCCAGCAACAGGGTGTCCGTGACACGGTTTAAATGCTGGCAGAGGGCGCTGCGGCTGCAGTATATAGTGACTCGTTGCATTCTCCCTCAACCAAAAGACCTCACGTCATGCATTTAAGCTAAAATGCTAATGTTAACTTACCTTGCACTGGCTGTAGAGACGTGGGTGATGGTCACGCAGATGTGCCATTAGATTCGAAGTGTTGCTGCCTTCTGCAGACACTTGTTTCCTGCACGTTCTGCAAACGGGATAGCAGTCTTCTATTAACTGTCCCTCAGCGTTTTTCAGAAATCCAAAATATGCCCATACTTCCAATTTAGTCTTCTTTGACGGCTGATGGATGTCCTGGGCGCTGCCGTCTCCTCCTTCGGCCATTATTTCAGCTTCAAAGTTATGGTGCCGTTGCAAACTAAAAAGTGCGTGTGCGCGCCGCGGGAACTTCAGCTGAAGCAACAATGGCTGGTAAGGGTCATCGCGCCGAAACCGCGGCCACGGTAAACCCACCGAGATAATATAGTTTTTTAAAAACTGGACGGTTATTTTTATTGTCAACTTTTTTACCGGGGTTTACCGCTATACCGGTTACCGTGACAACCCTAGTTAAAATACAAGCACAGCCTCAGATTGCAGCGATTGGAGCTGGGTATTCGGGCCAGGCATGAGTCTACTCACCGCTCTGCATTGGTTGGAGATCAGCAGGGCTGCCATTGCTCTGGGGCTCTGGCCGTGAGTCTCTGTACCCAGCCCTACCAACATCATATTTTAGCCTATTTTGACCAAGCAGTTGTATGTAAAATGCACAGCATTTTACCCCATTCAACCAACAAAATAAAGTACAGGAATGTTATTTTACTTATCGACAGAAATGAATCAGAGACTTCTTAAAAGGTCTGTTAATGCACTCAATATCACCTGCCTTCTTTGTCCAATAATTCAGTGATTAACATCAGTAAATGAATACACACAGGACACAACTAAAGTTCAGAGTCAAAATGGCAGAACATCTTTTAACCTGAAGCAAAGGCCTTCCCTGAAGCTAGCTGCTAGCACTGACAGCTCATGCAAGTTCTGGCGGTTCACACTAGGTCTGGTGGCTCACACTACTTGTCAATCAAATCTAATTAGTATTAATAACATTTTACATTTTAATTACACCTAAATGGAAGCAACAATCTATAAGTTGTTACTCGTATTTGTAGGACCCATTTATTCATTTTCAGGTTTTAGGTATTTTATTGAGATTTCAGATTCATTTTATGTAATTTTATTGTGATGCACAACATTTTATAAGTTTTTGTTTGTTGACATATTTTATTGTTAGCCTATTAAGTATTAGTGAGTGAGCACCTTTAGTGTCGGATGTATTATTTAGTTGTTGTGTGAAACCTTAAATGTATTTTTTTTTAATCGGGCTGTAAACATGTTTATTTCTTGTGTGAAGAAGATGGCATTTTTAACATGGGATTCAATGAGAATTTGCTCCTTTCTGGTGCCAACCCCTAGTGGATGAAGAGGAAACTGCAATTTTTGTCATTTCTGTGTTGGCTTCACAAAATTCAGACAAAGACTGCCCCTTGGTTCATATATTCTGTGAATACATTTTCTGTTTTAATTCTTTGATGCCTAAAATTAACATTAAAAATAGTTAGAAAGTGGATGGGATTTTCATATGTAGTGTGCTGACTCTGGCTCCAAAGGCATAACACAGAGACACCTATAAATGAGATATTATTGGGCTTTACTTTTGAACCACAGATGTGTGTGGAGATGCCTTTTCTAGGTATTAAACAACCCACACACACACCTTTGTTAAGGCTCCTCTGGATTCACTCTGGTTATAGTTCAGTGGGTTGCAAAGCAATTCCAAAATGATTCTCAATACATCATTGTGCCCTCTTGCCTCCTCCGTTTGACTATTTGGTACTTTTGAAGCATCATAAGGACCCATTATTAATTTACGTCCCATAAGCCTTTCTGAGTTTTGAAAAATGCTGTTTGGTGCACTGACATCCCAGCTTTCATACAAAAATACATCTTATTTTAAGTTGTGGTCGTTTGGAAATAAGAAATGAAAGAAAGACTTAATTTTAAAGTTCTGTGCGAGAAGAGGTGAAATAATTTATGTTTAGTCTCGAAGGAGCCTTCATAACTTGATTTTATTTAGTTTACTGATCATTTCATATTTTACATTGATTATGTTGTGGAGTAAGGAAGTAAGTAAAAGTTTATTTATATAGCGCCTTTCACAGATATAAATCACAAAGCGCTGTACAACATGATAAAGATCAGGGCAAATACCTCTAACCAATAAAAACATCAGAAAAACAATAGCAGTGATAAAATAGAAAATAAAATCATGAGTATAAACAAAGTGAAGGTGTGAACCCGAACAAAGCCATCTTTTTGAACATTTAGGGAGGGAACACCTGGATGAAAAGGTGAGTTTTTAGATGATTTTTAAATCAGGAGGAAGGTAAGGACAACACAAGGTAGTTCTGCTCACATTCTTTTATCACTCCAAGTCAATCCACATGACGAATTACTACACACAAGGCATACAGAACACGTCTCCTCCCACACATATCACCTCCTGTCTCTGGGTGTGAGTGCAGCCCTCTAATTGTCTGCCATGCACGTCCCCCCGAACACCCAGACCAGTCCCTTACAGACCCAGGATCTACTCGACTAGTTCAGGATCCTTGGTCTGATTAATTGGCCAGAGTGGGACCAGGGGACGGGTGGTCTGTGGAGAAATGGCAGATGAAGGCGGGCTGGCCTTCTTGCATCTGGCTCTTGCCTAGCTTCAAACCTCTTAAGTGTGGTTTAGAGTGCCCAGATGACCATGGTTCTGATGTTTTGAACTTCGCAAAAACCAAAGGTTTGTGATCAACGTACGCGGTAAACTGGCAACCATATAGTAAAAAACCAAAATGGTGTGTGGCGAGATAGAGGGCTAGCAGCTCCCTGTCATATGCACAATATTTATGTTCAGCGCTGCTTAATGAGCGGCTGAAAAAGGCAAGTGGTGCCAGAGACTCGTTGCTCCAGCGCTAGCGGGGTGGATGTGGAGGGGTGGACCAACATGGCAGCAGTTGCTAATGTGGCCTTGGCCTCTCTGAAAGCCGGCAGGCGGACCGGATTCCACTCCATGCTGTCATTGGCCATCTTCTGCTTGAGCTCGCTGTAAAGCGGCCGCAGAAGCTCTGCCACCTTGGGGAGGAAACGGTTGTAGAAGTTGTAGAACTCTTGCAACACTAACTCTCTGTGGTTGTGGAAAATACGTTACTGCTAGATCTTTTGCTGTTAATGGGATAGCGCCACTGGCAGAAATGCAGTGACCAGGAAATCAATTTCCGCTAAGCCGAATTGGCACTTAGCTGGACTGACAATCAGGCCGTGTTCTGTCAAACAAAGGAAAACTTGGTGCAGGTGGTCCAAATGTTGCTCAACAGTGCAGCTGGCAACCAGTATGTCGTCTAAATAGACAAAAACAAAAGATAGGTCGCAAACAGTGTCCATCAACCGCTAAAATGTCTGTGCTGCGCTTTTGAGACCAAATGGCATGCGCAAGACTTCAAAAAGGCCAGTTGGTGTGAAAACAGTGGTTCTCTTTCATAGCATTTGTATCATGTCTCACTATGGGAATGCCTAGGTGTGACCTTATCAGAAGCTCTTATTCCACACTGCCAGCTAGGGTTGTCACGGTAACCGGTGTAGCGGTAAACCCCGGTTAAAAAGTTGACAATAATAATAACCGTCTTGTTTTTAAAAAAAAAACTATATTATCTCGGTGGGTTTACCGTGGCTGCAATGTTGGCACGGTGACCCTTACCAGCCACCGTATCATCTGCTGAAGTTGCCGGCGGCACATGCGCGCTTTGTTGTTTACAACCAAAACTTTCTTGAAGCTAAAGCTG